TTCGAGACACAGCCGAAACGGCAAAACACCACCTAATTTCGTGCCGAAAATGACGCAAAATCAATCGCAATAACAGGTTCCCGGGGGCCGAAACGTCCCTTCTGAAATCCTACTAGAAATCTTCTCGTATCCTCTCTTATACCCTCTCTTTTCTTGCTCGAAATCTAATCCAATTGAATCCAATTTTGAGTGCTGCTGCTGCTGCTGCTGCTGGTGGCTGCTGATGGCTGCTGTTGCTGCTGCCGCTACTGCTGCTGGTGCTGGTGCTGCGCACCTTCTAAAGCAAGAAACCAACAATCAAACACCTTTTTCGAGACACAGCCGAAACGGCAAAACACCACCTAATTTCGTGCCGAAAATAACGCAAAATCAATCGCAATAACAGGTTCCCGGGGGCCGAAACATCCCTTCTGAAATCCTACTAGAAATCGTCTCGTATCCTCTTTTATATCCTCTCTTATCTTGCTCGAAATCTAATCCAATTTGAATCCAATTTTGACTTGCTGCTTCGAGACCACAAGCACGAAACAGCCGAAACGGCAAAACACCACCTAATTTCGTGCCGAAAATGACGCAAAATCAATCGCAATAACAGGTTCCCGGGGGCCGAAACGTCCCTTCTGAAATCCTACTAGAAATCCTCTCGTATCCTCTTTTATATCCTCTCTTATCTTGCTCGAAATCTAATCCAATTGAATCCAATTTTGACTGCTGCTGCTGCTGGTGGCTGCTGATGGCTGCTGCTGCTGCTGCCGCTACTGCTGTTGCTCTTGCTCCCCACCTATTTCTCATGAAACACCTTTTCAGACACCTTTTTCAAGATACAGCCGAAACGGCAAAACACCACTTAATTTCGTGCCGAAAATGACGCAAAATCAATCGCAATAACAGGTTCCCGGGGGCCGAAACGTCCCTTCTGAAATCCTACTAGAAATCCTCTCGTATCCTCTCTTATATCCTCTCTTATCTTGCTCGAAATCTAAGCTCCAATCTAATCCAATTGAATCCAATTTTGACTGCTGCTGCTGCTGCTGGTGGCTGCTGATGGCTGCTGCTGCTGCTGCCGCTACTGCTGCTGCTCTTGCTGCCCACCTTCTAAAGCAAGAAACCAACAATCAGACACCTTTTTCGAGACACAGCCGAAACGGCAAAACACCTAATTTCGTGCCGAAAATGACGCAAAATCAATCGCAAGAACAGGTTCCCGGGGACCGAAACGTCCCTTCTGAAATCCTACTAGAAACCCTGTCTTATCCTGCTATCCTGCTAGAAATCTAATCCAGTCCAATCCAATTTTGACTGCTGCGGCTGCTGCTGCTGCTGGTGGCTGCTGATGCAATAAACCAACAGGCACACATCTTTTTCGAGACACAGCCGAAACGGCAAAACACCACCTAATTTCGTGCCGAAAATGACGCAAAATCAATCGCAATAACAGGTTCCCGGGGGCCGAAACGTCCCTTCTGAAATCACTAGAAATCCTCTCGTATCCTCTTTTATATCCTCTCTTATCTTGCTCGAAATCTAATCCAATTGAATCCAATTTTGCTTTTTCGAGACACAGCCGAAACGGCAAAACACCACCTAATTTCGTGCCGAAAATGACACAAAATCAATCGCAATAACAGGTTCCCGGGGGCCGAAACGTCCCTTCTGAAATCCTACTAGAAATCCTCTCGTATCCTCTTTTATATCCTCTCTTATCTTGCTCGAAATCTAATCCAATTGAATCCAATTTTGACTGCTGCTGCTGCTGCTGGTGGCTGCTGATGGCTGCTGCTGCTGCTGCCGCTACTGCTGCTGCTCTTGCTGCCCACCTTCTAAAGCAAGAAACCAACAATCAGACACCCTTTTCGAGACACAGCCGAAACGGCAAAACACCACCTAATTTCGTGCCCAAAACGTAGCAAAGGAACCCCGAAAAAGGGTCTAACGTCACTTCTGAAACCCTACTATAAAATTTCAACTTTTCCGCTGCCTGCCGCTGCCTGCAGCTGCTTGCTGCTGCCTGCTGCTGCCTCTGCTGGTGTCTGCTGCTGCCTGCTGCCTGCTGGTGTCTGCTGCTGCCTGCTGCTGCCTGCTGCTGCCTGCAGCTGCCTGCGGCTGCCTGCGGCTGCCTGCCTGCTGCTCCCTGCTGCTGCCTGCTGCTGGTGCTGCTGCTGCTGCTGGTGCTGCTGTGGTGCTGTGGTGCTGCTGCAATCAAACAGCCTCCAAAGCAAGAAACAAACAGCCAGACACCCTTTTCGAAACACATCCGAAACAGCAAAACACCACCTAATTTCGTGCCCAAAACGTAACAAAGGAACCCCAAAAAAGGGCCTAACGTCACGTCTGAAACCCTACTTAAAATTGCAACTTTGCCGCTGCCTGCCGCTGCCTACCGCTGCCTGCTGCGCCCTGCTGCTGCCTGCTGCTGGTGCTGCTGCTGGTGGCTGCTGCAGCTCCACAACGAAGTCAAATGCTGTCCCGAGGCTTGACGTCCCTTCCGAAATCCTAGAGAACTAGCTCTTCAACTAGCTCTTCAACTTACAGCTTCTGAGCCGCCAAAATTGTCGGACCCGCCAGCCTGAAACACCATGGCAGTGAAGGACGAAGAAGCCACCAAATCGCACCAAAAAACTCCCTAACGTCCATTCTGAAATCCTAGCGACCTAGCTCTTCAACTAGCTCTTCAACTTACAATTTCTGACACGCTAAAACGCCGGACCCACCAGCCTGAAATACCAGGCAGTGAAGAACGAAGAAGCCACCAAATCACACCAAAAAACTCCCTAACGTCCCTTCTGAAATCCTCGAGATCTAGCACTTCAACTACCTCTTCAACTTACAGCTTCTGACACGCCAAAACGCCAGACCCGCCAGCCTGAAACACCATAGCAGTGAAGGACGAAGAAGCCACCAACCATGAACCCAAAAAAAGGGCAGGCGGGAAGGGCAACCCGAGGAGCCCCACGTACTTCGAGGAGACTCCGGGAAGGACCCCCCACCGGTGAAACAAAAACCCCGGAGTCAGGGAATCGAGGTACGTGACCGGTGGGAGGGGGACCCAACAGAGTCCCCCGGCAAAGGGTCATGGTTTGTTGTTGTTGGTTGTTGTTTCTTGTTGTTTCTTGTTATTTGTTGTTGCTTGGTGTTGTTTGTTATTGTTGTTTGTTGTTGTTTGGGTTTGTGTTTGTCTTTGTGGTTGTTGTTGTTCTTGTTCTTGTTGTTGTTGTTGTTGTTCTTCTTCTTGTTGTTGTTGTTGTTCTTGTTGTTCTTGTTGTTGTTGTTGTTGTTCTTGTTGTTCTTGTTGTTGTTGTTGTTGTTGCTGCTGTTGCTGTTGCTAGTTCTGTTGCTGTTGCTCTTGCTCAATGCTGCTGCTGCTGCTGCTGCCTCACATGCCTGCTGGCTGCTGCAAGTATGCCTGCTGGCTGCTGCAAGTCCTTTTCTTCCATCTTCTTCCCTTACGCGCTCCCCCTTGCGTCGGCCGGGGTCGGCGGATATCCATCATTAACACCATGATGATTGATGGATAATGATCAATATACCATCATCATTATACCATCAATATACCAGGTAGTGGTAGTGGTAGTGGGACCGCTGGCTCCTGGCCGCTGACTACTGGCTGCCTGTTGCCTGCTCACTGGATGCTGGCTAGCTGGCTGCTGGCTCCTGGCTGCTGCTTACTGGCTGCTGGCTAGCTGGCTGCTGGCTCCTGGCTGTTTTGATCTCTGCTGTTGCTGCTGCTGTTGTTGTTGTTCTTGTTGTTCTTGTTGTTGTTCTGGCTGCTGGCTCCTGGTTGCTGACTACTAGCTGCCTGCTGCTGCTGCTGCTGCTCCTGCCGTGACATGAACCAGCCTCCAAGGCACGAAACCAACAGCCAGACATCGTACGCGAAACCATTCGCAATAACAAGTTCCCCGGACGCCGGAACGTCCCTTCTGAAATCCTACTGGAAAGAAATCCTCCAATTTTGACTGCTGCTGCTGGCTGCTCTTACTGCTAGTGCTGGACTCGCTGCTGCCGCTGCTACTGCCACTGCCGCTGCTCTTGCTGCTAGTGCGGCTAAACTTGCCTGTCTTTGCTTGTCTTATTCCCTGGCGCGCTCCCCCTTGCGTCTGCCGGGGTCGGCGGATATATAGATATTTCAGATTGTTTCAGCATATGTCAACATATTTCCGCCCAATTTCAACATATTTCATGTAATTATATATGTAATTCCATTTTTGGGATGTTTCAACCAACAGCTGCGTGGCGCCCCAGGAGGTCCCTGTCGCCTCAGGCGATGCAGGCGCTGAGTGGCAGCCTTTGGAGCTGCACTCGGCTCGCGCGCGGCGATTCTCGGAGGAGGCACGGAAAACCCATCCGCTGAAACCTTCCGGAGATCCCGCATCGTTATATCCCATAGGATCCATGGTGCTGCTATATATGGTAACATGGATCCCATCAATATACCCCAGTCATGTTAGCATATATACCAGCACCATGGATCCTATGGGTATAGTCATTGTTAGTCTAGAAATCCGGGAAATATATAAATTATGGATTTCTGTGAAGATTTTTTGATGAACTCCACTGGATCCAAATTTTTGGAGGACTGGCAGGTATGTCACCATGCTAGAAATATACAGCTGCGCTATGCCACGAGAAGATGTCATTAGTGTCACGGCCACTGTCTTCACCCTGCTTGATGTTTGGGCCAAAACCACAGTCAAGACATGGTGCACAAAAAGAGTGAGAGCGCATTTCAAGGGCAAGCAGTTTTTGGTAAATGGATATTTCAGAATTGAAACATCGTATAAGTATGTATAAGTTATGTACAAGTCCAAAACGTCTAAGTTGTCTAAGTTATAGTTGCTGGTTCTATGAATTCTATCCCATTTTGTTTCACACACATATATATATATATGATATCATAACCAAGAAAAAAAAACAGATTTGGCACGTTCTATCCCATTTCCATCTAACCATGGTTTCCTTTTCCATATCCCCAAATTTTCATCCAGGAGCTCTGGTTTCGAATGGGCTCCGTGACCAAGGACGGCGTGTTGATCCGTGGTACCTCGGTGTTCACCGTCGCGGGGTCGTGTGAGCTAGTCATCCACAATTTTTAGTAGGTAAATATGGAAAATGATCTATAAATGGGCCATAGCTTCCATAGCCTAATAGCTATGTTAAATCACCAGGGTAGTTCAACTAAATGGTTTGTTCATGAATTCCATCCCCTCAACATAAATACTGCACATTTGAATACACCCCTTTTCTCTGACCCCAAATGTTCCAAGTTGGTAAAGCCCCCTTGATATGTGCAAATTTGACAGCATCCCTTCTCGACGATCCGAGGACAAAATCCATTGACAGGATCCTGGTTGGGTAATTTGCTGTCGATGGCTGCGGCGGAAAGCACGCTATGCGTCCTGAGCAGCCAGCACCTTGGAGCTCAACGGCTGTGGGTCCACTGAAAAGATGCAACGAAGTTGTTCTACTCAAGAGACGAAGGGGCAGCAGAGAGGGTTGGATTTCGATTCTAAATCTTGGAACCCTTGGCATTCTAAATTGCATTCTGCATTGCATCATTGCATGCTTTTGACAGAGAACCATGCAATCTTGAGGGGTGATTTTAGGGTTGCCGAGATGGACAGCTTTCAGAGAAGAGAGGAGTGTTCCATCATGGTTCACCAGATATAACAGCAGGTTCCTTCCCCTTGCCTGCAGGTATCTGGTAAATCCATGTAAATCCGAATAGGCATAGCAAGTTCAACAATTGTGACATGCCAGCTGACCCACAGGATGATCCTGGACGTCTACGACTTGAAAACGAAGCAATGCCGGCAGCTGCCATTGGCAGCGAATGGGCATCGCGCCTTGCATGGTGTCACTGCAAACAACACTGCCATGGTGGCGTTACCAGGTGAAGGTGTCGGCGGGGGCCTGCTTTGCATGGGATATGCATAGTGATCTCCCACAAAAAAAAGGTAAAGGTAGGTAGTTAGTCACTCGGCCACACCATTTTCACTTTATTTTCAAAACATCATTCAGGTGGTGTGTTGAAGTCAACACTGAACTGAACCACATCCATGTTTGGCAATTTTTGGTAACATCAAACTTTGAATGAATGTGGTAATTCAGCATATTATATATATATAATTATATATATATATATATTTAAATTTATATAATTATATAAATTATATATATATATACATACATATATATGTATAATATATTATAAAATATACAATACAACATTATCTTGTATTTTATCATATTATATTTATAGTATATTCACAAGTGAAGGCCTTAGGACCCACATGGACCAAACCCAGCATGATTTGACTTCGACGGCAGGTTGCCTCTGTGCCTATGATGCCCGGCAGGGATCCCTGCTGCGCATCTGGCCGCGCTCTGGGGAGGCAGAAGCCTTTCAGCTGACTCTGGCATCCCATGGGGCGGTGAAGCTACAGCCGTGGCATGGCGAGTTGTTGATCTATGCCGAAGGAGGGCAGGAGAGAAGCTGGGTTGGCGAAACGCCGTTGGCAGCCCCAGTTCTGGCCGTTGGCAATTTGGAGATTTGGAACGTGTTGTGACAGTGTTGTGTTCATTTAAAGGTCGGTCCGGCCTCCCATTCAGCCAGTGGGCAGGAGCTGGTTGTGGCAGACATGGAAGGAGCGGCAGCCAGACTTGAAGTGCATCTGCAGCTTGGCCTGGAAAGCCGTGAAATACTTGTAGCAACTTGCTCCTGTTACACGTTGCTGCGTGATTGCCTTGATTACAAACTTGATTCCAACACCTCAACGTTGGGTTGCTGATGTCGACCTAATCGTCCATTGTCCTTGCGCTGAGGACTGGTGGCCTGCGGAGCGTGGACGTCTTGAGCGACTGCAGGTTGATGTTGAGCTCTTCGACTGAGCGCTTGGAGCTCACTTGGCCAGGCAGATCGTGGCCGCGGGGCCCGGGGCTTGGGAGTCCTGACCTCTTCAGATCGGAGAATTTCATGCCAGGCAACTCGACTGGACGCATGGATGTCAAGGCGCCGGTCCGCTCTGGTTCTCATTCAGAAGTGTCTCAGTACTCTTCCTGTGTCAGGGCAGTTGTGGAACATTGTCCATGAGTCATATTTTAGATTTGAGATCAATGGATCCATCATGGATCCATATATACTTATCTTTGTCTTATGCCATCATAATTATGTATCATATTTGGGGAGTAAGAATTTCCCATCTCACGTGCCTTCGTCAGTGTTGGTGTCGCCGTTTTTTTTCACATGACTTGGCAGGTCGTCTCGGTGACCTTGGACGTTGATCCACATTTTGTTTCACATCCACTACCCGCAAGTCAGCTGCAGCTGCCAGATCATTTGCAGTCAGCTCCCATTTGCTTGAGCAGCTCATGTTTTCTTTGCTTTTGATCATTTTGCGGAAGTGACAGTAATTATAGTTATTTTCCTGAAAATATTGGATCACTTCATGAGGAAGAGCGAGAAGCACCCCTCTCAGATCTCTCAGCGCCGCATAGCCATCCCTCTCCAAGGTCCTCCATGGGCGGGCACAGCCACGGCCACGTCATGTCCGATGGATCCATCGGCTCCAGCGGGCGCCATGGACTGCTCAGTCTGGGTTTGGATCTGGGCATGGCCTCAACGCCCATCTGGGAATATCCACGGCGCGAGGCGCTGCTGGCATATCTGCGGTCACAGATGGAGGCGGAGGATTTCGCGCTGGAGGTGGATGTGGCACCTCGAAGGACGTTTGGGGCTGGATGGGGTGGATGGGGTGGATGGGGTGGATGGGGTGGATGGGGTGGATGGGGTGGATGGGGTGGATGACACAAACATATTCAAAAATGACTCAAGGGATCTCAAGGGATTCAGGGATTCGCACCCCCAGGTTTTGATTGGAGATGAATCGTGGATCCTTCTGAGTGCAAACCCCTTCTTAGATGGCTGCTGAGATGATCTGAGATGATCTTCAAGGTTCCGGCTATGGGTTTCCTCCCATGAGCCATGTCAATGGCCATGGGGCCAGGTCAATACCTATCACAGCATGAGCCCCCCAGCTATTTGGGATGATTTTGCTCTGAAAACCACAGAAATTCCATGGGTTTTTCCACGTTTTTCCAGACCTAGGCCTTGGTTTCTTGTTGGCACTCAGCGTCCAACAGCTTGATCTCTGTCTTCTCCCCTGTGGGCGACTCCCCATTGCGTGCCAGGTGCGCGGCCTAGTAGCCTACGCCTAGAATATCCTAGAATCAAAGGATTGCTGGGGAAGATCTGCGGAAAATCCATGGTTTTTATTTATAGATGTTTTTGATCTCAAAATTTGGAGGTTTCCGGATGATTTTCCGGTACACCAATGCTGGAACAGAAATGTGGGCGATGTTCCTGTTGAAAATGCCAAGGTTTCAGCTTAGCATAGGACAGAATGCTTGTGAGTGTACCGCTTGGATTGTTGTATTGTTCAAGACTTCATGCTCCAAAGAAGGGCTGTTTATGCACTGTATTCTTTCGAAAATAAGACCAACTCATCTTGCGTAGCATCAGATCTTTGACCTCTGATTCATAGCGTTCAGACTGACTCATACCGACTCATACCCATTTTTGCCACTTGATATCGTTCATTGTTGTTGGAAAATTATGTTGTATCCCATGTTGTGTCGTTAACATATGTGGTAGTATACTTAATTTTATTGACATATTGTCTGTATCATGTGTGAACACAGAATGGGCATTCATACTAGTCATGCGTACCCACACAGGCATATGTATATATATATATAGATTCACTGTCTATGTATAATCGTACTGAGTAACTGCACACGCACGCACACACACGCATATCTATACGCAAAAAATAATTATATCTATACATCACGTGTATTCATTTAGATTCAGATATTTGTGATTCATGGTTTTCTAGCATCTAGAATCACGTAACAGCTATCTACACACACACATATATATATAGATAGATAGATAGATAGATAGATAGATAGATAGATAGATATATAGGCAGAGAGATTACCAGGTATGGCATGCTCTACCTGGAAGCCCTGAACGTCTCCAGCTCCATGCTGCGGCGTGTGCTGCTGGGAAAGGTCCCAGGCTTGGGGTCCCAATCGCAGGCTCAGCCAGGGCCAGGGACTGATAGTTCCTTAGCAGAGCCTGGGACTTCAGATTGGCTGAGTCGATAATAAAGTGGATCTTTTGTCGGAAATTCACTAAATTCACAATAATTTTTGGGGAATCCCGTAGGGAATATACCATCTGGTAAACGTTTACATAGCTATGGAAGGATCCACCATTTTTAATGGGTAAATCCACTATTTCTATGGCCATTTTCAATAGCTACGTTAAATTACCAGAGGGTATGGGAATATAATGGGCCCATGGAATACATGTTTTCCTTTTTTGGGATGATCTTCAACACATATCAGTCCGGTGAAAGTGGAGGATGAAAGCTGAGAAATGCGGGGGTATTTTGCCCCTGAAAATCCTAAAAACATGGGACACCGAGGGCGCCTGATTTCTGGTGCCAAAGTACTTCCAGTGGCAGTCCCCAAGTTCAATTATGTTCCATAATTGACTTGTGCAGCATCCTGTGACTACAGCATATCCTGTTATTTACTGTTGTATCGTAATGTCATATGATTTCATATTTTTTTGCAGAAGAAATCATGCCAACATCCTGATTATACCGATGGTGTGTTTTGAAACCTCCATATTTTCAGGGCGCTTCCTGGAATGAGGTTAGGACCAGAAAGGTGTTGGGTTCTCTTTCACAAATCCTAGGTGGGTGCAGTGCAGCCTCATGATTTTGTATGATTTTGCGTTGTCCAGCCATCCAGCCATCCAGCGAAGATGCTGAGGATCAAGGGCTCCTGCTCACCAGACGCAAGGTTCCTGACAGGGTGCAGCATGTGGAGATGCCTCAGTGCCTGGCTGTCTGCGAGTTGGAGGATGGACGCCTGGCCCTGCTCTTCGCGGATTCACACGTGCGTCACCTGGAGCTTGTTGGATCGGTGCTCCAAATATCGAGGAATGGTTCTCCTCTAAGGAATTTGGGAGGGTCTTGACATGTGAAGTTTTTCGGTCCAACAGTCATTTCCCGATGTTCCTGAGCAGGGGTTGAAGGTATGTTTTTGGGAGGTTGAAGCTTGGGAAGGAGGGAGTCTTTATCCGGTTAAACTTCATCTTCGTAGGAGAAATCTGCAAAAAATTGCTCCTTGAATTTTTTTCGCAAGATGCAAGATTCCGAGTAGATATGGCACCTGGGACCTGGCACCATCAGATTTATTTCGGGTTATCAATCAGGTGTTGGCATCAGCAGCGTAAGGAGACCGAGGTTTCCCCCCGGTTGCCTGCAGGCATCCTGGAGTTGCGCGCAGACTCCTTGGCTTTGCAAGAGGCTCTCTACAGTAGCATGTTGGGTCGCCCTGGGAAGGAAGATCCAGAAATGGTGGAGGAAAACTTGGAGTTTGACGAGTTGCTTGGATTTGCTGCAGATCAATCGTCATTTTCCCATTGGTGCATCCACCTTTTGGGGAAATCTACTGGGAACCAATCCAAGGCTGGAAGAGGGAGAAGATGACTTGGAGGACTTTGAGGATGACGGTCAAGATGATGAACCTCGGGATTTGCAAACAAATGCCAATCTTTCAGCCATACCCAGGGAACGGTATAGATACCCCTTTCAGTTTATAAAAATAGATGCTTTATCGGTCATTTCTACATCACCTACCCCCCAAAAAAAAGGAAGAATTACTGTATAAATCACACAAAAATAGATGGTTTATAAAAACAGATGGTCTACAAAGACAGATGGTTTATAAATCATCCATTCCCAAACGAATTCAAGGATTCTACCAACGATGGTGCTGGAGCTTCGGGCGGCCGCGGCTCCGGCCGCCGCGGCAAGGGCGGCCGTGGCGGCCGCGGTCGCAAGGGCCAAGGGGGCCGCGGCAGCGGCAAGGGCAGCCTAGAGTTCCGAGTTGGTATCCTTTTTTTTTCTTGGCCTTAATTGGGCTTTCCTGAAATGGAGGTACCCCAATCATCCAATAGCTGGATCAACTCCCAGGCAGTGGGAAATCAGATGCAAAGCGAGCGGAAGCAGAGAAGGTGATCAAAGAGGCGAGAGAACGAGCAGCAGAAGTGAGAAAGATCCAGAAGATGAAGTTGGAACTGATGCTTGGCTTGACCATGGGCCATACTCACCATATAATTCATTTTTGAATATTAAAATTAAATATATATATATATATAATATATATATAATATTAATATATATATATTGCGTTATTGAATATGTAAGATTGATGTGCCAGGGGATTATATGGGATAGAGTGAATATAGCACCAGTTGCTAGTCACTACTTATTTAGAGGTACAGGCCGACTTCGAGGATCATATTAGTTGGCCTTTGGATGAATTTTGGTACAAGATCGCATTGGGAAGAACATGATTTCCAACAGCATTTTGTTTCAGACTTGCATGATGTTTCCCATATATTCCCATATAATTTTGCATACAATATTATGTGTTGTTAGAATATTATATAATGTTCATACGCAGATCTGTTCCAGCAAAGGCCCTACTGTCTTAGGCCAGGCTCAGTACCTGGCTCTCACAGGAAGGACTTCGATCATGCCAAGTATGACGAACTCTTCAAAGTGGTGGAGAAAGAGATCATGCGCTTCCTCCATTTGCTGAAGATCATTTGGCAAAGCCACCGGAAATGGGGAATCTACTGGGAATATTTAGGCATTTATTTTTTGGAATATTTGGGAGTATTCACCCCGCTTCGCGTGGGGTGGCCGCCCACACCGCAGGTTTATTTCGGTCCGTGAGAGGGGCTAAGGGTGGTTTTCCCCCGTGGGGGCTCTTCAAGCTAAGAAGTTTCAATAAGAAATCCTTCCAAAACATTGTTTTTGACAGTGTTTTTCCAATGTTTCCAGTCAAACAGACGGTAATTTACACGTTTTTTGCCATAAAGGCAGTAAATCCTTCCAAAACATTGCTTTTGACAGTGTTTTTGTAATGTTTCCAGTCAAGCATACGGTAATTTACACGTTTTTTGCTATAACGTCAGTCCAAAACACTTGTTTTTGCAGTGTTTTCAATGCTCTGGCATCCAAAAACCCTGCAAAATCTTGCTATGTACAATGTTTTTTTCATTTTTGGCCGTTTTTCCATTGCCGGAAAGCTACCAAAATGACCCAAAATTCCATTTCAATACCCTCTTGCGCTCAGACACCCAAAAATCCTCGAAAAATGTCGAAAACACCACCGTATTCTGGTCTCGGTGCGAAACCGTTTTTGGGGTCTGGTCTCGGTGCGAAACCGTTTTTGGCCCCCCCCCCAGCTAAAGCTGATATAGCGACTGCTATATTAACAAATGTCATTGAGCATTTAGTGTTGCTGTTGCCCCCCAATAAGCACGCCTTCACCGCCAAAGCGGTGTGGGCGGATTTGGGGAACCTACTGGGACTCTATGGTACATGAACCTATTGATATCTATTGGGGAATATGTGGGGAAATGATGAGAAATGTCAGCCCCAGCAGCTCAGCAATCCAAGGCAACTACGAGTTATTCTCCAATCCATTGAAGCCAGGGAACGAGAACGAACTTGGCTACGTGGGAAGGTGCTGGGAGAGTTCCTGGTCGATGTGAGGATGATCAATCCGAATCGATGTGTGGGGTGCAGGGTGGAACCACAGATCCCATGCAAAAACTTGATAAAACTTGTGCAGTTCAATTCTCCACCAGTTTTTTTTTGTGTTTTTTTCTTCCCTGGGATCCGGATCTGTTGTTTTTCTCAACACACTCTTGCCGTTTTTCGACAACGGTTCTGTTGTCTCACTACTCAGCTAAGATGGGAATCACTGGGGTGAGACATTCTCCCCAGTAACTGGTAACTGGTGCAAGGAGAGACGGGACCCCCCCGAATCTTGGTCTGTGAATCTCGTCCCTTCATAAGCAACGGGAACTGAGTGAAGCTCCAGCCCAGTTTTTTATAAACACATTTTCCGACTGAAACGTATTGGTCTCAAGAGGACATCATTGCAGGTTTCATTGGTTTTTAGTTTGACCAGTAACTTGTAATGATCACTTGGGGTCCCTAGAATATCCTAAAATGGCTGAAGAAAGCAAGCATATCCACCAGTTCCACCAGCGGCCCAGGTTTGATGACAACAAGATCGTGGATTTGGCCATTGGCGAGAAGAACGTCTTCAAACGTCGTGGCCAACGCGAAGACCACAGCTTTCTGGCCAGGGGCTTTGGGCATGTTTGGGCCGGGGGTTGGAAACCCGAAACCCATGGGATTTTTGATCGCCAGCTGAGATAAGTACTTGAGTGATAACCAACTGGTGCTTTCAGACCTTAAATTTGCGCTTTCTGTGGCATCAATGCCTCCAGGCTTCCACCAAGCCATGCCATGCCCGGCCCGAGGTTTCGGGTCCTATGGATCCCTGAGAGTTCAATGTGCTAAATCCCACAATGTTGTTTGGCAAAATACCAATTCTAGTTGGTCAAAATCCCAATGCTCAATGTTTCTCGGTGAACTTGCATTTTTTCTTCACCCCACCAGGAACATATTTTTTCATGAATTTCCCAAATTTGAAGCCTATGGTTTTGGGCTACCCGGCTACCCCCAATAGGAAAGCTCCAAATGATCAGAGACCTTTCCCATTCATGGGTAATTTCATCTGATACTTTGGAGGTTTCCTATTTCCTATTATTGGTAATGTTCAGAAATTATTGGGATTGGAAATTTCCTATTTCCCAACCGGAAATTGAGAGATGGGAACAATGTCCCTGATTTCCTTTCATTATGAAATCTATTCCCTATCATGTTCTTTCTTGATTCCATTTCCATCTATTTCCTTAGCCTATCCCATAGGATCCATGTATGCCATATATGGTAACATGGATCCCATCACCGGAAACCCCCTTTATGTTACCAAAAAAATACCAGCACCATGGATCCGTCATGGCTATGGTAATCCCATCCATGATTTCCCCATCTTTCCCGAAATTCCCGGTGGATATTTTTTTCGGTCCTCCAATCAATGGCCATTTCAGGATCCTAGATTGGAGGTACCTACCATATATTTTTGGCCTATTTTTCAGGCCTAAATTTCAGGGAATATCCCCACAAAATATGGTGTTATATGGTACTAACGTACCTCCATTTTAGGATCCTGGATTTCCCATTGATCCAAGGAATCCAAGGGGCCCCCGAGGTTTCCTCCAAGCCCTGCCCAAGCGCTTGTCCTTCGTGGTGGACGTGAGCGGTTCCATGGCCGTCTTTAACGGCGACGGCCGGTTGGATCGGCTTATGGCCACGATGGTGACCCGTTGGAAGGAACGGTGAAGGGTGGTTTACCCTCTGGTAAACTAACATAGCTATTGAAAATGGCCATTTATAGTGGATTTACCCATTAAAAATGGTGATTTTCCATAGCTATGTTAAATTACCAGAAGGTACAGGATGGGGCCCCCAAGATCGCCAAGTCAGCGAAGTTGCCTCAAAAGTGGCTGAAATCTATGGTTTATGAAAGTTTATGGTAGATACAACTACAGTTAATGGGCTTTATAAACCAACTTAAAAACTGGGGGGCACCATCCTGTAGATATTATATATATATATGGATGATCAACTATGGAATCTACTGTGTATATATATATATATGGTTCATCAACTATGGTTACATAACTATGGTTAACTATGGGAAACATATTAGGTTTTATTTGGTTTAACATATGGGATAATGATAGGATACATATTAAAAAATATTATAGAGATATTCCCTGCAGTCATTGATTCTAGATATATTATCATCTATGGTTGATGGACTGTTGATGGGATGATGAATGGGATGTAGCCTCTGGCTTCAAGAATGGCCTGCTGGAACATCTTCCAGAGGGGATAACCCCAGCGAACTAAACCTCCATTTCCTTCGGGGATTTCCCAGCTAGCCACGTTTGATTGCCGGGGGGTAGACGCTGGGATACAGAATGGCGATGGATAGTGGGATATGTATTTGGGTGATTCGTGGTATATCAGTATATCCATCAAAGTCTCAACAAACCACGGTATGGCACGTATTCCTTGGATATAACTTGATGTCTACTTGTGCCAAACATAGTCAAAATGAAGCATCAAACATGGGAATTGATTTCAATTAGAATGGGAATATGATTGGATATAGATGGATATAGACCTGGCGGGCGGTTCAATCGATAATTGACAATCAATACATCGGGATATGACTCATTGGTCTATTGGGGATTTGTGAGGATGTAATGGGATCTATTTGGGATGTATAGTGGGACGTAGAACCAACAATTTATCTGGGCAAATCATGATGGTTTGGAGTTAGGGTTCATCATCCCAAAAAGTTCACACACATATGACATACACCGTACCATATAACATTACATACATAAAACTACTGATGTCTGATTTGGGAATTACAATTTTCATTGCCGAGATTGGAGGTTGAATTTAGGGGACTTTTGGGAATCATGAGATGAGAGCACCATCCCATGCGACATGGCGTTGCCGCGACCGGCACCAGCTGATCCCCAAGGTGATGATGATGGAAAGCTTGGTGGGCTTGGAGCACAAGCCCCTTGGCGAAAAACACGCCTTGCCTTGCTGAGGTGACATCTGTTGTCTTATGAATTTCCATTCGTATTGGGGATCTTGGGGAAGAGGTTCTCCCCGCCAGTCTGAACAATCTCAAAAGAACGTATACCTAGTATAACGGCAGGTAGGCTTTTTAAAAGTTTCAATACATCTCTCAAACCAGCAACCGTCCAGGAGATCGAATGATCATTATGTTGGTGACTGAAAGTCTGGGGGAGAAACCCTTTCTGATTTGGGATTTCAATCCTATTTTGTTTTCTTTTATATACAATGTCAACCCTGGATTAATAAACCCCTAGGTTGTTTAATTGGGGGGATACCATTTAAGTATCAGATTATGACTATTGGGGGAATACCCCCCTAATTAATAAACCATGGTTTATTAATCCGGGGTTGACATTATATATATATAATTTGATGTTTCCTGGTGCTTGAAACAATTTATGAAGATTATCCCCCTGGACTAGAATCTCTGACATTGGTTGAAACAAGAAACCACGTCAAATTCTGGTGACACAACCGCTCTTGCTGATGACCTCTCCATTCTTTAGTGTTTTTGAACCATGTTTTCAATTGTGTCTGTCATCTATATCAAGTTTATCTCCAAGCATCTGCTGTAATTTCCCATGCCACACGTGTGGCTATCCATCTGCATAGTCAAATGCCAATCTACCTACACAAATACCAATCTACCTGCCTATCCATCTACCTGAATTCTACCTGATCTACCTACCAATTCTCCATTAATCTCCCAACGTCCCTGCTATCCTGCTGTCATCAGGTACATCTACGAGATCATCGGCCACAGCGGGGAAAGTGACTGGTTGCCCTTCGTCAAAATGGGCGAGGCGCCCAAGGATCGCGTGGAGCGTTATGCCGTGATCGAGGCCATGACTGACCATGCGGCCACAGCCAGAAGTGGGGACAACACGCTGTCTGCTGGGGTCACCTGATTCGAATGGAACGTTGTGCAATATGAAAACCTATACAGTTTTCTGAAGATATCACCCTTAAAATCAATAAAATCATCCCAATTTAGGAATCTGCGGCAAACCTCCTTTACCTTTGATGTTAATTGAAACCCAGGGCTTCCAGATTTTCCCATAATCACCAATGAGCAACGGCTGGATCTACCCAAGGTCAAGGCTGTTCAGGAGATGCTTGGCGTGCTGACGTGGTCATCGCTGGTAAAAGGTTACTAAATGGGTTGACTATGGTTGACTGGGATCTGGCTAAATACTGGTGCCAAATTCTAGTGATCTCAGCAGACAGTAGCAGACATCACTACAGATTTATGTCTTTCATTTGAAACTATCCCTCAAATTTGTTGGAGAAAACACATCAGACTACGTGTGATGGGATGGCATTCGGTTGTTTGATGACTGCCGAAACTTGACAGTTTCGGCGGCATGATGTGGCATGGGTCCATCATGAGGCCCTCTTCCAACATGAGTCCGACATGCCCAGACCCAAGCAATGAGCAAGTAGGTGTGCATGTTGATGTCCGCAATACCAACTGAGAAGATCATCCCAAGACTTCCATGACTGTGTACATACCATTTGTATCATGACTCACTACATCACACTTTTTCCACCTTCCTACATATTGAGACCGCACTACCATCACTACCCAGGTCCCACCAGGCAGTGTACCCGAAGCCATGCCGAGGATAGTGAAACATGAAGCGGATGACTTCTTTGTTTTCCTGGTCTCTGACGCCAACCTGCGAGGAACCCACGGGGTATGGTTGAGATGAGAATGTCTCAGAATCTGCAGGAGAGAAATCCAATGATTTATCATAGTTTATCATGTTACCGTGGTAGCACCACCATGCACCACCATTTACCACCATTTTCTGGATCTTGTTTGTACAGATTCGATGTTGGCAGGGCCACCTGCTGGCCGCCTGCTGAACCTCCGGGATGGCGATAGCAATCCCAACTTTGACCAATAGAACAAGTACAGTACCTCACAATACAGATTATCACATTTTCATAATGGTTAATCATGGTTAATATTGGTTAAAATGGGGATTATCAAATGATATCAAATGAATTCACCATTTTTGAAATATACCTCAAATCCTGTTGGGGAAGGTCAAATTTTGTAGCCCTGAAGGATATGGCATCTCTCCACAAGATTTGGCTATGGCATCTCGGTCAAGGATCCGGTGAGATCTGATGCAGTTTCTGTCATCCAAATCCCAACAGCAACATCAACTGGCAGGTGATTTCTTCAGGAAACCTGTGCCAAATCCCCAAAAAATGCCCGTTTCGCGTTTCCCGCGCCGGGGTCTCAGGCACTGACCGGTGAGGAGCGCGTGAACGCTCACGCGATTTTCATCGCGGAGCCGGAGGTGGCTGAAGAGATGACGCAGTGCATGCCGGCAGGGCATGCGCACCTGGTGATGGATACCGCTGGACGGGGAGTGGGGGAGTGGGATGAATGGAGACAGAGATGTTAAGTAGGCCAGATAGGTAGATAGGTATATAGATAGAATTAGATAGACAGATAGAGAGGTATAAAGGATGATAAAGTGTATATAGATAGAGAGGTAGAGAGGTAGATAGGTAGGTAGATAGACGTGGATTGGCATTCCGCCATACTCCGCGTGAATACATCCAATGTGATTAATTATTCGAGTCAACATGTGGTCAGATTCCTGGTGCAGTCAAGGATTTCAATTCAAAGATTACAATAATAGGTTGCTTTAGATTATACCATGGAGTTCAATATCTTATGAAAATTGAGCAGATAATTAGCATAGATAATAATGGCTTGTAATAGGTTGTGGTGGATTACAATAGGTTATAACAGGTTACAATTATATAGATATTATACATAATAGATATTAACAAGATCCTAGTCAAGTATTGATAAATAGACTTTAAGGCTTGCCGGTTCCCAATTTTTCAGCATCCTGTCTGCAGGAATGCCCCTGCTCCTCAAGAATATCTTCGCCCGAGCCGTGCTGGCAGCTGGCCCCAGCAAGTTGTGACGCTGGGTGAATTTCCAGCAAATCCTGAACTTATTTTGCCGTGCGCAAAAAGGGAGGAACTGCTGCTTGCGGCATTGCAGCTGTCTTGGTCGGACGTTTTCGTGGGGTATCCTTGGTTGTTTCTAGTTTAACCGCTTAACCATTCAAGCCATCCATTAGCTTGGTAAGATTTTCATACATTTTTGGCATACCAAAATGCACTCAACATTGACAACCACGGTGCGAATGGCAGGTTAGTGAGTTGCCGTAGAGCTGGAACCAGCAGCACCCGCATCATTTCGGCAGTGATCAAAAACTTTTGTTGGTTGAGGATCATGATTTCTAGTTATCCTGTCTTAGAATCTAAGCTGGCAAGGGACGGTTAGGTTGCCAGAACCATGCCAGAACCACAGGTTGAACATGAGGACAAGCATTGAATGGTGGGTGGCCCCCCCCCCCGCGCTGATGCGGTTGCCGCTGGCAGCACTTAGATCCAAAGCACTGAGATAGCCGCAGTGGTGCAAGCCATGCGGTGGGTCAAATTGCAGTGACCTAAGATGGGTCACGTCGCCAAAGAACATGGCCCAAAAGCGATAGAGACTGTGAGAGTTGGGTCAGGAGTCACGATGATCATGTCCGATACGGGGAAACAAAAATCAGAACTTTGATTGATTTTATTAGAGGATCAAAACTGGGGAAGTTGGCAGTTTTGAAATACCTTGAGAGGGGACAGGCTGGTGGGGATTTTTAGTTTATACTTGGGAACTTACTCAGATATGGCTATGTTTACGTATGTATATATATATACACGTATGTGTGTATATATTATATATAAATACAACATATATGCGTACACTCACAATAAATAAGCATACAACATATCAGTTGCTTTCACAATCATCAACAACAGACAGCTAGGCGTTGCGTGCGATACAACTCGCAGTGTGGCAGCACCTTCCAAATGGTTGAAGCCCAAAATTATCATTTCCAATAACCCATAGGATCCATGGTGCTGCTATATATGGTAGCATGGATCCCATCAATATACCCCCTTTATGTTAGCAGAAAAATACCAGCACCATGGATTCTATGGGCAATGGAATCATTGAACATCACGGGAGATGATTTGTCTGAGTCAATGTCTCGTTTGCTTGTCATTTGTCCATATTTTTCCAACCAGTTGGTTTCATCATTTTGTGTTGTATGTTCCCTTAAATGCCTCACAGCCTGCCGACAGGAAGACGAAGACCAAACAGCTTTCAGACGCTCCCAGGCGGAAGACGTTGTGGCCTGTTGTGGCAGCCTGGGCATTGCTGAGAGTCCAGATCTGGCTGTCATTTTTTGGAAATGCACCGAAAAAAGAATGGGATCATTTCTGATGATATTGTCGAAATGTGACAAAAAAAAAAGTGACCGCAGATAAAAGCTGATACCCTCTGGTAAATTAACATAGACCCTGGCAGATAGGGTTTGGAAGATTAGTTTCCATTAAAAATTGGTGATTTTCAGGGTCTATGTTAATTTACCAGGGGGTATGGCTGAATTTGGGGCGTTGTCGAAAGCTGCCGTGACTCACGACCGTGAGAAACCGTGATAAGGGGAGGGGTTATGCCGTTATGCCCCCAAATGGACAACGAAAATGGGATTCAACAAATGGACAATGCATTCTACAACTCATCAAGGTGGGGACATGCCTAATGTATAACTGGAAGTTTAGTGTATTCATACCCAAAAGACTTCGTGATTTTCCTCAGCATTTGGGTCATCCTCCAGTTTCGGGCAGGTTGCTGGAAGATATTGAGATCAAATTGATGCCTCAGCCTCAATTTGTCAAGCTGCCAGCTGGCGCTACGAGGGGTCCGTAGTATGTTGCCTGCTATGTTGCTTGGGTGATGGGGATTAGCCCAATTCATTGCAGCTGTGGAAACTGGTAGCTCCTAGCCAGTCAGGTTCCAAGAGTCCATCTGCAGGCATAGAATGGAGGTGTCTTTTTGTGAGTCAAAAGGAGCAAACTGCACACCATAATTGCATGATAGTTATTGTTAGATGCAACAGCAAATGGCGCACATGGCGCAAGTGGCACCAGAAAGATAGAAGTGAAACCCTGCTCTGGAGTGAAACTGAACCTCTGTCATAAATCTTTCATGGCCCGCTGGATTGCAGAACCTGAACAGAAAAGGTGAATGGAACAATTGCTGCCTCCTGGAGCGTTCGCTGATGCATGATGTACTGTGATACCTGATAGACACGGTGATACCTGATGTGTGTGTACTCAATATCCAGCACTGCCGGCGAGCTTTCCAGCACTGCCGGCACCAAGGACTGAAGACGATCGCTATTGGTCAGGCAGCGCAGATGGGATGTTTCCTTGGGTTGCCGCTCATCCCCGTGCAACTGGCGATTCTCCTGGGACTGGTGGTGCCACCACTTTGGATTCCCCAAAAATGGAGTGTGCTTTTTCTGCATATGGACCTGATCCCTTGCAAAAACTGGCGTTAGCCAGAGTTCCTAGAGCCATTCTTAGAACCTTTCCCCAAAAACCTAAGAGCGATATTTTAACTCCAGGTGCCTGGGGAGGCTTGTTGATACTACCACTGGGAAAACAGCACTCCTTGCTCCCCAGAATGAGGCCCAGCATTTCTTGCTTTCTTGTTGCCACACTTTTTTTTTTAAATTAGATGATCGTTTCTCAATGTTTTTCACATGTTTTCACATGATAAATGAATGATCTGCATTTTATGAAGGGGACAGAGGGTGGCTACGCCTTACCCTGCGCAGTCCTGGTTAAGTGGTTGTGACTAAGTTGATCTAAGTCATTGACATCCTACCCCGATGACAACCACGGCAGTTCATGTCAGGTTCGAAACTCTTCAAACCCGACAAGGACTTCGGGCCCAAGAGGGCAAAGCGATATCTGAGGAATCAGGGTACCGAAACCACCTAGCGATGCCAGCACCAAAAGATGCGTAGCTGTTGGGGTTGGGTGTGGATTTTGAAGCCCCATGGCCCATGGCCTCTTTGGAGTTCGTTTCCCGATGATGCACTTCTTACCCGAGGGATCAAAGAGCTTGTCATAATTGCAGCAGCACTTTGGCTTCAGTCTCAGATGCATAGCTGGTCAGGTTGCAAACACTGGGTTGGCAAATAAGGCATTGGCACGCACCAGCAAATATAATTATATTTAATTATCATTTGTATTCATTTGTCATTTGGAGCGTAACCATCCTAATCACCATTGTCATGCGGTTGTCCTTAAAATATGATTGGCAAGTGATTAGCATGTTCCACGTTGGAGGTATCCCAGCACCGTTTGAATGATGAGGGGTTATAGGGTTATATTGAGGTTTCCTGCAATTTCCCTCAAATCAACCCTTGATATGAGCATGCTCCAACCATCCTTTGCCTTTGAAATGTTGCACCGTGCGTCTGGCCGGACAAGGGGATGCCAGCATGGTATCATCGTTTGGATTGCCCAGCTTTCGCCGGAAAAGCTCTACTGGGTACTTGCTGATAAAAATGAGATTGTCACAGTAAGCGAGACCTATGGAAGATGGCTATGACGAGTAGATCCTCTCACATCACTAAATAAAATAATACAAGACCATCCTATCTACTATAAATCAGGGCATCCATGGGCATCCTATATATCAATTTTGCCATAGACGAGGCCTGCATCATCCCTTGACGCCTGAGGGTTGGCTGAGGTTGACTGAGGTTGACAAATTTGACCAACTCGAAATGCATCAAGGGATTCTGAAAGAAGCAACAGGGGTTCGTTGGATTCGAGATATAGACATGGACATGAACATGACTGCTGGTGAGGTTCTACAATGCGAAGATTTGGCAAGAAGGGAAAAAAGGCAGAGAAGGGCTGGTGTTTCTGGGATGGTTCTGCCCAGATCATCGGAACAACATCACTCAGAACTTGAACCTAGAACCCAAGGGGAACCCAGGGCAACATTCCCCAAGATTTCCCATTTGAAGGCCACAATAGGCAGCACATGTTGATCTCCCAGGCCCTCCGCCCATCTTCGCATCCATTGGAGTGCGACATCCCAACCAGATCCAGTTGGATATCGCCCTGAGGGACCAGGAGCGGCCGGGTCAACTGCTTCAAAGATCCCCAAAAAGATGTGGAAAAACCCTGGGAAAATGAGGGAAAATGATCGGAAAATGAACATGGTGGGTGGCTTTCGCACATCGAAGTGATAGTTTACAACGTTTACAGGAGGCGACACTGTTGGATCTTTTGACAGATTCCAGGCTGGCAAAAATTGTCCCAAACTCTTTTTGGATGTCGATTCGTGAGGCGACATTGCAAGACCTCTTTGACTTGGTCGAACAGGAGGGGACAGGAGGGGAGGCGTAGGCGTGCTCCAGTGAATCGTGTGACTTTCCTGTCTGACTCATGACAATCATGACAGTCAGACAGGAGAACTGAAGAAAATTACCCCCAAGAGGAGGTAAAACATGGGCTTTTTGTGCTGTTTTTCGCTCCATTTGGGCTGACATTTTGGGAACCCATACGGCACTGGACGTGTGGGGCTCGCCGCTGCGCTAGGAGATTGAACACTTCGATGCTGGCAACACCATCATTGCCGTCGCTCAGATCCCGAAGGTGTCGCAGGCGAGCGGCTGGATATGGCATGATATGGGATAGCACCAAGTAGTGTGGGTTGTATATACCATATTAACATTATTAACCCCCCCATGGATATCCCATGATTGACCTATTTTCTGCAAGTAATCCCATTTTATATTCTGGTTGGTGGTTTCAAACATGATTTTTATTTTCCATTTCATATATGGGATGTGATCCTTCCCATTGACGAACTCCATGATGTTTCAAGATGGTTAAACTCACCAACCAGGATAAACATGTTTGACATATGTTGAAGCCATGGAGCATGGGGTTTGTACACCACAGAAGTTGTTTGGATGAAGCCACCGCCAGTTCCCAACTTTTCATCGTTTTACTGGGCACAAAAATAACGCCGGAGCTCAAGCCAGGATCAAAGTTTGGAGCTCTTCCGGGAGAATCGTGCCGGGCTGCTAAGAGATCTGAGAGCGGGAAATTATGATTGAATTAGATTAAGTATGATTACCCTCTGGTAAACTAACATAACTATGGAAAATCACCATTTTTCATGGGAAAACTCACTATAAATGGCCATTTTCAATTGCTATGTTAAATTACCAGAGGGTAACTGCCATAGATCACTTTGTAGGCAAGTTTCTGAGGGAAGCCAAGGAAATATGTCTGCAGCCCCCAGGCCTGGCAAGGCTTGCAACGTCGCATGCACAGCTCGGTGGCACGCTTGGAATCTCGAGGCTGAAGTCCGACACCTAACGGCCCACTTTTAACGGGATTGGATGGGGCTATGATATAATCCCCCCTAATTTTAAACACACCACAAATGGTCCCAAATTAGTGTAAATCTGCTACATTCTCCTACTAAACCATGGTTTCTGGCGAGAGTTTTGTATTAAATAGGTGGAAGGAATTAATCTGATATCAGGGGGATAGATTAGAGAATTACTGTATGGGAAGAATAGAAATGTGACATTAAGGGGTATAGAATGTAAAACATTGTAAAACTACTATGTAAAACTTATATAGTAAAACTAGTATCTAAAACTCATATAGTGGGATAATAGTATTTGAAACCAACCATGCGATTATCCATGTATGTTGCCCAATATATTCTCACACTGATGACATTCCGTTGGTACGTATTGGGTATATCATAGTATCCCATTTGTCATGTAGGTTTGTTTAGTATGATGATCAATGTTTTGTTTCTATATTCTTAATATCAAAACGGTGTTTTGTTTCTTTGGTAAACATACATCACATACAAAAAATTATACAGTAGCAACTTTGACTCATGTTTCTTAGAAATGGGTTTGTTTGAGGGGTAAATGATGAAAACCGATGGGGATGGATGTCAAATTAGTGAAGCTTTGTTGAATTTTCCATAGTCTATCTACTCCGGGGACTCCCGGATGATTATATTTCTCTAGCTGATCATGGCTGACGCGTGGGGCCTAGTGAGTGGGAGAAATTGAATCTTGGCCTCAGGGCTATCGATGTTGGCCTATGCCTTGGCACGGATCAGAGACTTTGAGGTCTGGGATGCTCTAACTTTGGCGGCTTGAACCAGATATAACATGATATAACCAGATCTACTTGACCTATCTTGACCTTAGAAACGCATGTTTCTATCCTGCCTAAAAATCTGACTGGATCCAACTACTGTACCGGTAAACCAGGAGTTCTGGGGGTCTGTGGAGGCGAGGGATTCCTGTTTAGCTTGTGTTTAGGGTAGGTTGCTGTCTTACTATCTCATTTAGACCTAAAGTGGCGAAGCAGCGTTTAGGTTGTGTTTGGGGTAGGGCGTTGTTTTACTATTAGCATAGTGCTTTAATCTTGCTAGTTGCGTTCTCATTGTGTTTGGGATGGTTGCTGTTGGGTTCTGCAGCTACTGGCGTCTTGCTGTTGCTGCGGCTGCTGGTTCGACGGCTGCTGCTGTTGCTGTTTCCGGGTACTTCTACACAACGCTGGGATTATCATCTCTACACTGCCATGGCGGTGTGCTGGGATTCTGCAAATTGTCATTGTTTCGCTACCAGTGATCCAAGGAAGGGCAGGTTTGCGGCTTGCGGGCCAAAGTCCATGTGTGTAGATGCGGGGCTTTTTCCGTACCTCGTTTTGACCTCGTTTTGGACCTCGTTTTTTTCCTTTATCAGAACCCATCCTGCAGTATACAAACTAGGAAAAGGGCCTGCTTCGCGTTTTTGTTTGTGGGCGTCAACAGTGCCCACGAAAAAAGGCCCGTTGGAAACCGGCGTTCCGATGGGATTCGATCAAAAACGAATAGAACATAATAGAACCATGATAGTTTGGTCAAGGCTTGTTAAAGCTAGCGTTTCCAATGGGGAAAGGGGTTTTGCAAGGTCTGTGCCGGGACAGGGGTCGTGGCGAGCGTTTTGATTGGGAATAGCTGTCAAACGCAAACATTGCAAGGACTTGGGCGTATGGGTGTACTGGTAAACCAGGAGTTCTGGGGGTCTGTGGAGGCGAGGGATTCCTGTGGGGTGATCCTGGCGCCAGGATCCTGTGCTGTTGAAGGCTGTCCTGGACAGATCAGTGGCACGGTCCCCAGATCTCTGCATCGCGGTGACATGGGGAATCCACCATTTGGATCCATTTGGGGGAATCTACCCTCTGGTAATTTGCTACATAGCTATTGAAAATGACCATTAATAGTGGATTTTCCCATTAAAAATGGTGATTTTCCATAGTTATGTTAGTTTACCAGAGGGTATTAGGAATACAGGATGTTCCTTTTATCGTTTTTTTTCTTTCGGCAAATCCAAGTTTTGGAACTATTGTTTTCCAGATTTCTTGAAGATTGATAAAGCCAAAGGCCAGTCGGCAAAATTTTGAGGAGACATTTTGGAATGGGAGGAAGTCCAACATTCCAAAAAATCCTGGGGAAAGGAAGGATCATTTGGTCATGGTTGGGCCGAAATGGGTTAGTCTGAAACTCGGATACCCCTGAAGCCGCTTAATAGACTTAATCATCATATGTTCTAAATCCACTGAATTAACCATCATTTCCCCATCTGTTCTCTCTTGAAATTGCTGTACCATGCGATAAAGCCCCCATGGTATCGGAGCGTGACACAGTGAGGTGAAAATGGAGGACTTTGGCCCAACGGATGCTGCAAAGCGACTCAGCCTGACTCAGCGCATCTCCCTAGTCATTGCCAGTGTGGATTGCAGACTTAACTTGACACATGTTAAAAATCAACAACATGTTCTTTGCATAAACAAAAGCACACACATCAATTGTCCGTGCAATTACTGTGCTGACTTCTTCATGTGTTGCGTTTCGATACTTTTCAAGGTCCATTCAATGGTAATGGTGTGAAAAAGGGTGGGCCTCCCTATACCACCAGTGCTGGAGGGTTTTGCCTTTCAGTTCAGCCACACGATGAGGATCATTGAAGCATGACCTTCAGAGTCGTAATGGGTAAAATATGGTAAAATATAGTGACCTCACTGCGACCTGACTAGAATCATGGTTAGCAAGGGGAATCACCCCCCAAAATGGCTTTTTTTCAGGTTATACAGTGACATATTTTAATTTACTCAGAATGTTATACAGATCATCAGATAATCTAATTATTAGATGCTTCGTCTTGGCTTGGATGGGATTCGCCTACTTCATTTGAGCCGGTCCATGCTGGTCCAAGTTGACTGTCACTGATGTCACTGATGTCTGCAGGTTAGCTTGGGTTCTGGCCAAGTGGCTTGGTTTGCACTGCCCTATGACACTGTCCCCTTTGATGGCCGTTTGAGTGCCTCAGTAGGGCTCAGTAAGGGTTCCGGTTCCGGATGCAACTTCTCCGTCTCAGGTTGCAGATCAGAGACCGCGGCGATCTTTGGGCGGCGCTTTCCAAGGAAGCCGCACGGAAGATTTGTGACTCGGACGGGTCGTAGATTCTGCTGCGATCTGCAGCTGGGCCGGTCCATGGGGGTGAGAAAGTTCGGAGAGGAATGAACAAGTTACTGTATATACACAGCAGCTTCTTATTGAGATTTGGCGTTGCTTCTATAATATCGTATAATATTGTATTATGGAACATTGATGATATCTGTGGGACTGTAGTTTATTTCAAACATTACAGTTGCTTCTAGGTTTCAACTCTCTTTGTCATGTGGTACGTACGTACACCCTGGTACGCGAACATGGCAAGGGACAACACCTCCTTTTGATATGAACATGAATAATCTCCCAGTGCTGCCCACCAGCTACCCCCCAGGCCTATTTCCAGTTGTAAGTAGGTTTAGTAATAGTTTAATACTTTAATGAGGTTTGATTTACATATTATGAGTTCATTTTAATTCATATATGATATATATATATATGATATGATGATATGATAAGATAAAAAAAGGGACCTGATAAGGACTTGTAGGGTTTTATGTAGTACCCACTAACCTGGCTCAAACATTTGTGTTATATCTTCCTCAGTCATGTTCCTTTTGGGAGATCAGCAGAAAGGCGACTCTGGACGCTTCATTGACATTTCGATGACAGCTTGGGCCTTTGCCAAAGCTGGCCAAGCAGATGCTTGACAAGCGCAGCATGCTGCGCAGCCGGCTGCGCAGCGGGGTATGGCCTTCTGCAAAATGGGTGCACTTGTGAAGGTGAAAGAAGGGAAATCTGGAGAGTGAGGTCCAGGAATTAAGATATGTGTTTTTGATCTTTAGCTGCTCATGTGGCAGACAGGAGCCAACAAGAATCTTCAGCTGCTGTTTTTGATGTGATATCATATAATTATTAGGTTTCAGGGGTGCAAGGGGGTCTTGCGGCAAGTTCCAGCCTAGGATAAATCACATCCAGCACCCATTCTCTTGACAGAGTCCACTATTGAGGACCCTGCCCTACTTCCCATTGAGACTGTTATGCCTTCCATTGACATTGTCAATAGGAAACTCATGAAACTGGAACATTCCATCAGTTGTGCTGCATGTGAACTCTTTGCCACATCTGGGGCTTTTAGATAGCCACACTTAGCTTCCTGCGACTCGCAGGAAGCTGGATGATTATCCCTTAGGTCGCATCCAGCACAACTGGCCTAGGAACGGGTTCTCTTTGGACAGTTGGCTTCAGCTGCCCTGGACTGCAGTGACCTCCCACCGCCCCCTGGCTCAACATGCAAGAAACGCAGGTGCGGAGAAGTGTCATTCCATTGGGTCATGGACGCCATCAGGCATACGATTGCAAATCTGTGCTGGGCCTTCGCCAAGTCCAAAAACAAGCACCCGCAGCTCTTCGATATGCAACTCGGCCCATGGTGGTGAAAGCCTCAAAATCCCGGAACTTTGCGATTGGGCCAACAGGCAGATTTTGTGGAGGTACCGGTGCCGGCCATTCAGTCGGTGGATTATTATTTCACTCAGGGGTGGACATCTATTTTCATTGAAATGTCAATGAGATCTTGTAGGTACCATGTTTTTGCCCGCATTGAGTAGATAATATTGCAAACATTGAGTGCGATCAGAGCGTATGTAACATCTGCATACATTTGCTCGGGTCATTGACCTGAAAGGAACTGCGTTCTATAGTATCTATAGTGTAGACTTCCGGGAGGCAGCCCGACTCCACACTCTTTAAACTCCTAGACAATCAACTTCCCGTCCCAAACTAGTTTTTTCCCCAAGACCCACCCGGGATTAATACCAATGTGGGAACCCCAATCAAAAACCTACCATTTGGGGATGATTTCAATCCCACACACACAAAAATGGTGATGACTTGGGGATGGTTCCTATGGAATTGGGTTTAGTGTGGGTAAAACAAGGAATAACCCCCCAGCCATCGCCATTTTTATAGGTGGTATCTTTACCATTCCCAGGGACGTCCGAGGTTGGCGAAACGCTCCATCGAAGGCCACCGATCCTTTGATCGACAAAGTGACGCCCGGTGGCAGATTTCGGGGCGAGATGCTAGAGAAAAGGGATGAACAGCGCTTTACATATGGGGATGGGTCAAAACCCTGGTACCGTGCCGTGAACCCCAAAATAGCATAAAATAGCTGGGATTTATGGATGTTCATCCCACTAAAAATGTATCTATAGGTATTGACCCAGACCCATATTTATGATTTATATAGGGGTTTATAAGGATTTTGTATTTATAAATGATTGAACCATAGGGATTTAAATGAGTTAACCATGGGGATATTTCGTTTTTAGTGGTAGCTCGCAGCCATAGGGAATAAAATGATTGAACCTCCATCAGTTGGGGAACATGTCAAAGAACCCAGGCGCAGCTGGGAGATTTGCCAATATCTACAACTGCTTGCTGGTTTCTTCAATATACAACAAGTGTACCCTTTGGTTATTTAACATATAGCCATGGAAAATCATCACTTTGAAAAAAAGGTACATCATCTATAAAATCTATTTCTATGGGTCATTTTTCATAGCTATGTTAGTCATAACCAGAGGCTACCCTTTATTTTGGACCATGCTTTGGATGATTTACCCGGCGATCAGTGATCCTCAGTGATCCAGGTCTCCAACCTGGTCTGGGCTTACGCGACCTTGGATGTGTGTCACGAAGAGCTCTTTGCCGTCTTCGCGAACTACACGGTTGGCACCGGCACCGGTTTTTGTTTGGTCGTCCTGGATTGTAGATTACCCTCTGTAAATGTCTATAATATAAATATCTAATGTATCTATAAGATAGATTGGCTACAGAAAAGCACCATCATCAATGGGCAAATCATCTGCAAACAGGCCATTTTCCATAGCTATGCTAGATTACCAGAGGGTATGACCTTGGGATACATTGGGCCCCCATGTTTCTACAGATGACATCATCAGAGAGTGATTCGGGAGCATCTTTCTTGCCTTTTGCGCAGTCGTGCTAGCTGGGGATTGGTCAAAAACTTTCAGAAACGTCAGGGGACGAACATGCATGCTTACAATAGCCATCAATAGCCATATAATTAATAGATATTAATAGCCATTTTGATGTGAACAGCAGGAGGTCACAGGCATTGGATATGTTTGGATCGCTGATGCCAACTGGCGCCCCGTGTTGCTCCGAGATCGAGAGCGGGCTCTGGAGAAACTTCTCCCCGCAGATGGCATCCAACATGCTTTGGGCCTATGGCAAGGCACCGGTGAAATGGTATCCCCTTGCACTTGGCACGGCAACTATAGTCTAGGATAGTCAAGGGCATTAAGGGAAAAAAACATATAAAAATTATATATATATATAGATAGATGTATAATTATATATATATATACACATTGTCAATTGTTTATTGTGTATTATATTATGCCATGTTCTTTTTAACCATTGCATAATGTTGTACAATGTTTGTATATCATATTATGCTATGCCATTGCTGCCATTGTATATAATATCGTAATATATAATTATATATATATATATATTCTATCATTTTACATTCTATTCTATTATATGTGCAATGTAGACCTATTTGTTGTTTATTTAGACATAGGATTTTATAGGCACGTTTTATGGAAATCTTTGATTCCACCACAAAACTACTTGTTGCCCTGATGGCCCTCCTGGCTCGTGAGATTCGTTTCCATTTTCCACCAGGTGTGCGCACACAGCGGATGAGTTCACGTTTGAACCATCCACATCATTTAAAAAGTTAGGGGCAAGTCGCAAATAAAGGATAATAACGTTAGTAAAGCAATAGTATATAGTAATAAACAGTCCCCCAAATCACCATAAATGGGTGGTATAAACCATCAAAATATGGGTGTTTCAATATTATTGCTTTAATATCATGAATAAGCAGCGGCATAAACTTGGGCACTTAGTCAGCTAGTTGGCTCAGGGCTCCTGAGAGCTACCAGTTACCTTTGGCCCTGGTGTCCCTGACTTGTGCGGTTGGCACAGGTTGGGATAGCACACATGCGGCTCTTTGATACCTTTGCAGAAGCTTGGAATTGCCATGGGTTGGTTGGCCAACCATGGAATTGGCATCATCGTAATGGTAGTGGACAATATTGATAAAAGTGGCATGGGTCATGGGCCATGTTTTTCTTTGTAATGTTTCGCTGTCTCGCTGGCCCGGTTTGTCTTTAAATGGGATGGACTAGGGTATAGGCAATTTCTCCCTGACATTTGGGTGCGGAAACAGTAGCGACATCACTATCATCACTATGAGTTTGGGTTGGTACAGTAGGGGGAACCACAGCAACATTTCCAACATCTCAGGTTGGTGTCTTTGTCCAGCCAGGCCTTTGCTCGGCTCACACCCACGGGTTTATGGTGCAAGCGGTGCAACGTCTGCAACGGTCCCAGGAATACATCGCGCTGAATATCGGATCCTTTGACAACCAGAATATCGCCAACTCTGCCTGGGCTTATGCCACGACTCAACTTCCCAGCAACTCGGGACGAAGTTCGCCGAAGGGTTTAGGTCTCGGTCGTTCACGTTGGTTTTGATGTTGGAACATGATCACTTGATGTTTTAGGCAAGCCAAGCTAAGATTTCCAGCAAAGATAAGTTGATTCAGGGGATCAATTGATATCACTTGCAGTCCAAGACGCAATAAAGCATGGGGAACTAGCAGCTGGCAATATGATGTAGTTTCTTACCCTTCTTTTGAGGGCATTAATCATCACATGCCTAGTGGTTGCAAAGTCGTTGAGTGCCGATCGCAAAAACCTCAAGGACCTTTCAGGTCTTTGAGGTCAGAGATGGTCAGAGACCTTGCAGATATTCGGGGTCCTTGCACTTAGACGGTAACTTACTTTGTTCTCGGAAGGGTGACGAGAAGATGAGAATCATTTTCATTTAATGTTTGTGATGGAAAGAGTTCTGACGGCAGTTTTCGATCATCCTCACCCGCTTGCCTTGGCTTTCATGACTTGAAGATCTGGAAAACAATGGCCACATCAGATTGCATTCCGTTTTATGATCTATTTCTGCAACAAGTAGCTCATTGTTGTTGTTGATGTCAGTCATAAGTCATGTCCTTCATTCTTATATACTTGTTTCTACTTCTAATAATATGTAAACATTACAATCTTCCAAGTTTGGTTGGAGATATACAGGGCTCTTTTTGGGGATTTTGAACATCACTTTCAAGTATGGAGAAAAATATTCCCAATAGTTGGGTGATGTTTACTTATTTACTGTAAGACATTTACCAACCTCTGTTGTGGATCTTCTGTTGGCCAGCACCCTCGCTCAGCTTGAACCCTGAGGCCAGTCGGTCTTCGACACGCTGACGCGTCGAGCCTGTGGGCGCTTGAATACCTTCCGCTTGGATGAGCTGTGCGGCATCATGTGGGGAACTCAGAGTTTTTCCTTAAGATCAATCCATTGGCTCAGCTGCAGGTTCTGCAGTTTAAATGGCTTCAGGGCAGGGTCTGAAAGGAAGTTGAAAACTGAATTCCTCACTGCTTAGCTTAGGTTTTGTATGTGTTTGCTCAGTTAGACCACACGCAGATTCGTACTAGCAAGGCTTAGCATGGTTTGGCAAAAATGCAAGTGACTGTATCACCCTAAGATCCCCAAATTAGATAGTCCATTTCAGGGGGAATAGCTATGTAACTTGGCGCAACTGCATAACTTGGCAAGGTTCATGAACAAGCCTCCAGCAAGGATATGGCAAGATGTACCTGTGGAGTTTCATCCCATTTGGAGGTTTCTATATATCAACTTCATGCGGGTAGCCGGGTAGCCGATGATTTGAAGGTACCTCCCATTTGAGGAACCCCCTATTTTTTCATGGGGAGACTTCTCCAAACCATGAGAGGTGGGCCTATGTGCGAGCAAAGCCTGAGACCGTGCCTTTGAGATTACTGGGGCATGGTGGGTAAAACCATGGTTTCCACCATGGTTTTCACGTCGGTTTTTACCATGGTTTTCACATTGTTTGACCATGAATTTAGATGGTTTTATCATCTATGTTCTGATAGCAGAGCCATTGACCAAGTTCTGGGGTTTCCATCACTTCTGGTGCACTACTGAGTATTCACTCCTTGTCAGAACCGCACAGAGTTGACACCCTGATCCTTCAATGTGGTAAACCCCCACTGGTTGGTTAATGGGATGGTTTATGCTTGGGTTTAGCACATCATTTTGTTTCAGTTGGAAAGCCTTCAGTAAAGGGAAACTGCATGGGTCATATGGATTCCAAGCCATGTTGGTGTATTTTTACTGGTTCATTGTGCCCTGATTCTTTTTCTGGTCATCTACAGCTCATGGTAACCTGGTAGCTCCCCATCCTTGATACGTTGATGCCATTGCTGGGGTGCACCCAGTGGGGTTCAGGTGGCGTTCAGCCAGATCTTTGAAGAGTCGGTGCAGTTGCTGGTGCCACGCGTTGCTACCCTGGATGCTCAATCTGTGGCCAATGCGCCTGGGACGTCGGATGAGAATGGCCTCAGGATGGTGTCCTGCAGGGGGTTCAAACAGTGGTTTCACCAGCGAAGGGCGCCGAAGGGCACTTTTTTTAACAGATCTGTTGGACAGCAGTTATTTTTTGACAGGTTGTTTCTCCTTTCATGACCTTTTCATGTCACTTTTTCCTTCACCTGTTTCTGCCTGGGGTTGGATTCAGCTCTAAAGTGGCGAGAGTTCATGCCATGGTGCCCAAAAAGTCCCAACAAATCCAAACATTTACTCATTGGTTGGGTTCAAGCGGAAAAATGTCAGGAAAGCTTGTTTTTTTTTTTCTTTTTCTCAGGGCCTTCCAAAATACCATAGCATGTCCCTCCAATTCGTTTGACAAATACGATGCAGCAAAGTTTTTCCATCGTTTTTCCACTAAATCTTTACCCTCTGGTAAACTAACATAACTATGGAAAATCACCATATTTGATGGGAAAATTCACTATTTCTGTGGCCATGTTCAATAGCTATGTAGCAAATTACCAGAGGGTACCACAGTTGGTTCCAATGTTCTGGGTAAATTATAACGACCTCACTGCGACCTCACTGGAATCATGGTTTATGATGGGGAATCATCCCCAAATGGCCTTAAGATTCAGGTTAGTGAAATATTGTAATTTACCCAGAATGTGTTTTTTCTCCTTTTTTTTCCCATGGGCTTTCCCAAGAAAAATCCACCAGCTGCGAGGTGATCTGGGTGCTGGCCACCTGCCAGCAGCTGCGAAGAGAAGCGGTGCCAGGCAGCCGTGAACTGGTGGACCCGGACTCAGTGGACGAAACGAGGATTTCATGGGATTTTTTTGGGTGATTTTGGCTGGTAATTTCATGGTGATTTAATCCTCAGACATAGGGAATTTAGATGAATTCAGATCATGGTGTAATGGGACTTACTGGGATTTAAGTGGGAATTTCATATGCAGGTTATGCTGGTGATCAGGTATCCATTGGCTCCCGCCATGGGGAGCCAAGGAGCTACTGAGAGTTTCCCACATCGTGTATATAGCTAAATGATAGCCACAAGGGGGTCTTGGAAGCAACACTGTTGACTCACGGGAAACAGAAGGAAGGGAATATAGTACATTTACCCTCCAGGAAACTAACATATCTAACATGGATTTGTCAAACACATGGTTTTCGACCGTTAGAATATCATAAGTGATGATGTATGGAAAACATATGAACATACATAATAAGGTGGGGTTTTCCTTACCCAGGAAACTCTGGAAACTAACATAGATGTTCATGGGATCTACAATGATCTACAGTATATCTGTAAAATGAACAATAACAAGAAATAAATAATGGCATACATAGCCAACTATTTGATATTTGGATTTCCCTAAACAATGAGCAAATAACATCAAACAACCAGTCTGATGGGATAAGACTTATAAACTACTCTGAACTACTGGATCTTGGGTAATTAACCAATTTTGAAACAAAACCACATAGATCTGGAAAATCCGCCATGAATTTTTTGATCGTTTCCCCTCTGCAGTTTGCTGGACGGTATGGGATCTGTGTAAAATTCCTGGAAGAACATGTTGAAAAGCTGGAAAGAAGTTGCCGAACATGCTTCCGTTTGATGTTTTTTCGTTGGACATGGGGTCTGGGTCTCGGGTCGTAGGATCGGCCTGGTCACCACGTTCGCTGTGAGTCTTTGGTTCAAACTAGGGATAAAAATCCCTGGTCCAATGGTGGCCCCCAAAGCCACTTCCAAGATGTGACTGCTTCCAGGCGTCGCCGTGCGCGGTGTTTGCGTGCTTTTCTGCCTAATTATTGTGATTTGAAAACATGAAAGCGGAAACCCTTACCCCCGGGTTATTTAACATAGCTGCATAGCTATTGCATAGCTATTGAACACGGCCATTTATAGTTGACTTACCCACTAGGAATGGTGATTTTCCATAGCTATGGTCTCTCACTTTGCTCCAGGTGCCATGTCTTGGGGACATGGGGCATCCTTCCATTGCCATCGAGCCACAAAAGGATATGGAAAACCCACCATTTATCCATTTGCAGAGGATTTTTGAAGGGAAAACATGGGTTTTTCAACATCTACCCTAGGGCCCTAGGGTATGATCCCCACAGTCCCGTGCGTCAGGGGTATTCAAGCAGCAAGTTGACCCATGGCGCAACTGATCGCTGGCAGGTTTCAGGCGAGGCGAACTTTCTTGGTGCTTGGAGCTTCACCAAAGTACTGCGGTTTAGTAAATATAGTATATAGATGTATATATAGTCTAGTTATTATGGTTCAATTGGCTTTAGGCAGGGTAAGTATGGGTAAGTGGCGTTGGTCCACCTCTATCTTGGACCAAAATTACTTCCTAAGTGGAGTGAACTACTAGAAATCCACCATTTTCGTTGGTTTGGTCATCCACCTAACTCCTAACTGATCTTCCAAATTGCTGAATGATAGGTCTCGGAGAAGATCGGCTCGGGGTCCTTTGGTGATATCTACATGGGCATCTGGGCTGAAGCTCTGGTCGGGATGCCTCAGCAGCCCCTGGAATCCCAGCCGCCAGATGCCTCAGTGAATAGGGAAAGGCATCATTAAATCATTAAACTTGAGCCACGTACAATCACATCTCTGGTCCGCTGGCATTTTAGGGAAGGTTGCCCTTGCACCGCCACCCGTTCCACCTATGACAACTAGGAGTCCATTTCCTTGCTTGATTTGAGGATTAAGTTCAGGTGATGACTTCTAGGTCAGGAGTTTGGTAACATGGGCATTTTTGTCAACATCGGCTGCCCACCCCCTAAAAAAAAATCAACAACCAAAATCAACCAAATAGAGAATCAGAACATATCAGAAAACCCTCGGGCAGTTTAACATATGTAAAATGGTCACTGAAAAAAAGTTATTTTCCTATGGTACATTGGCAGAAGGTAACCTCTTGCATATCGTTGAAGAGCCCAGGCATCAACATCACAACGGGTGCCCCTGTGGCTATCAAGCTGGAGTCCGTCAAAGCCCAGCACCCGCTGTTACTTGACATGGATTTCCCAGGAATATGACCTGCATGGTGGATTTTTCCAAGGATTTGACCATATTTTACACATCTGCCATCCAAACATGGTTAGTTCCTTAAAGGGCAACTGTCCATCCAAACATGGTGGTTAAACCATCAGGTCAAGCCTGGTGAATAGACGGTTCATAGACGGTTCATAGACGGTTCATAGACGGTTCATAGACGGTTCATTGATATATGTAGATATGAATTCTGAGCCACACAAGAACGTATACCAAGGATACCCTGCTTCAGATTAACAAGTGTATCTAAGATTCGCCATGGAAAACATGGAGAACACATGCCTTTGCAATCGGATGGTCGCGGGGGGGGGGGGGCCATAGTGGGGGTTGCACACTGAACGAGTCCAGGGAATAGCAAGGACAAGTCTGCACCATTGTGGGTGCCAGCTGATCAACATGTTGATCTATATGACAATATGAGTCAATCATTTTTTGCTAATCAATAAATAACATCAACAAATACATAACTATATATATAGGCATGAATTATACATGTACATGCCTACAGTTATATGTACATTCAGCATTAGCAACCGTGGGGTTGCTGTCGTCCATCATGGTCCGGTCTCCATCATGGTCCATGGTCATCCGAGATCATCCGAGGCTCGTCTTCGAGTCGAAGCTCTACAAGCTGATCTCCAATGGCGTGGCTTTCCCCGGTTGGTTTTAGCGGTTCAGTTGCCGACAAAAAAGTGGCTGAATTCTATCTGGTTTAGAAAGTTGGTGGTTTCAAAGATGACTTGGAAAATTTTCCCATGATATATGGGATGTCATCCTTCCCATTGACGAACTCCATCATTTTTCAAGATGGTTCAAACCACCAACCAGCTATGGTTTAAAAAGTTTAAACTGTTTATGGTAGATACAACTACAGTTAATGGGGTTTACAAACCAACATAAACCAACAAACATCACTGGCGGGGCACCATCCTGCAGCTGATGATTTTCCAGGAATTTCAAAACATTGACACACGATTACACACCCTAGATTCTAGATGTTTTTTGTTTTAAACCCTGACTTCATATGACCTTTCCATGAAACCTTCTTTGAAGCCTGGGATCTGGTTGTGGAAACAAAAAGGGACCTCCCTGGACGACTAGCAGCTAGCGGCAGGCTAAACTAGCGGGTGTCATGACTGTGCATGATGAAGCTAGGTATAATGAGATCCTTAAAGGGTTTAAATAACAGTGTTTTGGCAACTTGTGGTATTTACGTGATTCCTTTGCATCTGACAGCATAATGAGATCTATATAATGAACCCAAACCATCCCTGACTCATCCCTGACCGATTTCGAAGATCTTCAAAATTTAATATTTCCCCGGTCGTTGAACTCATGGAGTCCTCCGCTGAGGTGCAAATTCCGGCGGTGCATTGGTATGGCGTGGAAGGGGAGTACAATGTGATGGTCATTGACCTCCTCGGACCTTCCTTAGAGGACCCGCAACAGGTGGTCGGCTCCGAAAAAGCCAACCGGGGAAGCCCGACCAGTTTTTTCCAGCCGTCAGGGGATTCAACATGATTCAACCGAGGTAAGCCCTAGAAGTGTACGATTTGCCCGTAAATCGTGATCCTTGGTGGTTGAGATGTGGTGAAGATGTTGAGATTCGCCGTCCATGGGATCACCAACCTGAGGGGTGGCGGCTAAGAGCCTCATGTTGACTGTGCTGTGAGGACCTCTTCAACTACACTGACCGGAAGTTCACCCCGAAGACCATCGCATCGCTGGGGCAGCAGATGATTGATGCCATTGAGCATCATGGCGCTTCCCAGCCATCTTTAGGGGGTATTGTTAATTTACAATAATTTACATATATACACACACATATATATATACACAGATTTCTATGTAACATATTGTAATAATTAATTACGTAACCACTATAGAAGCCAAACTTTTTTGCCGGGGAACCCACATGAACCAACCAGGTATGTCCATTCGAGAGGCTTTCTTCACCGGGATATCAAACCCGAGAACTTCCTGATGCTTGGCGCAGCTTGTGTTGTCATCAACTCATGGGTTTCAAGATGTGAATAGGCTGCTGCCTGATTTGCATCTGCCCATGAACACACATAATTACACCTAACACATAGAATATAGATGCACACACAATATATATATATATAGTTAGTATATATATATATATTATGTGAGTATATATATATATATGTGTGTGTGTGTTGCCATCACACCAGCGCCCACTAAGCTAGTTTTCTTCGAACAAATCAGGATGGGCGTCCAGAAGAAATCGGGCGACGTGTACATCATCGACTTCGGTCTCGCGAAGCGATACCGAAATCCACGGACCAATCAGCACATTCCCTTCAGGAACGATCGTCCCACGGCTGTGGATTTTTGATAAGCAATTGAACGGCTGAGTGAAATTGTGAAGATAATAATAGGTATAGCTATATATATAGTATAATATATACAATATATATATATAATATGTATATATATAGTATAATATATATATAGATAGATGAATGATGATAATAATGCTTGACTTTGCCAACTATTCTGATTCGTAGAGCCCGTTGTAGCAAAAATATGCAAAAATATTGGTGATACGCTGTGATACATATTATACATCAATTGAGACTAAAATTACATGGAGTGGGGCTGGCAACCAGCTATTTCATTCTTGATCTAGTTTGGCATTTCACTGAAGCGGGATGGACATTTGATTTCATGAGGGATTCAGCTGTGCCCCGTCCTTGCTGAGATGGGGATGCTGTCTTGGCAACCAACAATGTTCCACAGCACTGACAAGAAAAACACAGCAAAGATGCAGAAATGTATATATACTATATACATGTAGATTTCAAGGTTGGATTGGTGCTTGGTCACAACATATCACAACTCAATTTTCCGATGGTGAAGTGAGTCACCCAGACAACCCAGACCCAGACCCGTGAGTCGTGAGTCGATTGGACAGCGAGGTAAGCTGACAGGCACGGCCCGCTATGTGAGCATCAACACCCACCGGGGGATTGAACAAAGTCGAAGAGACGACTTAGAAGCCATCGGCGACTTGGACACTGAAGGTCAGGTCAGTGATGGTCAGTGATGGTCAGTGATGGTCAGTTGCGACAACTTGGAGAACCAATGACCAAATTAGGCCATGAGGCCATGCAAATGATGTGCAATTATAATCATATATATATAGTCAATTTTACATACACACACACACATAGTATGTTCATTTATTTATATATATATATTTATATTCACATTACACCATTACAGCTCAGCCCAGTTCAATCCAGTTGCATCTAGGTACATCTATATAGTTACATCCAGCATCCACTTACATATTATATTGGATTTACCTTGTATGCATTGGCATCTATGTAGCTGATTGGGTAGTCACTGGTGCACATCCGCAGCTGGACACCCCCAAGAGACGTGAGCAGAGATGAGTGCGGGGAAGCTTCTGGTGCTTGTCAGTTCCTTGCTAAATGAGATGGTCTTAGCATGTCTTAGCCTAGGGCCCAGCTATCCTGAACATCACCAGATGATGAGTTTTTAAGACATGCCTTGCTGCCTTGAAGTCCAAAGCCGCTTGGATCTGCATGGCAGATTTGTTCCATGGTTTGGCCATCACATGCGGCGCTGCCCAGGATATGTTCTGATGTATTTCTCCCGTGGAAATTTGCCGTGGCAAGAGCGCTATCTGGGCGGTGGGAAGGGGGGTACCAAGGAGGATAAATACAAGCGCATCCTCGACAAGAAGGACCCTGCAGGGTGTTTGGAAATGTTTGGAAGGGGGATGGTGACCGGATGGTGCATCCTGGGTTTCAACATTCAACAGGATCAACCCAAGGGCCGTGCAAATGTGGACGCTTTGCCCACATTTTTTTGCCAACTGAGCCGTGAGAAGAATTGACTTGAAGGAATCGGGGTTTGGACTTGGGGTTTTCATATTTGATCCTTTTTCAGCTTTCTCCAGGAAAGCACCTCACTGGAACTTCTAGGCAAGTCAGCCCCCCCAGAGTTGAATGACTCTTGGGTCAAGATCTCGGGTGTGGAACTGGAGATAGATGGACACATCTTGGGGTTCGTGGACGCCCCAAGAAGCAGAGGATCTGGAAATATCTCACCCTCTCGCAATGAAACAGTTCGCTCGGAAGCATCGCTCATTTATAGATTATTTGCCTATTCAAACTGGTCATTTTCCATAGCTACTAGCATCTTATCTTACCAGAGAGTAGCGTGACTGAGTATCCATCCAATACAGTATCAGGATGACTATTTAGGTGTGTCCAAAAATGAGGTATATCCCCATAACCAATGTAACAGTAAAATTCTGATTACCCACTAGTTTTTTTGGCACCCTATAAATTCATCTCCAAAGAATCTCAATTGCTCTTGCTATTGGTAATTTACGGTAAACCCAAATGGTATAGTTGTTTATGGCAGCCAGTGTGCACACACACCACATTCCTCGATTTTGGCCACATTTTGGCCACATTTTGGCCACATTTTGGCCACATTTTCCCCCTGTAACATCCCTAACCAAGGCCTACATCTACTACGCGCGGAATTTGAATTTCGAAGATCGTCCAGACTACGCTTGGTGCCGCTGGCAGTTCATCATGATCCTCATGCGGGAGGCCGGGGGAGCAGCACGGCTCAAACTTTTTTTTTCAATAAATGGAGGTACCCCAGTAGCTGGATGGTTCAATGATGGAAAATCCTATGAAATATGGAGTTGGGGGTAACCCTGTTTTAGCAAACCTCCATATGGATCTAGCTGAATGGTTGCATATATATATATAATTATATATATATATTCTTTATACTATATACGGCAAAATGGATCGTTCGTAAGACTAAACATGATCAATCCTGTGACCCATACAGCATATAAGTGCACACCGCAGTTAGGGGATTGCCACAGAATTCATTCGGCACCTCCGGAATGAATTCTGGAATCAGTGTCGAGATCTACTGGAAGTTCTGCATGGATCCCGGGTAAACCTTGCTTGAGGAGGTCTAAGTTCAAGTCTTTTGCCATAAATAGGGGGATTGATATATGATATGGGCTATGGGCCAATCAGCTTTAAGCAAGTGTTCTGCCATGAGAGGGGATGTATAATGAAACAAGAAATTGACAGAACGATCACTTCTCTTTTTCTCCAGGCTGGAAATGGCTTTGACCGCAACGTGGATTGGGATTGGGAGGTTCGCTATGTGCACGAGACGCTTGGTCTTGGTGATGGCCCGTTGTCATGGCTTACTTTAAGTGACATTTGGGATTCATTTTGGGTCCAATAAGTGTCTGGAAATATCTGGAAGATATTTTTTGGGTCAGAACTCAGAACCTCCATACAATATTACACAATAGACATAATGACTCAAATGACCATCACATTGTGGGGGAGATATGGGGAGATGAGCTTCCATTTATCAGTTCATCCACGGTGCCAGGCGTAGCCATAGCATCATAAGATACCGTAAGTGTTCATAAGTACCAATACGTGAAGCTTATACAACTAGTCATTTTAGCATCAGGAGTCACCTTTGCTGGGTCCTTTATATCATATATCCCATTATATTCCCATAAAACGGCTGGTTTTATGATAATTGTTTTGGTGAAATTCTCCGTTTGTAGCCATTCACGGAAATTCACGGGGGTTGAATTCCCACAGAATCAATATTTGAGAGAGCCTTTTTAGAGCTATTGATCTTCATTCCCTTTGAAAAACTGTTGCTATTAAAGATGATTTTCCCAGCTATAAACCTCCGTTTCTATCCACTTAATTATAGTGGATTTCCGCCACGTTGGATTTTCAGAGGGTATATCCATTAATATATCACATCGTTCTCCCATTATTATCCCATTATCATCCCTATAAAACCATACAACACCATGTTGTTCATTCTAACATTATCATCTATTATATATCCCTGAGGGTATATCCCATTGTCATCCAATCAATATTCCATGACAACTGTAGACAGATATATCCACCAAACCAATAGTCAACCATAGTAACCATAGTTCATCATAGTTCACCATAGTTCATCCCATAACCATAACCATTGACCATTCAGGAAGGCGGAGACCGTGGCACGCTATGGCGAGGGCGCGGTGGATCAGGAGCTGCCCTTGGCGGACAAGCTCCGTAGAGACGGGGACAGGACGGCATCGTCGCGGATGGTTTTTGAGGCGTTGTGATCAATGGGAATTTCAGGATCCTAAAATGGAGGTACTGTACCATATAAGGGCATATTTTCTACATATTTTCTAGGGATATTCCCTTAGGCCTGAAAAATAGGCGGATTTTTTGCCGATCTGGTGATTTTTAATCTGATTTTCCATTAGGACTGGGACGATTGAACTGGGAAATTGATAGATCAAAAATGGGGAAATTTTCCATGGTGGTTGAATGGGACTTAACATTGACATTCCAACTGTAGATGTTATTTTTTGTGTATTTGTGATGAATGGGACTTAATGGGATTGAACTGGGACAATTAATAAATGAATAGAAATAAATAAATGATTAGATAAATAAATAAGCAAACAAATGTAATATAAATATACACAAATAAATAGATAAATATAAGAATAAATAACTACACACACAAACACACACACACACACATATATATATATATATGCACACTTCAAAGCCTGCCTTAGATGTAGAGGATTTACACTGATTGGCACCAATTGTGAGGTGTTTACTTTTAGGGGATGGGATTATTGATGGACTGTTAATAGCGATGCACTTGGATATTTACGGAGATATAACTTATGGAATAGGGATGTCATTGATATTTGCTGGGACTGCCATGAAAATGGGGATATTTGCCTATGGCATATTGGTCTGGGATAGAAAAATGCAGGGAATACTGTTGTTCCAACTAGTGGTATAATAATGATCATCAGAATGGGAGATATCCTGGATTGATGGTAGAATGGATAGTTGTTAACTGTGGTTTGCTATATGCTTGGCTATGGTCAACTATGGTTAATAATGGTTAATTAACCGTGGTTATCTATGGTTTACGGTGGGTATATCTATAGTTTTCGTGGCATATTCATGGGATGACTAGGAGATATACCTGTAGGGATGATGTTAGGATGAACAATATCGTTTTATATGGTTTAACAAGGATAATAGTGGGATAATGATGAGATATGAATGGCATATTCATGGATGTATTATCCGGTAATCAAACGTGGTTGGCTGGAAACTCTGAAGAAAATATGGCGCTTGCGTTCGCTGCGAAGATCATCGAACTAAATGGATGATAGCATTGGGATATCATCGGTTAGTCGTATATAGAGACCTAAATGGACTCCCCTCTGGTAAACATACAAAAAACTATGGAACATCACAATTTTTAATGCGTAAATCAACTATTTCTATGGCCATTTTCACTAGCTATGTTTGTTTACCAGAGGGTAATATGGTTAAGTAATTAGTATCATAATGACATTTCCGCAACAACAGTGAACTACATGGTATGGAGATCTAAAGAGCTACCAAAAAATGGCAAGCCGTCTCTTTTCAGAATAAATCTCTAGAGATTGAAAAGAAAAACATATTCCTTGGCAACGTTGTAGGAAATCGTTTGTTCTTCATATAGATGTGGTGTTTAATTTGCCACTGTAGCGCCTTCGAAGACTAATTATAACTCTAGGATGGAACCCAGAAATGGGTTTGAAAACATCTACGAAGCCACACTTGCCACGTAACTAGCCAGAACTGATTTCAAATCGTTTTTTTTTCTCCTCCTGGCTGCTGAAAATTGTCCCTCTCCCACACCTGTGAGGATGATCCAAGTTGACCGATGAATATTCATTTCATAATTCAATATAAATATAAATAAAAAAATATATATGCTAAAGGCGATGGAGAGAGAGAGAGAGAGAGATGTGTATATATATATATAAATATATTTTCGCCTCCCTTTCTCCATGTCTCCTATCCCAACAGCTGTCGAGGAGCCGCAAGTCGGCGCCCGTGTTCAACACCCAGGCGGCTACGAAGTCCCAACCGCCTCCCGATGGACTGAGCCCTCAGGCGAAGCCGGGGTCCATGGTTGAAGGATGGAGATTTTCATGGGATAATCATAGGAAAACCATGGGAAAACCATAGGAAAATGGAGGTTTAGCCTCTGGTAAACATACAAAAAGCTATGGAAAATGGCCATTTGTAGTGAGTTTTCCCATGAAAAATGGTGATTTTCCATAGCTATGTTAAATTACCAGAGGGTACTATGGTTCAATGTTTAATCATGGGGATTTCATGTAACTACACATCACTCTGGTTTATGCTTTAAATATGTTTCGACATCTATAGTTTTCACGGAATTAGTTTAGTGGGATAATGCTGGGAGTTGAGTGGGATAGACCATCGGGTTTTTTATGACAAGTGGAAACCCATGGAAACACACTATCAACGGAGGTTTATCGATGGGAAAATCAATTACCCTCTGGTTATTTAACATAGCCATGGGAAATGGCCCATTTATAGATGGTTTACCTATTAAAAAATATTAAAAATGATGATTTTCCATGGCTATGTTAAATAACCAGATGGTAGAAAAAAGAGATATTGGAAGATTTTCGATGGCCATGTTTGACAACCAGAGGGTGAATTCCTCCATAAGAACCCGCAATGGAATGAGCCATTTATGGGAATGGGGGCCCATCATTGGGGGACCCTGTAACTTCCATGGAAGTCTTACGGAATTCGATATTCATACCAATTTCAACACATATGAACCGATACAAATAAAAACACAAATGTCATACACGGTACGCATTGAATGCCCCGGTTTCAGGCCAACATGGATTCGCATTCCGCGGGACACCATGTGCACGGCACCGACGTGTCAGAGAATGCCCCCAATGCGGAGACCCTGGCAACGGTCGGCACCCCTGTTTCGAAGGGCGTCAAGATCTGGGGCGAAGGAAAACTTTTGCGACAGGACTGCAGCTGATGATGGGAAAAAACTGAAAGCCTTGCAACCTGACATGGGATAATCACTGATCACTGATGATCGCTGATCTAAGTGGAGATTAGCCGAAATTCAACATGAGGAGATTAAACCCCAAGAAGATAGAACAACAGCTTTCTGCCTTTTGACACGATTTCCTTGGGATCCTAGGGCGCCATTAATCAGGGGCTGCTAAGGGCCCATTGTGTGCAGTTCCATGCATCCAGGTGGAAAGCTGGTGAAGAAGTTTGACGAAGGTATATATATATATATTACATATTTAGATTAGATATATACTGTATATAATATAAAGATATATATCTATAATATCAATTGATATAACTTGTGCCTATATGTATGATCATCCAGAAGTAGATACGATTTGGATTTTTCAAACATATTCTCATTTTAGCCAGTTTTCTTGACAATTCACAGTTCCATATATTATCTTCTCCAGGATTACCATATATATTTAATACAATATAATATACACAATATTATATATAATTATATATATATACACATGTAGATACATACATACATACATACGTACGTACGTACATACATACATACATACATACAGACAGACAGACAGACAGACATACATACATACATACACACACACAGACATACATACATACATACATACATACATACATACATACATACATACATACATACATACATACATACATACATACATACATACATACATACATACATACATACATACATACATACACACATACATACATACATACATACATACATACATACATACATACATACATACATACATACATACATACATACATACATACATACATACATACATACATACATACATACATACACATACACACATACACACATACACACATACACACATACATACATATGCATGCATAGATCTATGTAAGTTCCAACGTGGTGGAACCACCATAAAAAGATAGATTGGGATGTTGACTTTCCTGCGCATGTGGCGCAGGTGGAGAACATGTGTATGGGACGGATCAAAATTTTGACCAGCTGGAAGAGCATTTTGATATGGGGATGGATCACGATCCATAAACATCCATAAACCAGCTATTAGGGTACCATCGGGGTGCCAGGGTTTTGACTCATAGCCTAATAGCCAGCTCCTGTTGAACTATGGAATTTCCCAATCACGCCATGGGTTTCCAGTTGGACGACTAGCCGCCACAAAGAGCGCAGGAAGATGATAAAGGAGAGCTGTTGCAGCTGAGCAACTCGGAGATGGTCCAAACCAATGACCCTGCAATGAGCCGAGCACTCCCGAATGCCTGTAGGTACCACTAGTTTAGACCGTTTATATAGCTGGTAAACGTTTCCATAGCTGTTGACAATGGTGATTTATGGTTGATTTACCTATGATGGGGATTTTCAATAGCTATGTAACCGTTTACCAGAGGCTAGAGTTTTTTGAGGTATTTTGATGGGCTTGGAGCCGCCATCTCCCACGGGGCTCCCTGACGCTGTTCCCCTTCGCAGTCCCAGACTTGGAACTTCTTGGAAACATAGTTTGGATACAGCTACATCCGAGATTCAGAATTGAAGTGACCAAGTTTTCTTTTAAAATACTGAAATACTGAAGTACTTATATGATCTTATATGTATATTGATACAGCTACATCCGAGATTCAGAATTGAAGTGACCAATTTTTGTTTTAAAATACTGATGAAATATATATATATATATATTGATACAGCTACATCCGAGATTCAGAATTGAAGTGACCAATTTTTCTTTCAAAATACTGAAATAATATATATATATATACACATATTGATACAGCTACATCCGAGATTCAGAATTGAAGTGATCAAGTTTTCTTTTAAAATACTGAAATCCCTGTATATATATATATTGATACAGCATGATACAGCTACATCCGAGATTCAGAATTGAAGTGACCAATTTTTGTTTTAAAATACTGAAATACCTATATATATATATTGATACAGCTACATCCGAGATTCAGAATTGAAGTGACCAATTTTTGTTTAAAATACTGAAATACCTATATATATATATATAAGTATTGATACAGCTACATCCGAGATTCAGAATTGAAGTGACCATTTTTTTGGAATACTTTTATGATCTTGTATATATATATATGTATATACACGAGTGTATATATATATATGTATATTATGGCAACATATTTCCCGGTGGGAGCATGCTACATGGCACAACTTTTTTCAACCGCGTTCTGCCACAGCACCGTTGTGCCAAGGTAATCCTATGGGAACCTCCTTCACGATTGGACGTGGGAACAGCTGTGATGTAGCCCTCACTGGGCTCACAGGTATTAGCGTTCCTTGGTCGACGACTGGTCGAGTCAGGGACGACCAATCCGGACTTCCATTGAGCTTTCCATAGATGATTATTCCCAAATATCCCCAAATCCACTGTCATTTGGGTAAAATCCATGATTTCCACTGTAACCCATCTATTTTATGGAATTTGGGGATTTTCCACTATAACCCATCCATTCATGGACCCCCCCGTATGTTTTTCAACATGTTCAACCACCTCTTCGACTAGTTCGACGCGGTCCCAGGTGTCGCACTGCAGCCTGAGGATGCAGGAGGAACTTCTCGCCATGGGGAGCAAAAAGTGTCCATGCCCAACGAATCAAACCATTGGAGATTATAACTCTCTCTCTCTCTATATATATATATATGTGTGTGTGCCATTGGAGGAATCCAATCATAGTATACATGGTTTATGGTTCATGGATATCGGATAGTTTTTTTTTTGGTTTATGGATGTTTATGGTAGATATATCTAATTATATCTATTGTCAATCGAACATTTTCCATGGGATTTAATGGGATGATACCATGGGATGATACCCTCCATCAAATGTGGCTGGCTGGACAAGTCCCCTTCTCGAATCTGGGAAATCATAGGAACATATGGTATTATGGGGGTAAAGACCCTATAACTATATGGGTTTTCCATGGGAAAATCATGGAACTAAATAGGTGATTTTCCAGCAAACCATGTTGAATGACCACAGGGTAATTTATACATCGAACTTCATCGAACCAAAAAAGATCAACAGGTTGGACACCTTGAAATGATTAGCGGAACACATCATCGAACTAGCATCCTGGAAATACTTTTCGGCAGCTTTTCGGGAGTCACTATTAGACCAAGGAGCGCTTCGGTGTTATGGTTGTATCCACATGTTCCCTACTGCATAGCGACTAAGAGCTTCCCAACCGCAACTTGGGGATGTTGACTGTTATTGTGGATTCCCCGTTTCAATGAGGCGGGAGGCCACAGATTTGGGGTACCCCAAGGGTTCGAAAATGCATGAAAATGCGATCTGTTGGCCAGATCCACCGTGCCACAGAGATGCCTATGCATGTTGCGGCCGATTTGCATAGCCTGCCTTCAGCGTTTGGATGTATCAAGGCTTTTAGGCCCAAGCATGCATGACTAACCTAGTTTTGGTGATTTTGGTGGATGCTCCCCCTTTACACAATCATGCCCTCTTACTTTGTCCGGTCTAGGTCTAGTATTGGCACATGTTAGCACCTGCAGCCATGCCCTGTATTTTATGGTTGAATCCAATTTGCCTCATCCACGGGTCATGCCGTTTTGCAGGACGGCAACGACTACCCCACCGTCATTTTAAGTGACACATCTTTAAACGGCACCTTCGTGGATGGCACGTTGGTCGGAAAGGGCAATGAGGTGACAGTACCAAACGGTTTCTTGGCAGACGGGAGGTTAGCTGCTAGCCCTGGGAAAGTAAAGGGGATTGCCCTCTGGTAATTTAACAGTTTGCTATGGAGCGTGGTCCATTTACAGATGATGATTTACCTGTTAACTTTTCTATGTTAACTTCCCAGAGGCTAGTCCCCGCTGACAACATGGTATATGAATTGTATCTATCGTGACTTTGTTCTGACCATTTTTACGACTGCAAGTACTTAGTGACTCAATATCAGCAAGTAGGAAACTTTGCAGTTGTAGGAAATAAACCCAAAATGGGAGTATATGAACCTCAGTTTTTTTTTTAAAACAACCTTCAAGGGATTTATTGTGAGATTGAATTTTATGATCTTCTAGCCTTGGCAAGCTGAACAAAGTCAATGTGGAAACAGAGGGCAGGGATTCCAGATTTTGTTTATTACTTTATGGGCAAAACTAAATTAAGTATAATTACTGTAAGTATAATTAAGTCATATTAAGTCATATTAAGTCTCTCTATTTGGACTGTAAAGCTCTGGTGTCCCATTCGGATTTACAACGGCTACCACGGAGCCGGGAGTCATCACAGTCGATGATCCAAGATGATCCGACTTGTGCTGAGGCCATTTCCAGGAATTGCAACTGTTGTGATTTTCCATGATTTTCCATTGCCACACATATAGCTTTTTATAGCTTTTTTGGATTGCCAACAAGGAAGACATGGCTAGACCATGGTAGACCATCTTCAGTAACTTGCCACCATGGAGCCGGGAGATGCCGGGAGCACCATGGAGCAGCTGTGCTTCAGGTGCCGTTCTCACCTTCATCAAGGGCAAACAATATCCACAAGTGACGCTGCAGCTCAACAAGTTTTGAGCGTGTAGCCGCAAAATAGCTCAGTATGTCATATGATTCATATGATCATAGTATGTCCATTCGGCCGCAGCTACAGCCCAACCATGATCAACCATGCCCACCATGTCAAGTGGTCGCATGCAGTCTGGATCAGTCTGGCCCTGCGCAATTGAGCGACATGCTCGGATGAATTGGTCCAGTAGTACTTATAGGCTGCAGCCAATCAGTTTGTTTCTGTATGTGGCCGAAGACGCAGATGGTTCCGGGCTCAGGGCAAATTGTACTGTAGCAAGCTTAATTCGCGACCTCACAAAATAGACCAAACTATACCAAACTCATCAAACTCCCATTATGAGCAGGAGGAAGCGCCCCAAACTTCGATTGTGTTTGGTATTTGCGCATGGAAAGATACTGTTGATTGCCATTTTCAGGCTGGGAGCCAAGGGGCACTGTTCCCAAACTGGGACCCAAAAAAACCCTTTTTGCCAATTGAGGGGGCTGGTTTTTTTTGCCATTTGCCCAGGCAGTTCAGAGATTATTACGGATGTGTCTGAAAATCGCTTAGATCATTATATATTAACCATTATTAACCATGGAAATCCCATTAAATCCCATTAAAATCCCTTAAATCTTTTATAGATGTAATCATAAATTTCCCCATGGAAATCGCCCAGTCGAAACGACTGCGAGCTGTGGCAACGTGGCCGCATGAAAACATGCCAGACTTTCCCCGCTGCTTTCTGCAGCAACTGCTGCTTCCGTGGCTAGTTGTTGAACAACAGGCCGCGCAGCAGAGAGGAGTACGTGTTTTTTCTTCTTTTCAGGGGCACTTAGATTGAGATACTTTTGGAAAGACACCCTTTTGAAAAGATATGCTTATGACATCTTATGACAATGAACAGGTGATACAGGTGGTTGAAGGTGCTTTGTTTGAAGATTCTTTGGGCCACAGCAACAGGGCAAACAACAACATCCTGAATTTATTTTGAGCTGTTCCTGTGTGAGATGGAAATTCGGTGCAAGATGTGCCTATCATATCAAGGACATTGTGGCTAAATAGAAACGGTGGTTGGTTTCAAGGCTTTCCAAGCAGCGCCGCTTGCACCACGGCAAGTGACATATGTTAGCAGAGGACGCCACCCAAAAATGATCCACTGACTGCTGCATTCAGCAAAACTGCCCCCGACGTGTGCAAGTTTGGGGACCCTGACAGTCTTCCAGATTTAGATCCTCCACCAACAAGGACGTTTCTTGTTTTTTCTTGGGCTTCCCAAGCTACCGAAACCACAATTTCCAGCTCGGTTTTTTGTCGTTTCACCCTTCCATTTGCCGCGGACTACGCGCTGAACCGGGAAAAGGCAGCAAGTCACAGCCGTGAATTTGGCTCTCAGTATTGGAAGATATTCATCCAAAGACTTATATTGTAAAGTATATAACAGTATAAATATATATATGCATACAGGCATCTGACAAAGTCGTACCTGTTTTAGGAAAAAATCGTTGTGCTTTGGGGAAGTGTGTTTCGCAAAAGTCGTGCCTTTAGCAAGAACGCATAAGAACTATGTTTAGCAAGAAAATCAATATTTTCATCAATCGCGTTCCATTGTGTTTCATTTATTTTTAATGTCTAAAATGCATGGTTACACTTTTATTGAGGACAGCGTTCCATGCAGAAAAGCATTTAGGCATGACTGAGGCATGACTTCTTGGATACAGCGTTTACAATGGTAAATGCCATTCAAAAACACGCTAGGCATGACTTAGGCGTGACATTGTCGCTTCCCTGTAGCAACTTGAACAATGGTAAAACAATGGTATAACCATGGTATTATGTTATCACCACATTTTTGTAGATTGATTGTATCTCCATCTCAGTTGGTAAAGCTCACATATTTAATTATTTGGCGCTGGGATTGCGCTCAAAAAAAGTGCTAGCTGGGATGATCCCCATGAATTGTGATCCATTTTTTGCATTGAACACATGGAACACACGCATATAAACCACATAATTGGGCACATTGCTTGATCAAAATTGGTATTGATTTTCCCAGGGTGAGTGGTTTCCCTGTGGTATTTACAGGTTTTTTTTTGGTTTGGAGCAATGGTCAGTTTTCACTTCTGCCATAGCCGCTTCAGCCCTTTGAGCGTTTGCTTAGGGCATGCCCTGTGACATCTCCAATGCCAAATCGGAAGTCCTTGGAGCAATTGAGGATTGACAGCCCCTTTTTGAGAGTGCTCCAAGAACTTGAGATGGCACAATGGCACCTGTGGAATTTTTCCACATTCCATCAACACCACATAATTGGGCACCAGTAATGTGCCCCATGTCTTTTCTTCTTGATGCACATGATTCCCTTGACTCACTGTATATATACTAGACCGTAAGTGTGTGCAACGTAACTTGAACGGTATTGCCCCACCCCACCCGACCCAAACCTCAAGACATGACGTAGAGACAAGGCCAGCGTAGCATCACTTGAGTGCGCAACCTGAGGCTAGTGCCCCACTCCACCCGCTAGCATAAACATGCGTACTGCTGGCATAGAAATGGGACTATCATGGATTGCTGGCTGGTGGTTTCATCTATTTGTTATTTTTCGGCCAGAATTTGTGGAATGATCCCAACTGACACTCTCCCAACTGACACTCTTTGGGATGAGTAAAACCCACTAATGGCATATCTGTCGACATCTGTCGACATCTGTCGACCCTTGGCAGGATTGGAAAGTTCTGACGTTGTGAGCCAGGTTTGTCATCACAACATGTCCTGTAGCTGGTGCCCGGTGCCATGGCAGCGCCTATGCCATGGCAGGGACTAGAGGCACTTGCGGTTCAGCCTTGAAAATCATTGAAACTCAGACAAGGCCTGGTGTTGCGGAAACTTTAGTGCCACTTCTTGTTTGATGATTCATTGATAATTATATTTGCGGACTACTTCAAGATCCGCACCTAGCGGAGTATGGCCTGAGTATGGAAGACGCGGCGCCAGCGTCCTGCCAGGGGCCATGGCGACGCTCCAAGTGGAGAGGGCCAATCGTACCAGAGGCCTGCAGAACTTGGGCAACAGCTGTTTCATGAAGCCTGGCAGTGGCAGCTTTCAGGTGGTGCCAAGTGGAGCCATCAGAAAAGCCCCAAAAAACCATTGGGTGTAGTGGTTGGTGGTTGTTTCAAGATGTTTCAAGACTTGAATTTTGCGATAATTTTGAATGATCTGGGATGATCTGGGCGTAGCCCCATGTCGACTCCAAAGGGGATGGAGTTCCGGTCAGACACTTTTGAGGGTTCAGCAGATACCGCTTCCGAACGGAACCGGTTAGTTGTCAAACCAAACCGTCTTTCAAAAGGGATATGGCTCAAAATTCTTGACCGATGATGATTTGGGATGATTAGATAATACAGTACTATATTTGTATATATATTTGTGGCCTGTAAATTGTGAGCCCAGTGGCGCTGTGATTGTTGAGCCATACCCGATGGGGAAGCTGGTGGATAAATTGAATCATATTGAAGCATAAATGCCTAGGATGCAAGAGCAATTCACCAGAGTATCCCATCAAGATCACCACACCCACAGGGATATATATATATATGATTATATATGTATATTTGTGCACTTTCGGGAGGCTAAGGTTTGCCTAAAAGATGCACCAGCGGCTCTGAGGAATAGTGGCCTGCAATGCTTGGTGAACATCCCCCCGCTGCGTGATGCCTTGCTTGCCGATGACTCCTGGGAGCCAGGATGGGGGCCCTGTGATTGATCCCGAAGAACTTTCCTATCTTTCTTGGGGCGTGAAATCGCCAGTTGATGATGGCCTTTGGCCCACCATGGCCCACCAAAAGATGGTATGTCACATTATGTAACATTGCTGGCTGCAACATCTTCCCCCCTGTGCAGATGAATTATATATATATATAATTACAGAATCACATTTTTAACTAGTTCGAGTGGCCATACGTATTTCTCTCCTGGTGATTTACCTGTAGTGATCCCAAGACTGATTCAGAATGCAATCTTGAATCATGTCTCATCATGTCTCATCTGTTTTCACCATCAACCAGACATGATGACAGAAACCTAATATTAAATGAATCTGCCACAAACCATTTTCAAGGCCATGAGAATACATCAAACATCCAAACTTTTCTGGTGAAATCCCTGAGGTTTTTCGATGGTTTTCGGGTGTGCAGGTTCCATCTACGCCATTCTGGCGAATTTGGTGCGAAACATGTGGGCGCGAAGCCCTGGGGATGCCTTGGCAGTGAGCCCTGATGAGTTGAAGAAGGCGAAAAAATCTGAAACCCCGACTGTGGCAAGCCAATAGCCCCATGCAGCCATGCATCTTCAATTCTCCATACCAAACTTGATCGATTTCTAGCATTATTTTTTGGGGAGATCAAGTGTAACCGAACACTTTTTTTGTGTGATTCCAGCGGTAAAAATTGGGTTATGTAATTTAGACTCACTCATGTTGGGGTCCCAGAATAAACATAATAAACAATTGCTTGTTGTTTGCTATTCCGACTGTGTTTTGAATGTACATTTTTTGTGGAGCTCTAAATGGGACCGGGCCTAGGCAGACTTCCAGTTCTTGGTAGTGATAACCTCATTTATCCCTGGAATTGGCGTGCTGCTTAGATAATTTTTGTTGGGCGCCAGCCATTCAATCTCCAGCTTGTGCATGAATAGGACTTGCGATGGTTGCGATGTGAAGAAGGAAAACATGGCCACAATCGCCCCACGCGTTTGCCAGAGTGGATTCAAAACGGTTCAACGACCTGTGAAATCTATGAAATCTTAAGTTCAACAGGTCTTGAAATCAATCCCATCCCTATTTTGATATTTTAATCGTAATGAAACAAGCCCCAATCCCATGCCGGCCGACAGGCCACCCTGAAACTCTTCCCCACTTTCGAGGACTACGAGCAACAGGCCAGGGATTCACGAGTAAATGTGGAACACCCAAAGCGGGCACATATTCATATGGGTCAAACAGATCATCTTTGGCAGCCGTTTGGCATGGTTTGGCATTTTTCTTCCTGGATCTTGCAAATATGTGCAAATAGTTCAGGACTAAAAAAGAACATTTCGTTTTCTCAAGGTTACCCTCTGGTAAACTAACATAACTATGGAAAATCACCATTTATAGTGGATTTTCCCATGAAAAATGGTGGATCTTTCCATAGTTATGTAAACGTTTACCAGAGGGTACAACAGCCCCCACTTCCTGGTCACACCACGGCGGTTCAGGACGCCATGGAGTTCCTAGAGCTTTTGATCAATGCATTGGTCGAGGGAACTGAAGTCGGGGATGATGACCAAACGGCTGAGAAGAGATGCTTGGAATCCGAAATGAGCCATGAAAAACTCATGTTACTAATGTTGCAGTCCTGAAACTTGAGATGGGAACATGATGGAAATTGATGGAATCATGTGAATTTTTACTGTTTTTTGGGCCTTTTGGGGGGGTCGTAGGTGTTTTCTTATGTTGAAACTGGATGAACATGGCCCCCAAGGAGCATCCTCCGCCACCGGGGACGCTTTCGCCCGGCTGCTGGGGGGGTTCTTCCAGACAGAGCTGCGGTGCCCGCGGTGTAGCAAGGAGTGGTCCAAGGCAGAGGATTTTTTTTCCATCAGACTCCCTAGCTCCTTGGCAAAGGGCAGGGATTTTTTTTGGGATATTTGAAAGGGGGTTTCATGGAATTTCACCAACCCAAATGGCGAATTACTCATGATTTTGCACGATTCTACATGATTCTACCATATTTTGACAATCGTAGAATTGAAGAGTTTGCTGCGGCATAGATGGCCCGACAGCAAAGTAGGACATTGATACTGGATGGCAGTATAGCACGTAGATGCATGCCTTATGATACGCTTTTTCATTGCTACATTATAGAATGCAGTCTCATCCCAATTGAGTGATTCTTTTCGTTGCAAATTTGACATCTTCAGCCAGTGCTACCGATGTTTTTGGGGCTTGATGCAAATGGGGTTCCCCCCCGAGATCAATCAGATAGCTAGCATCAATAGTGTTGTTCGAACTCCCTTTTTATTTCCAGTTGCACCCCACAAATTCGAAATGAAATCCAACACTGGGGTCCCAAAGGTGATTTTGCTGGCAGATTTGATTTTCCACTTTGCCGGTGACCGGGGTCAGGTCACTCTCCGTGTGAACGTGACGACTTTACGGTGATCCTGATTTCGCGACCTTCGTCGCTGCGGCCCATCCTGGAACATCGGGTCTCAGTACCGAAGCCTGCGCAGGTCTGCAGGCTGCTGGATGTGATTTGCCCCAAGGCAGAGGTTGATAGAGACCTGGACCAGCAGCTGGACTGGTGGGATTTACCATGATTTACCATCAAACATGGGGATACGTACATGATTTACCCATGAAACATGGGGAAGATAATGGGGATATGACTGCTGCATTATGCTGCATCATATCTTCTAAAGGCCGGAAACATGATGCTTAGGGTGTCCGGTTTTCTGGAAACGTGAACGTCAGGTGATTTCACCCAGTCACTAGATCATTAGATTTCAGTAGCATTTGCGGTACACCGTTGTCGTTGTCGTCGTCGTCGTCGGTTGTTGTTGTTGTTGTTGCTGCTGCTGCTGCTGGTGTTGTTGTTGTTGTTTGTTTGTTTGTTTGTTTGATTGATTGATTGATTGTTGTTGTTGTTGTTTGTTTTTTTTTTTTGTTTGTTTGTTTGTTTGCTTGGTTGGTTGTTTGTTTGGTTGTTTGTTTGGTTGTTGTTGTTGCTGTTGCTGTTGCTGCTGCTGCTGCTGTTGTTGTTGTTGTTGTTGTTGTTGTTGTTTTTGTTCTTGTTCTTGTTCTTGTTTGTTGTTGTTGTTGTTGTTGTTGTTGTTCTTGTTCTTGTTCTTGTTGTTGTTGTTGTTGTTGCTATTGTTGTAGTTGTAATGATCAACTACTCGTGTCACGTGTAAACTGTAAACATTGCCTTTCTCACTGGGACAACAAAATGCCTTTTTTGGTAGCAATCTTTGCAGTTGGTGGCCTTGATCCCAGGAGAGCTGTGTCTCGCAGCAGTGCTGGAGGATGGAAAATGGCGGCATTTTGAGGAGGAACTGCGGAAACAGCACCTGGTTTTTTTTGGGGTTTCCGGAAATGGATGGAAATGAATGGAGATGAGCTATATCACTCCATACCCCAAAACTATCCAAAACTGATGATAAACCATTAGGCTTTGGGTGTAATTAAATAGCAATTTGGCAATCACCTTATTTTTGGACAAGTTTAATCTGTGGGTTTTTGGCTCCAAAGGTGAGGACTTTTTACCACCAAATGGGATGCCAGAGCCTGCAAAATGGGAATGCAAGAGTATCGGAACGAACAAGCAAAGTCCAGGTCACCCCTTTTGGCTGATGCTTACGCAGAGGCCAAGGATGGCCGAGGCCTGTTATTAATTGTTCTGGCGCGCACAAACCTACATGACATGATTGACACGGCAACCATAGGGAACCTGTATCAACCGACCAGTTGAAGAGGATGACTCAGGATGAGTGAGGACAATTGAGGACACGGGTATATCCGCAGATTCGACTAGAACCAGGATTAAACCAGGTATGGATCACGGATAATCAGACAGCTGTGGTGGTTTATCATGGTTTGTCATGGTTTATCCAAAACCGGTGATTTCATGTGAAAAATCCTCCCCTGTCTCAAGGATGCTCCTCAGCTGTTTCGCTCAGTTCATCCCACCTTGTTGCAGAGGTAAAATGAGGTGTAGATGTCGTTTTTCTGTGGAAGGATGGGTGAATGAATAGACTATAATAGACTCATAGATCGATTAGCTTAGATTAGCTTAGATAGGATAGATAGATAGAGCTGGACTCCTGGAGATGGCGATGGAGAGAGCTATAGCAGCTAGAGAGATAAAAGAATTCAAATGTATTTCATAATCCAATATAACAATATTAGATATACACAATTATACCATACACATGTATTATATACATGGTTAGAATATGAATCTATATGAATCTATAAGCATGATGCTGTGTCCTTGGCTCCAGGACCACGAGCTGTTGCCGGGCCATCTCCCCGTTCTCGTCTACGAGTTGGAAGATACCGAGGCCATCCGCGCCTTCGCCGCGGGCAGCGATGCAGCGGCGGATGCGGCGGATGCGGCGGCGCGGCGCGTGTGTCCGGAGGATGGCAAGGTGAAGCTTGGCCGAGTTCTTGGGGGTCACAATATAGTCATAAGATGTCATAAGAATATATATAGTATTATATAGTCATATAATTAATTATAATAGAGAGAGAGATATAAAATATATTATACTTATAAACTTATATATATATATAATATAGATGATATTCCTGCAATAAATAATAAACATGATGCTAGCATTAATAATAGTAATAGTAATGATGATAGGAATAATAGTGGTAATAATAACGTTAACCTATACTGTATCGAGTATATTGAAGAATTAATGATAATCAGTGATGATAAATGAGAATCAATGGCAATTCATGAAACACAATGATGTATAATCCACATTGATTGCAAACATGTGTATACGGGTTGGCAAGGGAACCATTGCTATTTTTGCTGTTTATTTATGTTTTTCCCCAGATGGAATGAACTTTTTTTTGCCAGAGGTTGCTTGCCGGGACAGCGGGCCCCTTCAATTTCCGCAGCCCTTGCTGCAAAGGTATACCTTTCCAGAGTTGTTGGCTGCATATTCTTCGGACTATTCTCCTTCAGACTTGCGAGCATATTGGCGTGATGCTATGGCCCCAGAGTTTGTAAAGGATGGGAAGAAGTCTCCTGTGGTGGTGCATGTCCGTGTGAACTGGATTCTTGGATGTACTGATTTGGATGTCACCATTCTTAATAGGAGTAAACCATCTATTTCTATGGGCCATTTTCCATGGCTATGTTAAATAACCAAATGGTAATTTTTCCTTCTCCTTGTAATTACACTCATGCGAACCAGCATTATCCATCTATTGTAGGTTCACCAAAGGCATACATGGCGATGTGTGTTTCAATCAGGCAGTGCACTGACTTTTAGGTGGCGTAATTTCGAGTCACTGCAACAACCGGGGCAAAAAATGGAGGTACCGTCACATACCGTCACTGTGCCATGATATGCAATGCAACGCCATACCTTGGGGTATTCCTAAAAAAAATTAGGCCTTACATTGACCTTACTCATATATAAAATCAATAAATGCATGTTAAAAAATAATTTGGTACTATCATTATTTTAGGCCTTACATCACACCAAATTATTTTTTTCCTAATTTATATATACAATACTTTAATATGTTGAGTACCCCCAATTTAGGGCACCGGAGTTAGCGGAGTTCAGGACTCTGGGACGAAAACTCTTGGGCGTGCCCCTCCTGTTCTGCATGGAACCTTGGGCTTTTTTTCAAAGGTTGTCAGAGGGAGTCCCAGTGATAAGTTGGCTAAACCCATATGAAAACCATAGTTATATCCCCCATAAACCCCAAATGCGGGCCGAGAGGTTGTGGGCTGTTCTTTTTTTCTCGACCTACGGAAAAAAACAATGAGGTTTCACTAAGAACTCATGTTCCTTTTTGTTTGCTGCAACTATTCATTACTGGTTTGTTAAGGTGCCTGGCCCTGAAATGCTGGATTTCAACTGCACCAACAGATGAGTGAGTTGGCCTTTGAGCTGAGATTTGTCATTGATATTACGGAGCTGTCAATCTATTTATGTTTAGTCTTGGGTAGTCAAAATCATAGTGAAATCCGGCAACAGACAAGATTTTGGCGAGGAAATTCGCAATGGCAGATTGCTAGATGTAAGATGCCATTCCAAAGTGGCCTTTGGACGAGATGAAGCTGGTCAAAAACAGGTGATGAATTGCGATGAACACCAGCAGTGATTCTGGTTTGAAGCCACCAGGGGTTTTGACACATTCCCCTATCATGATCATTCCACATCTGAGGACACAAAGACAAACATGGAGATGCTGATTGATGCGATTCAGGTGCAACTGATGTTGAGGCCGCTGGGTCATGACATGTCATGACCCTATCTTGATTCATGAGGTCGCCTTGAGTATTGCCACCTGACAAGGCATCCCCAAGTTCTGGCAATTTACCAGTTATAACTGGTTATAAATGGGATTATACATTCTATAAATGGGGTTATAAGTACTTATAACTGATAAATGGCCATAACTGAGTGATGCTGAAAATCAATCCGACTGGAAGAGTTTCGCCTTAGTCAGCCAGGTACAACGTGGACGCGACTGACTGGAGCCTATTCCAAAGCAGCGCAGGTTGGGATGCCCTGCACGCTGAGACGCAGCTGCGCAGTGATGGGCTGGTGACGTTGAGGGACTGCCACGTGGCAATGGAACTAATCGGTGTGTGGCTTGGACATGGGCACGAATGAGCCCGCAAACTATCACAAAGTTGGTTGCTTTGGCCCGTAAAATAATTGCTAAGCTATATATATATATATACATAAATATTATAAATGCCAAACTGTCCTTTTTTGTTCTCAATGATGATTGAGACATGGCAGCTTGGATCGTTTGGACAAGAAACATAAGAAACGAGACAGAATGAGACTTTGGGCGAGGGTGCCAAATCGGTGCCAGCTTTTTCAAAAACTGTTTGGCCGACAATTTTCCCCATTGTTCCCCAGGATGGTTCGTGGTTTATGCCACCGGCGCCAGAATTCTAAGCCTTCTAAGCACTTGCTTGCGTACATCACGGGGTCAGCAGCTAATTGTGTAACATAGCACCTGAAACTGCAATCTGAAGCTAGCATTTGCCCACTGCGAGCCTTGTTGGGAAGCACATGCTGGTGTCCAGGGCGACCCGAAGCTACTGAACGCTAGTGTGGGCGGCCTGTTTGTTTGGTACTCGTAGCATCCAAAAACTTAAGGCTCAAGGGTAAGGTGGAGCAAACCCATTGAATGCATTCCTTTTGCCTTTTGGTCTCTGAATATTTCCCAATTGGATCAGGATAATATCAGATAATATCAGCTCATATCAGATACTCTTCTATCTTTTCTACCCTGGTATTTGCAAAAAGAAGAAAGTTCGCCTTGAAATCCTCCACCAACCGCACCGGCTGCCATAGAATCCCATCAAATCTTAGGATCAGGAAATCCCGATCAATTTGATGGTGAAAAACCATGGTTAAAAACTCTATTTGATGGTAAAACCCATGGGAAATCCCGATATTTATCTATATTTGATGGTAAAAACATATACCCTCTGGTAATTCAACATAGCTATTGAAAATGACCATTTATAGTGGATTTTCCCATTAAAAATTGTGATTTTCCATAGTTATGTTAGTTTACCAGAGGGTAAAACCCATGGGTTTCCGGTTAAGATTTTCCCACCAAAACCAATCCATAGGTTTTCGCGTCCCGCGAGGCGAACATTTGGTGCTTCACTGGGACTTTCCGCCCGCCTCTCTGCTGAAAAGTTCCATTCAGGTGACGCAGTCCCCTGCTTCGCCGCTGGAGGACAGGCGCCCAGGGAACGGCTCCGTTAAGGAAATCTCGACCATCTTTAAGGATGTTGAAGGATGTTTAACCATGGTTTAATATAGCCAAAAAAAAACCGGGAAGCAGACATTAAAACAAGAGGAACAAATAAAAGTGTATATAGAACCAGCATGAACCAGTTTTTTGTTGGGAATGTATTGGGATGTGGAACCAACAATATGATGTTCTATTTGGGGGTGTCGGAAATTGGGGCCATGACATGATATAGAATGGCAACATATTCGAATGGGAAAAGGAGAAATAACCAGTGACTTTGGGGCATTTTTGTCTCAAAAATCCCAATGGATCGGGTGGTTTTCAGGAGTGCCAACTGGGATTTAAGCGTTTTGGACATGTGGACAGGCCTTAGACCATCTTAGACCCATCAATTTTGGAGCAGGTATAGGAAAGGTCAACACCACTTTTGAATATCAATTATCATTTTTTTGGGGTGCATTAAGTAAAAGGGTGCATTAAGACCCAGACCAGAAACATCCAAGGGTCAACAGTTGCGCACACAAAATGCAAACATGCAAGCCATGTGTCCAAATACAGGCAGAGGTGACCATGGGGCAGATGTCAGGAATAGCCAGCAGGATGGACATTTTGCATCATTTTGTCCAAAGCGACATGGCAAGAAACTTGGGCAGTTGGACATTCCAAAGGTTGATTTTTTTGTCCGTACGGTTTTCTGTTTTCTCAAACTGCATGAGTCAATCTTCGAAGGGGTTGGATGTCCATTGGTAGAGGAGAGCCTTCTGAGTTGTTTCCAGTGGCTCACTGACGCCGAGCAGCTCGATGAGGCCGCTGTCTGGGTTATGTTCAAAGAGATGAACTGATTGGACGAAATATCACGATGATACAGCTTGGACCGTTGGAAGTCAAAGAATATCGGTATATATACCTCCTCCGGTAAACTAACAATACAATATAGAAAATCACCATTTTGAATAGGCAAAACATCTATATACTATAAACGATTCATTTTCCATAGTTATGTAAGTTTACCAGAGGGTATCTGCATCCTTTTTTTGAGGGTCCCGGTTGGAACGCCCAGTTGCCCAGGAGAATGGGCTTTTCTGTCAGCACTGCGAGCGGAAAGTTGAAGCCTTTAGCAAGGTTTCCCTGGCCATGCTGCCGTCACTCGATGTCGGCTGGGCTGCTACTGCTAGGGATTGTTTTTTCGGAGGTGCCAGGTGGGGTGGATGAAACATGCTGAAAGATGATGACATCAATGAATAAAGAACATGGCTGAAGCCGCAGCCGAGGCCAGTGCTGATGCTGCAGCTGAAACGATTTGACTTCAGATATGGGCAGATCCTTGGCCTTGTTACTAAGTTACTAGGTGGATTGCTGGATTTTTCCACATCACCTTTTGGCAGTTGACTGTACTCTTATATATGCTTTCTGTCTTATATCTTCTGTTTCAAGTGAATTATCCCTCAGAAGGGAGAGAAGGTCAAGCGATGTCAAGCGCAATGGTAATTTACCAAAGCCTAAGCCAATGACCCTGGGTCATTTTTCTTCACCATCGGTCGGACCAGGAGACATCGCCTGAATGACGCAGTGAGCTTCCCATTGGAGGGTTTGGAGCTAACGCCCTATCGCAGCAGCCCTGAAATGCTACAGAAACTCGTGTTTTTTGGACTGAAATGGCTTTAAAACGTCATTGGGTACCCCAATTGTGGGAGGATTTGCACCCAAACATCTGTATAATTTCGGTACACCAAAATGGCGATTTCCAAGTGGAAATTTATTTTCCAACCGCCTTCTTTCGGATTCCATCTTAGTCTTCGGGAGGGTAGATAATCTCAAACACGACCAGCCAATTTGTGGTTCCTAGAATCCTTGATCTTAAAATTTGACCTGCACCCAATTCGCAGCGAGTTGGATGATGACGCGAATGGTTGCCAGGATGGATCAGATGGCAAACACGTGCAAATACTAGTGAATACCCATGGTTTCATATGGTTTCCTGGTATTTATTTGGTTAAGCCCAAGTTCTGCCAAGAAAAATCCACTGAATCAGGTCCTCCCAAGAGGCTGAAGAGGCTGAAGAGGCTGGGAAGAGTGAGCCATTGGACATGGATGTGCTGAAGGAAATGGATGTGACCTATGACCTCCTTGGCATTCTGACTGCAGGGAATCAAGACATGGGAACCATGGGGCGGCCCAGCCGGAGGTTTTTGGCCTTAACGCAACATGGACACATACGGAAACAGTTCTACAATGAAGAGCTTAGAGTGTCATCTCTTTCATTGTCTTTTTGTAAAGGCAGAGTTTGATTCTTCTGGTAGTGGATGACATATAGGAGGACATGACAGTGATGCAAGGGTGTGCAAAGACCTCGTGAAAGAGTGGGTCTTCAGCGACTGCTGCCGGTCAGCCATGGATCAGCTGAGAAAAGCTTTTATAATCTCTATAGAACTTCTTTTTGGGAAGGTGACTGGTGAATTTGTCTCCAAGTCTTGATCAAACACGTTTGCTAGCGATGTTTTTTTGGGTGGAATCTAGTTGAGAGGATGGTTCAAATTCACTCATGAAAGGGAAAGAATGCGGGAGACAACCTCAGGATCCTTGGAAACTCGCTGGGTGCAGCAAGGTACTATCACACATTCTGGAACAGCTTCCGTTGGTCATTACCAAGCATACGTGCGATCATGTCGCTCGTCAGCCTTTGTGAACACATAGTATGTCCTTGGGGACCTGTCAGGCACACAAAGTCAATGGCAGCTATCAATTATTTGGGGACTGTAAAGTCACGGGCTTTACGATGGGTTTACAATGTTACAATGGGTTTGGGATATGGGTTTACGATGGGTTTACGTTTACGTTTGCCACTTTCATGGTCGCTTGGGTACAAGTCTGCGAGGAAAGTTTTTTCAAGTATTATTTGTTCGAACTCCTGATGTTGGTTCCAATAGTAATCTAGAATTCCCATGAAAACATCAAGCGTACAAATTTTGCTATGCCATTGGCAATGCCTTTGGATCCCTTTGACACGCTATAGACTCACATGCAAAGGGAAAGCCACAGTTTCACGAGCGGCTGTATCAGCGGCCTTTTTGTTTCCTTAAGACTCAATTGATATCTAAAATTATGATTCAAAATGGTGGTAAGACGGCTCCGGCAAAGAACTATTGACACATAAAAAACACCACCATTGGATGGCCAAAAATCGAGCAGACGTTCTTGGTTTGGTGACCAAATGACAGCCCATTTTCAAAATCTGCCCGCCATAGCAACATAATTTCACATGCAGCATTGCTTAGTTTCAAGGTTCACCTTGGCAGAAAACATAGATTTGCCCCCCGAAAATGGAGGGGTTCCTCCAAGCATTTCCGTTCAACTAGGTCAAACTCATAAAATGTCCGCAACTCAAGAAAAAAATGGTCATTTTATGGTGAAACATATTTCTGGTCCTAAAGATTTTCGTTGAACAAATCCCAGATTCTTAAGACATGGGGGATCCCCAAGTCAGCATTGTTGTATCAACTTTCGTCTATGTCTAATCCCATGGCTTAACCTGAACCTCAAAATGTTTCAGAGGGAAAGTGAGGATTAACATGGATTACCCTCTGGTAATTTAACATAACTATGGAAAGATCCACCATTTTTCATGGGAAAACTCACTATAAATGGCCATTTTCAATAGCTATGTTAAATTACCAGAGGGTAATCATCAAATCTGGGGCTACCATCCCCATGACTTTGGACAATTCCTGGATGTTTCACAGGTGAGGACGGTCACTGGTACCTCTACAACGACCACCTGGTCCGCCGTGCATCCCACGACGAGGTCAAGGCGGACACGCGCGGCACCTACGTGTTGCGCGACTGCGAATGGGGGGACCGTTGCCAAGAAGAAATGGGAACATCAGCAGCAAAAAACGGGATGAATTGACATAGAATTTACATAGAAATTATGGAATCCCTTCAGCCTCATATTTAACGTCCCCCCCACATGATAAAACCTAGGGGTAGTTTTTATTAGGGGGTATTTAATATTCAGGGGAAAAACTGGCTCCTAATATTAAATTAGAAACCTTAAGAATAAACAAATGATTTCAAAATCAATTAAATTCCCTTTTATAATCTAATATTGCCAAAAATTGGATTTTGAAGCTTTCCCCTAATATCAAGATTATATAAAACACAATAAAGAATCTAAAATGTTCAATTTCAATCAGTTAAATTCGCTTGTATGATCTAATTAAAATATCGCCAGAAATTGGATTTCAAAGCTTTCCCCAAAATTAAAATCAAAACCTTAAAAAAAACATAAAAAAACTGAAATTTTCGATTTTAACTAACGGAGCATAGTAAAAACACCCCGGGCTGAACTAGTTTTTATTATAGGGGGGTAGAACCTTCAAATGGACCTTGATTTTTACATTGTTTTCTAAAGGGGATCAATTAAAATCAAATTGAACAGTCTGAAATTTCCCAAACAAATAATTTGGGGTAGCTTTTATTATTTGAGGGACATTTAGTAATAGGGAGAAGGGATTGTAGATGTTACAATATGTTTTTTCATTTTTTCATTTTTGATTGCTCCCGTTTGCCACAGGTGCTTTGCAAAAGCTGTGCTATACAATCTGAGTCTGGTACGAAGACTATGAATGGTTGAAGTATACAGAACTTTCTGTAACTATTGAACTAGATCCACCATTCCTAGGACTGAATAAGATATGATTGAGTTATTGGATTAACCTCCCACAGATTGGATTGGATAGCGAATGGAGGCAGGAGGCTAATATATGATGGTCCTTGCGGTGACTATTTTCGGGTTGGGAGAAGCCTAAGTTCTATGAATGGGTATAGGTCCAAAATCAGCCACCAAACGAACGGTGCCACAAAATTTGTCAGGTTGATATATATATATATGTGATATCCATTTTTTGAGGTCAATCTTGGCAATCGAGATACATTATATAAAGCAATCCATCTATACATGGATGCTGAACTCATTTTTAGGCCCCAGATGGCCATCAAGAGATGGCATGACTGGGACCAGAATTGGGACCATTTGGGACCAGATTTCAGGCTGTTCTACCTCTCCAGGGCCTTGAGACCTAGCTCCTGGGAAGAGCCCTTCGTGTTGCTTGGTTGCACCTGCGCACCCCGGAGGTTGAACGATATCCCAATGCGTGATATCTGACCAGCGTCCAGATATCAAGGCCAATTTTGGGGTCATATTTCATTATTTCCAATTTGTGTGAGTTGCACCACCATACCCTCTGGTAATTTAACATAGCTATGGAAAATCACCATTTTCAATTGGTAAATCCACTATAAATGGTCATTTTCAATAGCTATGTTAAATTACCAGAGGGTAGTGGTCAGGAATTCTGAAGGATCAAGCGGATCAAACAGCTCGAGCTATGAAGGGTCCCCTTTTTGGGACATCCTGGGCAACTGGGCGACAATCAATCCTGAGATGAATCCTAAACTTGCTAGTTGAATCTATTTGATATCCTCCGCAGTATGTAGTCTTAGTATGTCTTAGTTGTTTACTCGCGGTGTGTAACACATGTAATCAGGGATACCCTTTCCGCGATGCTATTATTGTGTGTGTGTGTGTGTCTCTCTCTTAGTCCATATCACTGGGATACAAGGCGCGCTGGCCCTAACTCCCAGAATGGGTTCGACATGGTTCGACAATCTACAGGATCTACAGGAAAAAAGGCAACAGATTACCATGGTTTCCAATTCCAATTAAGATTTCTCCAAAATGACCAATCCAGATCATATTGTTGGTGAGCATTGGTGAGCTATATTCCCAGTATAGTATATCAATATATATATATATCAATTATATCCCCATGATATCAATATCCCCATATATTTAAAAAAAAAAAACATTCTTTCCGGTTAGATGATTTCCCAATAGCCCCCAATCGTGCAGGTTAGCCACGTGAGAGGCACGACATTTTCCAGAATTCTGCCGGGATTTTGTCGTGGAAAATAGTTGAAGACTCAAGTGGGCATCATTTCCAGGCTGGAAACTCAAGTCGGATTTTTTTTCATTTTTTTTTCCCATCAATTTCCCATAGGATCCATGTATGGTATACATGCTAACATTTGGGGTATATTGATGGTAAATGCCACCATATACCTGGATAATCCACCTGTGCAAAATTATCGCTCGAAATCCGAAACAGCAATAAATATCGCCGGTTGCCTAAATGTTCGCCGTTTCCAGTTTTTTTTTGCCGCTTCAGTTTCAACATTTTAGGCTCTTGATTTGTTTCGCCGTTTCGTCGGGTTTTTTCGCCGTTTCGTTGGGTTTTTTCGCCGTTTCAAAACCGGCAAACGCATGCAAAATGACAAACATACAAAAACTGTTCGGAGGCAGAAAAACATGCCGCCAGCAATAATTCCTGACAAGGCAATAATTTTGCATACATTGGAAGACGCAGGTATAGCATACATGGATCCTATGGGTTTGCGTGTATCACTTTCTAAACCGGAAATGGATTCCCACTCGAAGCTTTAATGTCCTCACAGATGGATTGCTGCTGACCCAAGTCTTGCAGCCCAACTGCCCAAAGACGGCAGCTTTGACGAAATCAGGTGCAATGCCAGCTGGATCAATACGCAGCGAAAAAGGGGACCCATGCTGCAGTTGCTGCACATGACATCAGGCCCAAGTTCCACCCAGAAGTGTAGCAAATCGACTTTTTTGGTTGGTTTCTTTCGATTTCTGAGACAAGTTTCCTGTACTGTACTTGTTTTATTTTGTTTTAAAGGTTTTTTCTGCAAGTTCTCGCGCACGAAGATGTGCACGTGGAACCGAAGTGCGTGCTAAGGACAACTTGATGATCGCAACTTGATTGCAAGACATGACATTTACAGACTTGACATCAATTTTGATAATTTGGGATTTGGGATCCCTAAGTTTGATAAATGATCCGTCATCCTGTGAGCCTTCAGCAGTGATCTTAGCCCACAAACTGGTCAAGGCGCTCCTGGATCTTCGCGTGCGACTTGATTCGGAAGGCACAACGTTTCATGACATGCCTGGCCGGGCTTCAGTCATTTGGGGACGGGTGTATAAAGAAAATCTAGTTGTGAAAGCTTATCGCCACATCAATGCAGGCTATTGCAAGCCTAGTCTTCATAGATTTTCACAGTCACATACCCACCATCTAAGAAAATGTGTTGGGCCCATGAATGCCCATGATGTGCCGCATGCTGCCGGTACGCTATTGAGCCAAGCACCGAGTTACCTCACATCCAACCTCTGCGGTCCCATGCGGTCCCTCAACTGCCACATTTGAGCTGCCCGGAAGGTGCTGCTCAAGTGGTCTGGTCTCTTTGGCGCATGGGTCTCTTGGTTCACGGGGATAGGGTCACTTGGAACATGGTTTGTGGATGTTTGTCTTGCATCTTGTGGCTAAACTTCTGCTAGTTTCACACCTGTCATGATCGACCACATATTTGTAGAAGCTGGAGTGTCGTTTTGTTTACAGGATGTGTTTTATTATTATTTTTTGTTTAGATTTAGATCGTTTATTGTAAATGGTATAGGACATATTGGAGAAGCAGGCGTGGACATTACTTACCCTCTGGTTGGTATGTAAACTACTGCAACTTCATGGGCAGTGAGCTATAAATCGGACAAGGCTTCTTGACACTGATCCTTCCTTGGGCAAGGTTGCAGATCAATTCATACGCTTGAAGTGCAGTGCAAGTACGCATAATTTCGTAATTCTAATTTGACGAAATCGAAGAGGCATACACTCCGCCCTGCAGCATTATATCGCACAACTCAACAAAAATGAAAGCGCTGAACCCACAAAGAATCCAAAACATGCGGTTTGTTTGGGGCCATGGCTTCTACAATCTTCTACATGGGTTTGTCCAAGAACACATTTCCCCCCCAAAGTTCCATCAAGTTCCAGGGGTTTCGACAACCTGAGGCCGCTTTCACGATGCTTGGGTCCTATTTGTAGCCTGGCTGCAGTTGGGGGTCACAAATGCAGGGAGCCAAGGTTTGGACCCTCGATTCCTCTAACCTGAACCTACAAAATCTCCACTGAGAATGTACAAATTTACATCAATTGACATCCAACTATGACAACTATCATTGAAGCTTCAGTTCCCTCAATTTGCATAGGAAAAAAACATACATCAATCAATATGCGCACTATGCGCATATAGTTCACCATGGCACATATCAACGCCAACCCCACGGATCCACAGACTTCCGACCAGCGAAGGTGCGCACCTTGAGTGACGGCCGTCATCCGGAGCACGGCAAGACAGGCTACACCAAGAAACACGCCGTGGACGGACGGCAGCAGCTTGGCGCTGAAGGGCTTCGGTCATGTCTAAAAAGTGCCGAAACATGTCTAAACATGTCTAAACCATGGTTTCCAGCAGTTTCACATAAACATCGTTTATAATATTTATTATATTTATATAGTATGTATATATAGATATAGATATACGTCTATTTATATTCATTAATATAAATCATTAAACCAATGCAAGGAAGGCACCTTGTTCTGGCTTCCATTGCTGCCACAGAGCCAGGCGCTACTACCAGACCCTGCTGATGGAAACGGAGAAGCGCGGGGATGTGCAGAAGCAGGTGGCCGACAAAAAACCTGGTCATATGGGGATTTCCTACGGGGGGATCTCCAGTAGCTGGATCGTTTCTGCTTGGTGCTTTGGAACATGATTTTTATGACTTCCCATATATGGATGTGGGTCAAAATGGAAGACCTAGGGGACCACAGATGTTAGTCTAGTTTAGTATTAACCATCCAATTATTGGGGTACCTAATTTTGACCCATACCCATATAATTATATTGGGAATGTCATAATCCCAACTGACGAACTCATATTTTTTCAGAGGGGTTTAAACCACCAACCGGGTTTATAATGGAAAATCCGAACATACAAAATGGATGATTTAGGGCTAACCCCCCTGACTCTCCGAAGATCATTGACTTACGTTACATTTTAGCATCAACTGATGGCCAAGGATGGCTCAAGGATATTCATTTCATCTCATCAATACAAAGGCTTCTGTGAAGGAAGTGGCATGAGGATTGTCTTAAATTACAGTACTTCGATTGCTTTTTGAAGGAACATCCGCTGGAAGCCTGGAATATCTGATAGCAAAGAAACAGAGTTTCTGATAAATGCGTCCAAACATCGGCCCAGTAGATGCTAAAGAGATGGCCTTAGAACTATGGTTTAGATACCTATGTGGATGGCTCAACCACCAACTAGATGGCATCAGATATCGACGATGTCGATCCAGGTCTTCCTTTGGAAGCAGATGGCCGCGGATTTCTTCTCCCGCAACCTGCGCACGGCGTGCCTGAATTGTGCCCCTGGGGCGATGTGTCCAGTGTTTTAATGGTGATGATTAGGAACTAGGATCCATGGTGCTGGTATATATGCTAACATGACTGGGGTATATTGATGGGATCCATGTCACCATATATAGCAGCACCATGGATCCTATGGGTTAGGAACTAGGAACCAACCGGAACCAACCTGGATGAAAATAGTCATTTTACCCACTATTTCAACGACCCCGTGGCATGCAGATTGTGGGGCGAGTCGTGGAAATTTTGGAAACAGCTCACTTCCAAACGGAGTAAACCTTGGTTGAGTCGCTCCCTAAATTAAATGTTTGCCACAAGCGGCTGAAAATCCAGAAATCTTGCACATGCTGTTCAAACATATTTTTCTTGCAGGGTATCCCATGTCTTCAAGCTTCATATTCTCCCATTGCTGGTAAAACCCTCCCCGTTGTGCTTAAAATCTACTATTTTTATCCATGTTTACCAGCTGTTTTGGTGCAAGTCCACATTTGGTCGGTTGACGCCTCTTTGATGAACCACGGGATTTGTGGATACACATGGGAAACCTACGGTACCACACGTTACCACATCGTGAAGCTGTCGCCTCATCCATCCAACTGCTTGGTTCAAGACGGGTGATCACTTCCTGCACTCTGTCTTACGCTTAGTCCGCTTTAGCGACACTCGTTTCGCATGGTGTTTTTTCTTGGCAGGGACTGTTGGGCGATGGAAAGGCGTTTTGGGAACAGATATCGATAAAGCCCAAGCAAAATCGGGAACAATCATGGAATCCCAAAAATGAAATTCAGCGCAGGTGAACCCCACCAAGCGTTTACGCGGTTTGGAAGCTGACCAGCCGACAATTGGACATGCTTTGCTAAGGAATCTCCGTGGCCTCGACGTGTGTGTCGTGGTAACCTTCCGTGTCAGATTTGATGCTTGGTGAAGCTTTGAGTTTGGGATTTGATGATTTGCTTGGTGGTTTCAAACATGACTTTTATTGTCCATAATGTCTAATATATGGAAAACATTAAATTACATGGTTCAAATGTATTCATATTATTCATATCTCATTATATCATTTTTATCATATCTTATCATACCCATATGCTCCATGGTGCTGGAATATTTACCAACATTTACCCCATAAATGACCCACATGTAGGTAAATATACCAGCACCAAGGAGCATATGGGATAATGTATAATATATGGGATAATCCTTCCCATTGACTAATATTTTTCAGATGGGTAGGTCAACCACCAACCAGTTTGGATCTACAGAAAGTAGCCATGTAAATTCAGGATAGGTTCTGAGATCAGCCCAGCTGGTGCTTGGTGGCTTTTCTGGTTTCCCCTGCCGCACATGACCATTTGCTATGATATTGACTACTTGACGATATTTTCATGTGAAAAATATTGAATAATTATACAAAACACACACACACACGCATATGTATATATATATGCATATATAATTATATTATATAATTATAAACATATATATATATAACCAGGACATACCAGGACATGTTTTTGACACATGCCACTTAAAATGATATAACCAACATAAATTGGGTATAGCCTGCCATGATGACCTTCGGACCGTAGCGCCGTAGCCCAGGAGATGAATCCCTACAAAGAACAGCCGCTGAGACGCAACGAGATGCAGCTTTAAGCTGCAGCCACTGTGCTTCGGTCATCCCAGGAAAAGCATGGAATAGCTATATCCGATATCCTCTGGTTATTTCACACAGCTGCCATAGCTATGTAAAATGGTCTATTTTTTAGATGATGTATGATGATTTATGATGATTTACCTGTTAAGCATGGTGAATTTCAATAGCTATGTTCAGTTACTAGTCAATTACTGGGTAGAACCCGTTGCCTAACCGCAATAGAAACCGACGATTCACATCCCCCAGTGGTTCTTCTGAGTAAAATTTGGGATGCTTGGCCCAAGGCAGACCTTGGTTGAGGGGCCAGGCCTGTTTGGAAGCAACTTGGCAATGCGAAAAGGGTGAATCATTTGTACACACACACATATACATAATTATACATATATATATATATGTTATATGTATATATATTTATTTATTTGTTTATTTATTTATACACTATATAAATATCATATAAACAAGCACCGATACCGATATGTTCATATACATAATATATTAGGAATATCGCCTTGGCAAGGCAATGCCCTTTTCCACCAGAGACTAGCATCAATATGATATATAGAGAATGGTTCTGAGCTACTGCGTGTAGCATAGTGTCACAACCAGGGTGCCATGCTGTCAGAGGGGTCTCTACATCATCCTTCTTGTGTTATGAAGCATCACCCTTCACTGGTTGAAGCACGGTTAATCATGCAATTCATTGATTTTTCAAAGATACCTGATGGCAAAGAGCTGTAAGCCTCCCCGTCATTGAGGTTGAACTTGGTTGCTTCTTTTGCCGTGCTGATGATCCCCAACTTCGAGAAAAAGATGGATCAAAAGATCGTTTTCTAAATCCAGCATTTGGGGATATTTGGGGAATCTACTGGGAATACCCTCTGGTAATTTAACATAGCTATTGAACATGGCCATTTATAGTTGATTTACCGATTTATTGACCTATTAAAAATGGTGATTTTCCATAGTTATGTTAGTTTACCAGAGGGTATGTGTGTTTTCCTTGCCCCCATTGCACCACAACTGAGGCTATGACGCCCTACAGGCCTTCAGCAAAGGAGTGTGGCTTCCATTGCCCAAGCGAAAGATGAACTTTGTGCCACTCATTGTGTGCCCTGCAACCGCGGGGAGATTTGAGGACTGAAGGGGAAGAACTTGGGATTTAATGGGATATATATAATGGGAATATATATATATATATATATATTTAACATGGGATATATATAATTATATATATATAGATCCTCTATAATGTATTCACGGCCCATCAACTGGCTCTTCTCAGTGTTCATAATATTCGTCCGTTCAATTCTTGAATGGATGATAACAGGTGACCTTGATTGATGAGTTATCATGAATCATGATCATCATGATCCAGCTTCGTGAATCATAATTCATCCATATTTATCTCAGATCATTCCGTATCTCCTGATTCATCGCGATCAGGTGCACCCTGGTGCCCTGGGGGCTCTTCGTTTTGGTCTATAGCTTCTGGGCTGCCAGGGTCCGATGCCGCAACATATAGAAAATCATATCAAATCTGGGAGGAAATCAACCTTTTTCGTCGGGAAAAACCAGCATCTTTGGTGGGAAAGACCGATGATGTTTGATCATTTCTGGTGGGAAATCGGATCAAAGGGTACATATGTTTGTGTCTTCAGTTGGGCCGTTAAGTTGGGCCAGTGAGCAACAAGAGTTGTGGCATAGGGGCAGACAAACAACGCAAACTAGGTATACAGTATACAGTATATATTACGAATAGTAAGAAGGATTGATGTGATATGATTACATAATATTATATATATATGTATATAATTATTTATGATCATATATATATATATGATCTAATTAACCAACAAGAAATTGAAGACTACCAACTCAACCATTATGTTTTTTGATTGTTGTTTCCCGATATTTTATGCTACAATAGCTTCAGAAGTCCCTCGGCGAAGCCGATTTGGTGAGGCCTGTTGTCCTTCCAGATCCACTACAGCCAACCCATCTTGTGCAACATCTCGGTCTTTGTGCTGTTGGTGATTGTGATCATCATTTTGGTCAAGGCCGAAGTTGGGAATGACTCAGGATCCAATTTATGGAGTTAGTACCATATGTTTGGCTATATTTTGTGGGGATATTCCCTGAAATTTAGGCCTGAAAAATAGGTCTTATATATGGTAGGTACCTGCAATTTAGGTTCCTGAAATGGCCATTGACAATGTTGTGGGCTTTGAACACTGCCCGCTCAATTGTAGTTTCCTAAAAGTAGTGATCTTCAAAGATCCGCAACATGTGGAGTGGCAGACGAGGGGCAAGCAGACGAAATTGGATCGTCACGGATACACTTCACGCATTCCAAAAAACAATCAATGATGCAATCTGGCTTCCAAATTGCCGAGTGGTACCACATTGATGTGACCCTCAGGCGGTGACGGGCCGCCTCCGCATCTTTGCTGGGGTCGCACCAGAACGGGAGCCGTCCGGGCGCTTAGTGTAACTTCCCATGTGGATAGAACACTTCTTTTGGGGATGGCATACAGATGATTTTTTCGGATAAGTTCCAGATGTTCCAATTCCAGGTTTCCCAGTTTTCGACCTTTTTGATCCTTTTTGAGGATTGCTACAGTCTAGGACCGCAGCCATCCGCAGCCTTTCCCAGTCCTTCACTGAAATTTTGGCCCCAGGTCTTGGTGGATTTTCTTTGCCTTGACTCTTCTCTTGGCATGGATCATGGGCTTTCACCAGGGCGACAAGAATTTCTCCGCCACCTCGCCCCTTGGATCCCTTGGCGGCCCAGGGATGGCGTAGCCTTAGTGTAGCTGCACGGTGCAGCTGTCATCATGGATGGCACCAAGGCGATATTACGACCTTGGCAACTTGAACAACTACACGTGACCTGGCCACAGGGTGGCTAGCCATTGGCCATGTTTGATTGATGCATATTGATGCTATCATATGAATGGGCTCCACCTTTGTTTACTTGGGGTCTCATACTCTTAGGTAAATCGTGGTCAAGTAACAAAACCGTGTACTTGGTGGTGAGCGGATGATACCTCCTACACAAAATTCAGCCGGGGACCATGGTTGGTCGTTTCAGCATCTTGAGATCAACAGGATGGTGTATCCCAACCGCATGCTGGGACAGCAGCTTCTGGATGCGGGCATTGTGCAATTTGCTCCTGGCAGCCAGTTGGATGTGCAGAAGTCCATGGGTTCCTCGCCGAAAAACATGGTGAGTCGGCGGGATTTAGCTCACCATTTCCCGGGGAAAAAAAACAAACAAACATGGTTACAGGATGGTGCCGCCAGTTATAAGTTGGTTTATAAACTCCATTAAATATACGTAATTAGAATTATTATACCATAACACCATAGTTAGGCTACTTCTCAGGCAACTTAGCTATCTTGGGGGACCTATCCTGTAGGTTATTTCTAATTCGGGAAAAATTGTCCAGATAGTTGCACCAGGGCAGCGGAGAGTACATATGTCCTGGACATAGCCATCGGAGCAGTGCCCAAAACTTTCTGTCACTAAGTGAAGAGGGCACTGGTTGGTTGGAAGGAATTCCTACTTTCTGGATTTTGAGAAGCTCTATCAGGCCAGCTACTGTAGTATGAATAAACCTAGTCCTACCCATCAACAAACAGTTACGACCTGGATATTGTTGAGTTTTTAGGGCTTCCTTCCGCATGGAAATAGTTTGGGCTCTGACTGTAAGAACAAAAAGCTAGGGAAACGCCCAAGATTTCGTTTGTTGTACACACTCGGCGTGGGAAAGCAAAGCTTTCCCCTGCCATGCCCGGTTCCATTCAAATTAAAGATGCCTATGGAAAATGGTCCATTTGCAGATAATTCACTTATAAAAGCAGATGATTTTCCATAGCTATGTGAAAGTGCCAGTGGGTAGATGGTTCTCATTCGTTCCATTCAAGTATGGTGTTGCCTCCAACGCGGACAGCTGCAGGCTTCAAGAATGGGAAGCTTTTTTGCGTGGTCGATGGCTGAGCTTAGTGCAACGGTGATGCCACTTTGGGTCTGGAGGTGGAATATATTTGCCATCCAAAATTGCCATTCCAAGAGGGAAGATGATGATTGACCATTTTCTTGGCAAACCTTTTATTTGCCTCAACAATTTTCCCATGAGTGATCAGAGGTTCTGCGTTTGGCCTGATTTGATTCTGTCTCCATTATGTTGGAAGATACGCACCATCAAGGGAACACTGATTATCATATATGCTTTGGCAATTTAACACAGATATGGAAGGTAATCATTTTCAATAGGTAAATCATCTATAAAAATCGCCATGCATTTGAATAACATTGGAAATTACGTTGAATTTCCAAAGCTTTGCGGCAGTTTTCTGGCGTTGCATCATGTTGCATCCCCCTATATCCCCCTCTCTTGATCTTCCGCTGCGTCGCTGTGCCATGTTTCGAGGCCCCAATCGTCTTTGGAACGGCCACGCCGGTGTCCTACGACTTTTGGGCGGTAGGCGACCAGTCCACCGTGAGGGCTTAGTGATCACCATGTTTTTGCAGTGTTTCCATCTCTCTCTCTCTATTATATATATATGTGCGTGCACACATGTATACATACAGTGTATATATATACACACATAAAATACGTACACATCCATATGTATATATAGAGTGGTGTTTGGAGGAAGGTTCCATGAGTGATGTGTTTTTCTGGTTTGCCTGGGACGGTCCCACATTTGGTCATGGGTTGCTTGTGACATGTTGCGACGCTGAAGGCACGGATTGCTGCAGTGGCAGCCAGGCAGACTTTTCTTGTCGCGGCCTGGCTGCACATGATGCGGAGATGACTTGGTCCTTGTTAGGGGTACTGTTGCAAGGCATTGCCTTCCTGAAGTGACAAGTTGATGCTGGAAAATGGGCTCAGAACTGGTTTGCACCACCTATAACAATGGTGATTTGGGGGATGGTTTGTTATTGTTTTACCCACATTAATCAGTTTGCTTTTGCATGTAGATATTTAGGGTTACATCGCACGGTACGCCCAATATTTCAACAATCAAGCACCATTTCGGGATGGCTTATCATCGTGTATCCCCCACGAAGTATGGGGTTCCCTTTTCAACCATGATATAGATTGCGGAAGTGAGGCAACTACAACAACCCTCAGGCGAGCGGAGGCATCAGGCCGAGAAAACTGTGACCGGGATCGGGACCTGCGGAGTGGAGTCAAACCTCAAAGCCGGGGACGGAAAGTTGGAAGGAAGACACATTTGGGGGGCTTGACCTCATCCCCTCCATAAAGGTAAAGTAGCACCCAAGCATTGCCGTTTGTTATGAAGATCAAGCAGAGAGCCATGGTCCCAAATTGACATGAAACTTTCCAGTGTCCCTGGGAACCTATGCCTGGCCAGAAAATTATCTGCAGGAGGGCAACCTGCAAACCGGCTCCTGTGAAGGAATGTTTGTTAAGAAGTTCCCCTCGTTGAAGATGTCCTGAACAATCAGAACTGCCCTTTGACCGTATCGGGAGATTTGACTTTTATGTGGTAACCTGTTTGCCTAATGATACACCATCCACAATTTCACCAGAAATGGGTCGTGCCGTCAGGTTGATGGACAGCGCTAACCGAGCATACTACAGGCTGCACTGGGTCATTGCTTGTGGTGATGGTGATGAAGATGAAGATAATGATGATTAAGATGAAGATGAATAATAAAATGATGATGAAGAAGAAGAAGAAGATGATGATGATGATGATGATGATGACGATGACGATGATGATGATGATGATGATGACGATGATGATGATGGCCAGATGATGATGATGATGGCCAGATGATGATGATGATGATGATGATGATGATGATGATGATGATGATGATGATGATGATGATGATGATGACACTAATGCTGATGATCATGATGATGATGATGATAATATGATGATGATATGATGCTGACATGATGCTGCTGCTGATGATGATGATATGATATGATATGATGCTGCTGCTGCTGATGAAGATGTTGCTGCTGATGATGATGATGATGATGATAATGATAGGGTGAGGGTGAGGGTGAGGGTGAGGGTGATGCTGCTGCTGATGATGATGTTGATGACGATGATGATGAGGATGAGGATGATGAGGAGGAGGAGGATGATGCTGCTGCTGATGGTGATGATGATCAAGGAGGAGGAGGAGGATGAGGAGGAGGAGGATGAGGAGGAGGAGGAGGAGGAAGAACCCGCCTAAACATTGTCGTACATTATACACGTCACTGCCATAGTCATTATTGTGATTATCTACTATTGTTTAATTGTTATTTGATCAACAGTGATTTAGTTTTACTATTACTTGTACGATTATCGTGTTTATCATTCCTATCACTATTTGTATCATTTTGTATCATCATGATGGGCCGGAGCATTGTTGGTGACCTGGTACTGTTCTGCCAGGTTGGCAGTCCAACAGGCAGAAGCTACCTACAACATCAAGGAGGGGAATGATGTTTGCATTGGGAAAAAACATCACTAATTTGCCTTATTTTATGCTGGGCAGCTGATTCTTTAGTCAGATTGGATGCTTCAGATGTCTTTGGGGTTGGAGCCAAGAACCACTCATGAATCTAAGCGTTGGTGAATGATTTCCTTCACTGATTTGGATTGATCAGTAGCAACTCAGCCCGGATGATATCTGCAGGGTCAAGGTCCTGGGCCATGGCAACGCAACGTGTGGGATTTTGATGGATTTTGACCAAGGGCCCTGACTGATTTCCCATAGATCATACCTAGTGCTCTTGAGGGAGCTCAGGAGCTAGGGGTCTCCAAATTTCCTATTGATTTCAATCAATTTAAATTGGGATCCAAAGAGCTACAATCAGAGTTTTCTAACCATGTGATAGTTTAAGGGTGTATGTTCACATGGTCAAAAAGATCTTGCAGCCAGGAGATTGACTTGTCTTACTTTCTGTGTGCTCCAGAATTGGATCATGGGAACATAAGTAGCAGCGTAGCACGCCTACACAACTAGCAGATCTTAGCAGTACGAGGCCAATTTGTCCTGTGGATTTTCCCTTAAAATCCCCTTAAGCTCCCGACTGAAAGCTCCCACAGGCGGCACATCCGCTCTTCTTCTACTGGGAGGTTGATCCATCCAAGAAGGTGCGACATCGACACGTGGGCGCGGGTAGGGTGAAAGAGCTACCGTAAAAACATAATTAATTTACTTCGAGTTATCCCCACCATGACATCTATACATTTTGTTACTGGCAAATCTTCTGGCATTCTATCTGGCAAATCTTCTGGCAAACATTCTGGCACTTTATCTGGCATATCTTCTGGCACTCTATCTGGCATATCTTCTGGCACTCTATCTGACATATCTTCTGGCATATCTTCTGACATTCTATCTGGCATTCTATCTGGCAAATCTTCTGGCATATGTTCTGGCAAACATTCTGGCACTTTATTTGGCATACCTTCTGGCATTTTATCTGACATTCTATCTGGCATACCTTCTGGCATTCTATCTGGCATATCTTGTGGCATTCTATCTGGCAAACATTCTGGCACTTTATCTTGCATATCTTCTGGCATTCTTTCTGACATTCTATCTGGCGTTCTATCTGGCATATCTTCTGGCATTCTATCTGGCCGTTGAGGTCCAGCGGTGCTCACTGAGCTCGGAGGGTCCCAGGTTGAGGTCCAGCGGTGCTCACTGAGCTCGGAGGGTCCCAGGTTGAGGTCCAGCGGTGCTCACTGAGCTCGGACGGTCCCAGGTTGAGGTCCAGCGGTGCTCACTGAGCTCGGAAGGTCCCAGGTTGAGGTCCAGCGGTGCCCAGTGCGCTCAGACCCTTGCAGTTGAGGTCCAGCAGTGCCCACTGCGTGCGGAAGTTGGCGAAGAGCTTGGCGAAGAGTTGGCAAGGCGGAAGTGAACATGGGAGTGGATGCAAAGGTGGTGGAGGAGAAGCTGGAGGCAGAGGTGGTGAAGGAGAAGGAGGAGGAGGAAGAGGAGAAGAAGAAGAAGGAGAAGAACAACTCTGATAAAATCTAACAACCCTCACCTGGCAGGTGGGGAATTATACATTGATTGTATTTGAGCGTGATTAATGATATATATATATATATATTGAACATAGACTAACACACGCCCACAGACACGCACACACATACATATATATATAGTATACTTTGAATAACGTATGTATCTGTTATGTTTGATTATATTTAATTACCTATACTACACACATACACACTCATGTATATATATATATATATCCAAAAAATGTGTGTCAAGATCACATTGGGGAAAAACAAGAAGAATTACTTGTGAGAATCGAACACCGGACTCTTAAAAAAACGTTACAGCAACATATAGCCATCCATGCTGTATCATGGGCTACGCTCGTTGCGAGGTGATGAGTTGGCTCCTGGAAGGACACCAAACCTTTGCCGCGTGGATGGTGTCGTACCTGGTCTTTCAGTTCCTTGGAACGGAATGGCACCGGCAACACCGCATGGCACCGTTCGCCCCTGGTGGCGAACTTAGATTACCCTCTGGTAAACATACAAAAAACTATTGAAAATGGTCATTTATAGTGGATTTACCCATTAAAAATTGTGATTTTCCATAGTTATGTTAGTTTACCAGAGGGTAATCCAGGGTTGACACACGATGACTTGGGGCTGTTGGAGGTTGATTTTCGTGAGGAAATGTTTGGGACACGACGGCATCCAACCATTTTTGACGACTGAAATCGGCGATAAATGAGGACATTCAGGTCACGCACCCTGAGGGTCCGGGCTGTTCCAAGGGGTATCTCCTATCATCCAAGTAGCCTCCGGCAATCGAAGAGTTTGCCATGGAAACTCACCATTTTTTACTCGCTGATTCATCATGATTCATCTATAAATACTAAATGGACTACTAAATGGGTCATGTTCCATAGCTGCCATAGATATATGTTTCCATAGCTAGATGTTTCCATAGCTATATATGTTAACTTCCCGGAAATTCGTGGATTTCCTTAGGATGGATCGCCTTAGGCTCTTCCTTGTGGCTGTGGCCGCAGTGGTCTTCTCGAAGATTGGTCACACCTGAGGAACCGATGTCTCACCCGACCAGTAGATGTCCAGTAGGTCGGAGGGGTTCAGAAAAGATCGCCACTGTGAAGATGATATATGAGATGAAGTAATTATCATGAATATGTTCTTGTATACATATTATGTACATATATTTGTAATATTAAATTATGTTTTTGGTTATGATATCCATTTCCGAAAACAAAAACAAAAACATGCTATATCGATGGATCAAGGCATTGCGGGAGACCTCCATTTTCAGAAGCTGGGGCGGTCGGGGCGATCAGGTGCTGTGATGGCCTACCTGAATGCAGGGGATCAAAGCGGTGCTATGGAGATGCTTCGACAGATGGTGCCTTCGGATGGGACATATGCTCCATGGTGCTGGAATATGCACACCAACATTTACCCCATAAATGACCCAGTCATGTAGGTAAATATACCAGCACCATGGAGCATATGGGGATGGGAATCCATGAGCCTCACTTTTTCCTCACTTTTGATGGAGAGGTTTGAAGCGTTTTAAAAGCCTTACCATTGATCAATTCCGTGGTGGTTTTTGGATATTTGTGGTTTGCAAAATTCATGCAAAGTCACAGCTCCTGCGATAGCGATATCACAATATCGCAGCTGGGGCGGACATTGTTGGAAGGCAATTGGAAAGAGAGACAGAGAGAGAGAGAGAGAGATCACTGCTCTTGCTCTGTAGAATCAGTTTTTCACATTTTTTTCTATGTACGGTGTTTATCTTCAAAGCCTTTTTTTGTGGGGACGAGGCTTATCAGAAACGTGTCATGACCAGCCAGTTGCGGTGGCCAGGTGCGTACCAAGCTCTTCAACAAGGTCACAGCATCTTGGCATCAACTTCGTGCGGCTGTGGTACGCTAAATGCTCCAAGGTATAGCACCATTTCTACTACCAAATGGCCACCAAATATTTTTTTAAAGGAATAACCAATAGGAACAATCAAATCAAGCAGTGGATTGTTGGGGTCCCGATGTTGGCCCGTCCAGTGTGAACGATGATGTTTCGTCAACCCGAATTGATCAAGAAGGATTTTGCAGAGAGATTCAGCAATTCAGGTCAATGATTACTGCGTATGGTTCGGTATCGAGATGGTGATTATGTGGCAACATTTGGCAGTAGAGAAGTGAATGCAAACATCCAGCATACCCAAGAGATCCCAAGAGTAATACATGGACTCTTGACCGTGAGAAATTTGAACATATGGCCGTATGGGGTATATGCACATAGGTGGCAGATATCCCCAGGTAGAATCAATGGATTGGTTGAAGGGAAAAATTACAGGAAAACTCATATTCAATGGGAAAATGGATGGTTTCCGATGTAGGTTTTCCCTTAAACCAATCCATTGATAGAAGTACCAATGCAATCCCATTAAATAAGCTCAGGGCTCTTTAGCGGCTCGTTTGGGCATCAAAGACTTAGAGGTGCAGCTTTCGCGGGAGGGCCATGACTGGGCGTGGGTACGAATATTTACCAACATTTACCCCATAAATGACCCAAATGTAGTAAATATACCATACATGGAGCATATGGGATTGATAAACAATTGGCGAAGCAGTCGATTTACATGATCCAGTTAATTTCATCGAGTTTCTTCATTTTTTCTCTGGGAGTTCCTGCGTTCCTGAAACGCTAGTGTCAACACACTACAAGTTGGATATAATATAATGGTGTGAAGACAACAACGTCGGCTCAAAAGCTTCAAGCTTGTGACAGTAGGTCCGCAGCCCTTGAGAAGATTTTCCAAAGCCATGTTTTCCCACAATGTTGGGTCAGTTGCACATGAGCTTCCGGGAAAATGATGATAAGTAGTGATATCGGTATCATGGCCAAAAGCCGGTCCCTCTGAAGTTGTCCCATTTGAGGACATGGTGGTTCATCCGTTTCATAGCATTTTGATCAATTTATTTTATAAATACAGTAAATATCACGCCAAGACAATTGTATACATTTGTATACCATTTCAGTCCAATTCATTCCTTCACATATAAACTTGGACTATCCAGGTATAAAAGGAATTCCATTTCTTTCGGCGTAGCATCCACAGTTTACCTGCATTTTTGCAAAAAAAAGCAACCTGGACAATTTCAAGAAAAATAGACAAATATGGAGAAATGGAAAAAAACTACGTGGGACCATGTGGGACCAATCTATGTATTGTGGGAGTACCCTCTGGTTATTTAACATAGCCATGGAAAATCACCATTTTTAATAGGTAAACCTCTATAAATGGTCCATTTCCCATGGCTATGTTAAATAACCAGAGGGTATTGTGGGTAAAAGCGCCATGGTTTCTGGTTGATTCTCCCTTCACCCCCGAAATTGGCACCATGGACGGCTGCACTGCTGCGTTGGTTTCATCGGCAGAGCTGGCGGACTTTGTGTGCCGCTGCCATGCGGAAGATCTGTTGCGCTGGTCGTTGTACCTGGCCAAGTTATTGTTTTACGATTACAGGATGGTGCCGTCGAAGTGATGTTTGTTGGTTGATAGACCCCATTAAATATAGGCTATAGTTATATATATATATATCTACCATAAACCATAGTTAAGCTACTTATAAGGCATCTTGGGGGCCCCATCCTGTATGTGTAATGGTAAACCCATGTAGTTATTCGCAGTTACGAATGTTTTACATCGTTTTAGTATATTAGTGATGGTAAGGCCAATATTTTCACATTCATCCCAAATAGGTGTATGCCAACCCTTCCATGGGGGATGGTTTATTTGTTAGTGGGTTTGCTACATTTTGCCACATTATCCGGTGAATCTTGCAACTTACCATTGACATATTCTGTTGGGGGCATTTCATGATATTCTTAAAAGTCACTTCGTGTGACCAATTCAGGTGGTAGAATTGGTTGAGATATGAAATAAGTGTTTTTTTCTCCCTGGGGTTGAGCTTTTGTTACCCTAGGATTGGGAGTGAAATATCTGGGATTTCGGATGCTGTCTCCAGTGTTTCGTTTTTTTTTTTTTTAAATCTGCCTTTGATTTTGATGTACGGTCGCATTTTGGGAATACAGCAACCCCCAAAAAGATATATATAAAAGTAAAATCCTACTAGACTATAGTGGCACATGACTTTTATTTCTGGACTTTTCGTTATCATTCGGTTGCTTTGCAATGTTTTCGGGAACGGTCTTAGTTTTTACTTTTAGGGGCCCAGATTCACAACGCCCAGGTACTCGGGAGATTATGTGGTGCTTCGAGGCGGCCTGTGATGTCTCACCTGCGAAAGGAACCTACCGTATCAAGATCCTGTAGATGATGATGATGATGATGATGATGATGATGGCCAGATGATGATGATGATGATGATGATGATCCTAGTAACTACTGTATAAATCTGTATAATAATAATAAGCATCGTTTTTCCGTGAGTTTGCGCTCGCAAACCCCTCCAACATCAGTGGCAATTTGCTCCAAATCAAGGCTCCGACTCCGATTTTTGCTACGCAGCGGTCAATCCTCCGCTGGAGGACGGGGAAAACGACTGCGGTTTGGGCCTTGGACTGTCGCAGAGAGATTTTCGATGGGGATGGGTCAAGACCACGTTTATTTATCAATATTTCTCATAGATGTTAGGATGATTTGACTTGAGTTGAGTCCTTTACTTGGCATGATGATTCAAAGTTGAACTTCAAATCAAGTTTCTTTTGGGGATGAAGTACAACCCGCTGGTAGGGCTTTAAAATGGACCGGAGAATCAAGATCCGTTTTTGGTGCCCACCAGGAACCAAGGTTTTGTACAGACATCCGTCAGGGATCACCATGATAGTCAAGCTGGCAGGGGGCATGGCAGAAGAATTTCACAACGTGTCACTTATATAGAAAAACGATGAAAAACCATGGAAAAACGATAGAAAACTGATAGATGTCACAACTGAAACTATGATAGATGTGTATCTAGGAAAAACGATGAAAAACCATGAAAAACCTTGTAGTCGCGCATGATATCGCATGATATATGTAGGATCCAAGAGAAGTCCTTATAACATGCCTTCCGCGACTCAGGCGTCGAGGAAGGCAAAGTGCTGGTCGCCCCCAAGGTGTTTGATCTCCTCGGAGGCTCGGTGAATGGGTGACTTTTGGTGACTTTCGCGTATCCACCAGGAGCAAAATTGATGGCATAACAATCACCAAATATCAGCTAATCACCTGGCTGATTATCAATAAATATTAGCCTGGCTGATATTTTTTGCATAATAATATCAGCAAATATCAGCCTGGCTGATCTCACCAAATATCAGCCAATTACTGGCTGACTTTCCAAAAAGTGTACCTTTTGTCATCTCATGTGTCAGCATGTGCTGAGAGGTAACCCTGGGTTTCGATTTGGACCCTGGCTCCTTTGCTTTCGACTGTGATTTCAGCAGTCTTGTGACAGAATCCGTGTGTTTCCTACTAGCCTTCCACTCCAATTTCAGCAGTTTTATAAGACACTCAGTGTGTTTTTCCTTCATCCTCTTGTGCAAGCAATGGCTGAAAGCCAATTTACTTGGCCAAGGGACTTAAGCCTCTGCAAGTCCAAGTGTTTTTTCATTGAATCAGGCCTTAAAGGGGACTAACAAACTCTAAACCGGAGAGTTTTCCTGGCTTTGTTCTTGACCAAAAGAGCTGAGTGGTTCGAAACAAAGTGCCCAAAACGTACTTGCGAAGATGGCCGGGGTTGAAGCCACCAGCAGCCAGAAGAGGAACATGTCAAAATCAAAAGACTTTCGTCAACTATTCTGCCGGGTCTCATGTTGCACATTGCTGTGGGTGTTGCAAGCAGATCCGTAGCATGAAAACACTAGGCTTTGTTTATGCTTGATATGTTAATTTGAGAATATACATTCTGTAAAAGAATGGACTGTAATTAAGAGAAGTTTATACAGATGTGATGGCATCTTTCCATGATCAAGGCTGTGGGGTGCTTGTGCCCAGGGCTTTTTCCTGGATTCCAATGGTAGCTGATCAACCACCCTTCTGGTCCTTCTGCTTCACCCTGACCCTTCAAAGCATCACATCCATTATGAATCAACATATAAATAATTAAATTTTTATGTCTATATAAAGGTATATATGCATGCATATATACATATATGTATATAAGACGATACACATAGATAGATGCATGGATGGATGGATGGATGGATGGATGGATAGATGGATAGATGGATAGATGGATAGATGGATAGGTGGATGGATCGATGGATCGATGGATGGATGGATCGATGGATCGATGGATGGATGGATCGATGGATAGATGGATGGATAGATGGATAGATGGATAGATGGATAGACAGATAGATGGATGGATGGATAGATGGATGAATGGATGGATGGATGGATAGATAAATAGATAGATAGAGCCATGGGCCCCATCTAGTTTGGAGATTTCCCGGCTAGTTGTGTTTGACGACCGGAGGGTCAAGATCGGTCTTTTAGCACCTAAAATCACCAAAAAATGTGCGGTTCCCAGTTGAAGGTGGCCTTGTTCACATCGAAATGAAAGAGCTGGAAGAGGCCGGCTCTGTTCGACTCAGTGGCTTGGAGTAATCGCTTTCGGACAGGAGCTGGGGCCGCTGGGGATTGGTTCATGTCAAGGGACGGTCATCCATTAATAAGGGATTTCGATGCTCATTTTAAGGATACACGTTGTAGTACCCACGGCCCATATACCATGTTTTGACCATGACCCATATGGTGATGTTCAACTGAGATGGGGATAGTAAACAATCACGATGCCCATCCTCTGAAACGAAGGTTAGGTACTAGAATGGCGAACACATGTGGTTCCCTGGGTCTCACCCTGCAGTGTGCAAGGAATCCAGGTGCGCCTGACCATTCCAGACGTCGTGTATGGGGATGGGTCAAAAGCTGTTGTTGCCATATGATTGGGGGAATAAACATCAATTAACCAGCTATAACTTAGGGTACCTAGGGCCCCAAGGCTTTGACTCATAGATATGATCCCTTCTCCCTATTACTAAACCTCTCCTAGATTAAAAAAACTATGTATTTTGGGAAATTTCAGATTGGTCAATTTGAGTTGTAATTGATCCCCGTTAGACAACAATTTAAAAACCAAGGTCCAATTTGCAGGTTCTACTCGATAATAATAAAAACTAGTTCAAACAGGGGTGTTTTTTATTATAGTCCGTCTTTTGAAATCGAACATTCTATTTTTTTCATTAAGGTTTTAAACTTTAAATTAAGGGAACACTTCGAAATCCACTTTGGCAATATTTTAATTAGATTATAAAAAGGATCTTAATCGAAATCGAAGAACATAGTTTTTTTCAATTAAGGTGGATAATCTAATATTAGGGGGAACGCTTCAAAATCCAATTTTTGGTGATATTCTAATTAATTATATGTTAAAAATGATTTTGATCGATTTTGAAATCGAAAATTGTAGTTTTTTGAATTAAGGCTATACATTTAATATTAGGGGAAAGCTTTGAAATCCAGTTTTTGGCCATATTTTACCTAGATTTTAAAAAGGATTTTGATCGATTTTGAAATCGACAATTGTAGTTTTTGTAGTTAAGGTTTCATATCAGGGTCCAGCTTCTCCCCCAAATATAAAAATACACCCTCATAATAAAAACAAACCCTCGGTCTCGGTGTTTTTATTTGGGGGGGGCGGGGGGGGAGGTTTAGTATTAGGGTGAAGGGATTAATGCCTCAATCTTGACCTTGACCATGCGAGCAATTCAATTGGCTTCAGCTGCGCGGCGGTTGCCCAGGTGGGATAAGAGACGAGGTGGGGAAATGCCGGGAATGGGGTAGGCATAGGAAGGCTATGTGGAATTTATGTAGCTTGTATCTTTGCAAGGACCTCATTCTTGCCCCATTTACTCTATTTATGTTGCAGATTCTTAGATATTTTACAACTATGATAATTAATCCAAGTTATATCAAAGACGATGCCAACGGTCAAAGTGCTCAAGGCGCTCCTTTGCCCTTGTTTGTCCTGTTTTATCCTCCTGTCCACCTGGAAGATCTGGTTTGCTTTCTCAAATGTTTCCCGTTCTTCATGCCCTTCGACAGTGCGGAAAAAAGCTGAAGCAAATTTTTGCAAATCAAAAAAAACATAGCAGGGTGATTTGTCATTTGGGTTTCCGTTTGGATCGTGTATCCTTTCCATTTTTTTTCCAAGTGCCCAGCCATTTGGAACTTCTAACCCTCGAGGAGATGCTACAGCAGCTCCAGAGCTTCTTCGGCACCCTGGCAGGGCAAAGCGATCGCACCCTGCAAGACGTGGCAGACGAAGAGGACCTCGATGTGGATGAAGAGGTGGCATGGCACGCTGGGTAAAGGGCCTGGGTGTTTTTTTTTAAAGGATGCCATGTAGCTGTAGCTTAAGTCTCAGCCAAATTTCAGCGTTGCCCAGATTGAGGTATCTGTCCAAGATTTTCCACTTTGAGATCTGGTATGATCTGGTGTTTTTTTTTGGAGTGCACAGCGAAGGGGTGGCGATTGCAGGCTCAGCAAGCAAACCATCAAACCGTGCCATGTAATTATTGTTGTTTTGGGCCAACGGAGCAGTCCATCCAAAAATTAAGATAACTAAGGGCTCGCAACTACTCGACCTGACCATCAAGTGTCATTGTTGTTCATCCCCACTTCTTTTAGTATGCACATGCCCCCATGAGCACATGCCCCCAGGCAGCCCAATACACACACTTGCTCAGACTCAGCATTGCTGGAGGTGTTGGAATATTGGCAAGGCTACGTGCAGAAAAGCCGCTGTGCCATGAAGCTCGGCTTTAGGCTCTGCCGAGAAGGAACTTGGAAGAATAGCCACCTCTTCTGCAGTGATGGTAAGCGCATGTAAGCGCTATGTCTTTTTTTTCCCCCTAGGCCACGCGGATATGAGGGAAACTGGTGTGACTCTTTGGATGATTTGGTGGTTGGCTTTCATATTTTCACAGGAGTTGGGTCGCCCCTATAGCAACTCACCCACCTCAGGACCCCAGTCTGGACCGGATTAAGTTTTGGAATGCCATCTGAGGCCCGAGGGGTAAAAAGATGGCTGGGCTTTTTTGGTATGGTCTAGATTCTAGATCCTGATTTTATTAGGATACAATATGCATCCCCAACCCTGGATGGGTATATTTTATATAATCCTTTAGTTTTTGGATGTTTTTGGTCATAAATGGAAACCAACCATAACCAGCAAAAGATTAATCTCTTTGGAGACACCGAAGATTGACCATGTATCATCATGTCCAGTTAGAAACCAAATTGCCCAGATTTTATATTCGGTGGTAGGGAGCTTGGCCAGGTGGCGTCTCGAAAGATTTGACACTGAGAAGGGTGTAACTGGATGGTTATCGCAAGCATACTCATCATTTGGTTATCAATGCCCTAGCTCCTTTGATTTTGGTTTAAGGATGGTTTGGAGTCGAATCATTGGGCAAAAAATGATCAGCGAAACGCTTTTTCAACAGCCCAAATCACCAACTCTGCGGATTGCGCTTGATTTTTGGGCCTGACAGGCGGCCATTTGTCCCATTTTCAAAGCGTCCTCGGACGTGCGTTGCTCGGCGAAACTTCCAACCCGCTTGGTGAAAGGGTAGCTGACATTGGGTTCTTGCATGTTTTTGCTATTTTGATGGGGGAATGTTGGATAAGTATATAAATCATATGGCCATCTATATATATATAATATATGATATGTTTTTTTTTGTGATCTTTTTTGGTGTGCAAGGTTTGGATGATTCTTTCTCAGAGGGCATGGGCACCTTGACAGTTGCAATGCAGACTTTCAAGATGTTTGCACCTAGCCTGGCTCCTGTTCAGCCAGATTGAGGAACACATGCATGGGCGGTTTAATTGTGTAATCCATTATGCATCCAGGCCCATACATATAGTATACCTTTATGACATACGCAAATGCAATTAAATGCACACACTGCATGATGGTGCATGTGTAATTGCATAAAGATGCTGGTGCCGCCCTAGGTCACGTCTCTGTGACTTCCATTTTAGCTTCCGATGGATCCCGCATGGAATCAGCTGTTGTGGGTCCGCAGACCCGTTTGCTGGCATCCAATGAAGATGCAACGTGTGCAGCGCCAGCGGCTTAAAAGACGGACCGGTCAGTGGGAAGCTTTCTTGAATTTGACTTTAAATTTTAAACACAATTTTTCTAGCAATTTGGATGGTTTGAATAGAATATCTCACAAGACATTTTGTTTGTCTTATTATGGTGGGGTACCTAAGGTCACTCATGACAGGGGCTGATCAGAGAGATCGTTGGAGTGTGGAGTTTGGGATGCTATGGGATGCTAGCCATGGGTCATTCAACAATGACCAGCCTGGCCGTGGGCGGCAGTGTTCTGGAATGTTTGACACATGGGTCTGTTCCGGAGCCGGAGATTTTCCAGTACATCTCCGGTGTCCAATAATTATTGTAGAAAAAGTATAGGGCATAGGGAAAAACTATGGTCTGACGTAAGGTTTGCATCCCCAAGTCGGCCCATTGAACAATTTTGTTCAGCTTGGAAAGGACAAAGGACCTTGTTTTGTTTGGTACATTTGTAACTGGCAACAATTTCAAACCGTTTCCATATAATTACCTGCGACCTGCGAGCATTTCAGCCATCTGCGAGCCCGACCAGGAGGGTCGCATTGAAATACGACGGTTGGCTGACAAACTAACATTCAATGCGATCAACTGTCGCTCTTTTCAAAAAAGTAGTGAGATCGTTTCGCCAAACCCAAAAATACATGAACACGATATCTGTAAGATTCTGTAAGTGTAACATCTTCAGAAAAAAACCGCCACTGTTCTTTTTTCACCCGACTTCATGGCTTGTCAGCCGCATGCGGCAGGCGGAAGTTCAGCCTGCTGAGATCTTGGATATCACCATCCGTCGCAGGCCCAACTGTCAAAGTCGCTATGAGGACTTCCACTACAAGGCGCGCTGAAACTTGGAAAGAACTTCAACAGGTCGTTGGATTCGAATAGTAACATTAGTAACTAGGTCGTTGCACCTAGTTGAAGTAATTTATTAAACCTCCCAGCAAAATAGCAAATCTCATGTGGATATTTGAAGCCATCCCAGCATTTGGATGACCATAGAGGACATACCATTTGGATAGTTACCATAACAGGGTTGGTTGAAGGGAAACTTCGAGGAAACATAGGAAACCCTGGTGTTTACTCCCACATATTATATAGATGTTGGCTTTCTGCAAGACATGTTCCCTTGGACCAATCCTGGCATATCCATGCATATCCTGGCATATAGACATGTAATGTATATATTATATATCAGTATATAATAGAATATGTATAATTAATTAGTCTAGTTATAGTTCATTGTATACATAAGCCCGACACACGCACACACACACACACATGTATGTAATACAACAATATGTAACATTATGAAACTATATATATACATATATATGCATAATCAAATTTACACACATATATATATATATTTATAGATACAAAAAGAATGTACTGTATAATGCACGTATTATATGTACACATACTTAAATAGTATGATATATCAATATAAACATATACACTTAATAAGTGTATATGTTTATATTGATATATCGTACTATACACTGTACTTTTCGAGCTGCTTCCAGGAGGCCAGCGTTCTGGAGACGGTGGTACGAGAAGCCACCGCCGGTGATGTGAAGAGCGTTTCTGGGCGAAGCACCGTGTTCTTTTTTTTTTTGCGGTGGGCAAACGGTATAGGTAAAACTTAGATGATAAATATGGATAACTTGTGATTTTATGAAACTTCAGTGGGATTTAAGAGGTTATCATGGGATTTAATGGAGTTTCACCAACAAAAATGGTGATTTGATGAGATATGATGAGATATGCTGAGATATTCCATGGGGATATAATGGGATATCCAACGGGATACAATCCATATGTTAGGAAGGAGATAATGAGCTATGGGCACCATTGACCCGGACAACCTCCTGGGAAATTAATCCTGAGTTAACATTAGATAGTGCAACCTTCAAACAAATGGGGACACATATTGTTTTAATTGGTTCTAATTTTGGGGGTTGCCATAGATGAAAATGGGTTTTCCGGGCTTATTGCACTTTCTTGGGGCTTATGATGCTTATAAATATACGCAGCTAAACTAAACCATTTCGGGCATTTCCATGTCGTGGGGTCGATGACCTGCGTGAAATCCGGGCACAGCGGCACTGAAGGGTTGGCGCAGGTGGGTTCCGTTTCAGATTTTTCCAGTCATCAAATGCGTGTAATGCGTGTAATGTGTACTATCTATGTGTCTCCCAAAGTTCAAAGATGATCTCCAACATCTTGCACCGTTGTGCCACTACGAACTTGGGAACTAGTTGTCATTGCGAGCAGCGATTGGGCCAAAGAAGAGCATGCTGGGACAGTTTTTGCCATCTTAATGTTAACATCCTTACTTGAATGTGTAGTTCCAGGATATATGTTTATATATATATAATACACACATATATTTTTTTTAATATATATATATACAACATTATGCAACCATCGTAGAGGTCCCATATCTCAAGTTTGGGGGTTTTCTCATCCCATGGCTATCTCCGTTCTCAGGTCCATGCCGCCATAGAGAATGTGGGTCTCAAAGAGGTCTGGTTGAAAATCGCTGGTGGTGAGAAGGCCATGCGTCCCGGAGATTGGGGGAACCCTAGCCCTTTGGGCTTCGTGGTCTCAAGAAACAGCGTTTTTTCGGGTAGGATTTCATGGTGATTTATGATGATGTATTGGGATGTCCTTGGAATGTAATGGGATTTCGATAAGCAAACATGGCGACTACGTGGAAATCATGGAGGTTTAGATGGGAAGAATCGGAACAGTTGGGGAATTTTAATGCATTTTGCATTACCATGTTTCATTAGAGGGGGAATAGGAAAATGGAAATTTGATATAGAGGACACCTACATCTTAAGCTGGCATAACCGTGATTTTGTTTCCCAAACAACATCGTGGATTTTTCCCTTACAGCACAGCATTGAGAGCAGCTTTGAGCAAAAGGCTTGCGTCATTGACAACGTCATTGCCAAGCAGAAACCCAAGTTGCTGCTTGCCAGCTTGACATTGTGCTTTAAGTGGACTTGTTTCAAACTTCCAGGCACTGTCCCAACAAAAAGAGTACAATCTGTGGTGGGGGGGATGCACATCAAGATGGGTGAACCAATCCGTACCGGCCCCCAACAACTTAGTAGCCCATTAGCCTCAGTAGCCCATACCTCCAATCCAAGAAAAATTGCGAATGAACTATGTAAAAAATGGATAAAAATGGAGCCTTTGATCTGCTTTCTATGCTATGATTTTCCATGAAAGAGACCATACCTGCATATGCTGCATATGGAAGCTGAATCTGACCTTCTCTGCCTGGTGCGGCCAAGGATTCTGGAGTTCGGCACCTATGTGGGCTACACGCCCCTTGCCAAATGCAGCACGAGCTTCACCACACGGCTCAGAGGCATTGAATGTGGCCATGCAATGATGGAGTATCTAAATGCCTTATCATCTTGCACCAGAGTGTTTTTTTTTTTGTTAAACGCATGTGACAATACTAGAATGATCCCCCGCTAATGTACCTTTATAGAATGAGTTTGTGGTCGTTTATGGAATGCAGTTTTGGGTATCATTCTATAAACCCAGATTTGGGGGGAATCGATCGGACCGGTTGGAACAAGCAAGTACATGAACCCTCCCTACTCATTCTATAAAACCAAGGTTTTGCAACCCTTTAACTCATTCCATAAAAGCCAAAATGCTCCAAAAAATGGATGTTAAATCGAAGTTAACCATCCTGGTAGATGCATTCCATAAATCCCATGGAGTGTAATGTTCGATTCGAGTAACAGACTTGTTTCGAAATGTTTGGACCAAACATGCACTTGACATAGCATTCTATAAACCGACATGTCCTGCTGGCTTTCCTCCTGTTTTTTTTACATGTAACTAGCCAATTCATTCTATAAAGTTAATTTTTGGGGTTTTTAACCATCGAAATCTGAGATCCTTAAACTTGCCGGACCATTCCATAAATATGCCTCAGATTCATTATAAAAAAAGAGCACCCTCAGAATCATTTTATAAACCAACATGTTTATAGAATGTAGTCAGCCACAGTCTAGGGCACATTCACGGAGGATCTAGAATGAAGGCCATGATACTGTATATTTTGAGGATGTCATGCAAACATATGATAAATATGCAAAGGAGCTTGTCGTTTAGGGGAAATTATGAGCCAAGCCTTTCAGATGTGATGGTAAATAAAAACCAGAGCGAAAACAATCAATTTGCATATCCTATTCAAAAAGAATAAACCAATAATTTCAGGATGATTGTTCTTATCAATAATATTTCGTTAATCAACCTTCAATCATGCCAAAATTTGCCAGAATATACCAATTTCCAATCTCAGAGAATGTCCGGATGATTGAAGATCACCTCAACTCGTTGATACCGTTGATATTTGGTCCCCGGAGGTGCTAGCTTTAGCACTGTACGCAACCGTGAACTCAGGTCCACCCGCATGGCCCTGCAAGTGGATGCATGGAATGGTCGCGTCGTGACCATGGAGATGGATCCTGTGAACGCTACCAGTCGCCTCGGGGATCGGGGAATGTGGAGACACTTTCTCCATGGATAGTTTTGTGGATTCAAGCACAGAATTAGGGCTTCATGATGGTTCAGGTATAATACTACATGGGGATTTTGGGTGATTTTCAGGGGTTTGCCTCAATTTTAGGGATCTAGCCATCAAACATAATTAGTCATTTAACACATTTATACTGGATATTGTGCGAAAGAGGTTTCCAGGGATTTAAACTGGATATGATAAGTGCATACAATTGCAAGTTTATGGCAACATCAGTGAGCAAATTCTGATATCACCAGGTGAATTTGGGAACGGTGAAGCGGAAAGTGGAGACGTCTGATTTGACCCAGTAGAAATTGCGGATTGCACGAGCAGAACATGGGGATTTTAGCCAGCAGAACGTGGATCTCACAATGAGATATTGGAACTCTAGTCACAGAAATATACCATCTGGTTATTTAACATAGCCATGGAAAATCACCATGTTTAATAGGTAAACCATCTATAAATGGGCCATTTCCCATGGCTATGTTAAATAACCAGAGGGTAGAAGCTGAAATGAGGATCAATTCACTGAAATGGGGAGTCAATCGGCATAAACAGGAGTTCTTCAACAGCAAATGCATGGATTAGGGAACAGCATGAGATTGGACCGCGCGACAAGAAATTCGGACTGAGGGCGGAATATATATATATATATGGGAAGTGAACCCAGCCACAATAATGTGGACTTGCCAAAGACGTACTGTATACCATACAGATATGGGGATGTATCGGGCTCTCCGGTAGATAATCCAGGAAAGTAAGTTGCCTTAAGGTGGCCTTATTTTCATGTTATTTTTCAATTGTTCTTGTTACAGGAAGGTATGTCAGCATGCCCTAGATTAGATAATGTTTCCTGATTTTTGGATATTTTTGGGTCCGTGTTCAGTAATACAACAACTATAGCAACACTTGATGTAGCATGTTTTCTTGTGGGTGTTGTGACATATTTCTTGCAGGACATTCGGAGACTTTTGGGGCGTTGGGTAAACGGACTTCAGATAACTGGAGGATCCCAGGATCTCCAGTGTTTCCTGAGGCAACAATCGTCACTCGGACTTGCACTTCTCAGTGACTGCCGTTGATTTCAGTTGTTTACAAGAGATAATTCCCCATGTCAGTTTGAAAGAGTTCATGAATCGCCGCTTGTTTACACATCAATTATGACATGAATCTTAGGTTTCATGACTTAGTGAATACTTTTCATTCAGCCTATAGCCTTCTTCTCAAGATCATGTTGCTAGTTTGGCAAAGTTCCCTGTATTTCCCCCTTTTTGAGACGGAGTGCAAGATCCTGCAAGATCCTCTTATTGTTGCTCGTAGTTTCACAAATGTTATTTTTTTTAACCATATATTAACCATAGATTAACCATAGATTAACCATAGATTAACCATAGATTAACCATTTTTTAATATGTCCAATCCCTTTTTCATTGCTTGAAAATGCTTGAATCATGTTGATCCCGCTGAATCCTCTGACTTCGGCCGAATCATGCGGACAAAATCTACATCCATAAGATCTCTAGTTTTGTTTAAAGAGAAAAGAAGAAATATTACTTATATTACTTATATAGATGACACATCCATGGATGATAGATGTGTAGCATCTACCCATATATATATAATCACACATATACATATATATATATTATATATATGTATATTATATATATGTATATTTAGATGACAAGCAGCTTGGACCGAGGCTCGGAACCATGTGGAGATGGCCGGCTTGTCCCATGCCGTGACCGTCCAACTGGGACATTCGGATGATGCCGTCCAGATGGCGACATGGCGGCCAGAAAATATGGAAGATCCACCATGGAGATCTATTACCATATTATTACCATAAATGATATATATATATATAATATAGCCATAGATATGTCAGTACTATAGAGATTATACCGAGATATTTTATATATACCCTCTGGTTATTTAACATAGCCATGGAAAATGGTCCATTTATAGATGGTTTACCTGGGTTTACCTATTAAAAATGGTGATTTTCCATGGCTATGTTAAATAACCAGAGGGTATCTATATCGGTTCCATAGAGATATAATAATATTACAGAAAGCTCAATGGCTAGTTGGGGATTTCCCGGCCCTGTTGGATTACCAAGGGTACGCGAGGGTTTCTTTTCCGGAATCGTTTCGGGAAGACATGGGAACACACCTTGAGATTTATAGACAAGTGGCAACATGTGTGGAATTTCGGGAAACGTGGGAAACAACTCATGCAAAAAAGTCATGGAAACTATGTGGATTTTTTTTCAATCAATTGTGTGACTGGCATGTGACTTTCAACAAAAGTAGAGCCCACAAGAGCAGAAAGATGGAATGTTGTCAATTAATCTTGAAGTCATAATTCAACGGGTATAGATCCAACCGTCCAAAGTGTTTAAGCGAATTGTTTTATCCAAAGTGCTGCCTTGTAATGGTGCCGTGTGATCTCCAAACTTATCCCCACATGAATTTCCGACAGGTCTTGGAGAAGTTTGGGCCTGGCAGTGTGGATATGGCGCCTCAGCTGCAGCTCTAATCATCCCAACTGACGATTCGTCCATCATTTTTCAGAGGGACGATGGGCTCAACCAACCAGAAAAACGACCTGTTGGATGATGCAGTTGGATGGGAAGCTACTAACTGTCGCCATGGCATGCCATGGCATGTGCCACGATCCCTCACGCCTCGTTCCAGGTCTTTATGGATCAGAGAGGGACGGAGACCTGGCTGAATCTGATCTATGCAATCACTGTGACCTTTTTGGTTGGGAATGATCTTAAAATCAGGTTCTTCAAGTTGATGAATAGCACAATTTTGCCATGTTTTCCTAAGTTGATTGTTTCCTTTCAGCCAAACTTCCTTGGCATGGAGTGTGCCTTTGACATCCTTCGAAGACCGGGGCCAGGTAGGCATGGATTGAAATTAGGGTACTCCAAATATGGACTTGAGCTTGTCAATACACCAGTAATTCGCCCAAAATAATCAAATACCCCTCTTTGAAACCCTGGTTTGGTTTAGTATTTTTTAAATGGGTCACATATTAATGAGGATATGATAGGATATGTCATATTGGCCCGATGGGATTCATGACAGATTTCCTATGATTTTCTGTTGAAAGCTGGACTTTTGCGGTTTGATCCGCCGGTTTGATCCGCCGGTTTTGGGGGGGGCTGGAAGCCCAAGGCATTCCATGATGACCTTCGTAACCTTGAGCCTTGGGCTTCGAGGTAATTGGAAGTTGTCCACCCCCCAAGGAGAGATAAGTAGAGAATAACAATATAATATATATATGCTCATTATATCTCATTTATATTATAGACGATTTACCGATTTACTTGTTAAAAATGGTCTGTTAGTTATTTGCTATGTTGAATATGGTCCAGTTATAGATGATTTATCATGATTTGCCCATCAAAAATGGTAAAGCTCAATAGCTATGTTAAATGCTTGAACATATAGAATATATAGATGCACTAAGTCACTTGCGACTTTTCTGACTGTATGGAATGCCCTTCCCATCATACTCAGGGGCCGTTCTCCACCTTGGAGTTTTAGTCGGGGTTTGCCGTCCTTTGATCCTCGTTTAGCTGGGATGACCCGGGCAAACCCTTATGGCAAACCTGCTGCTTTTCCAAAGATTTGGCAAGTTGGCAAGCCAATGATCACCATTTTTCTGACGACACCAGACAGATCTTTCGCCATTCGTAGCCCATGTCGGATCATTTCGCTATTTTTTGCATTTTTTTTAGCCCATGTCATCCAGAGGATTGCGCCTCAGGAACAGCTGAACCTAATGGCAGAGAATGCTGTGGTGATTGCCGCCGCTTGACAGAGGCGGTGGATCGAATTTCGGGACCCTGATCAGTACGAATCAGGATACCCTCAGGTAAACGTTTACGTAACTATGGAAAGATCCACCGTGCTATTAATGGGTAAATCCACTATTTTTAATGGGATAATAACTGTTTGTAATGGGTAAATCCACTATTTCGACTGGGCCATGGCTTCAATAGCTTTTTGTATGTTTACCAGAGGGTAATTATTGTAGATTATTGCAATGCAGCAAGCTGTTTTATTATGTTTTATGGAGTAAAACATGTTCATCAACATTGTGAAAAAAAAACATATATACATCTCGGGGAGCCACACTTGACATGTTTTGACCCATGCTTTTCATGTTGTTTTGGCGATGCAGCACGTGTTTCCCTGGTGTGCTCCAGTCTTTGACACATCAGAAGCTTAGAAACCAGCAGATACAGTATACAGATGTATACAGATGTATACAGTATACAGTAGATATCAGTAGATTATGCATGATCTTGCTTGAACCCTTGAATCCCCATTCATTGTGGCCCGCATGTTGTAGCTGATCTATGGTTTCTATCCCGCGTTGCGGGGGTCGACCACCACAACCGCGGAACCCAGGACAATGTCTTGAAACCTGGAGCGCCGTATCACGTTCCTCGGAGTGAGCGCGATTTTATGGCTAAATTGGCAGCATGATAAAGAACATTGATGAACATGGGAATCATGCTTAAGGGGAATCATCCCAACATGGCCCAAAGCGTCAGGTGAGTGAACTATTATAATTATAATTGGTCCTTAAAATGATGATGAACATTTGTCTGAACCATCAAATGTTGGGACTTTTTTTCTGTCCAGTCCCAGTCGGATCCGAGGAGTTGCTGATTTTCTCTAGCCATTGATTCAGTTGATATTGAAGGGATCTAGAAAAAAAACCGTTCCGAATGAGTAAGAAATTGAAGGGTCCAAGAAAACCCGCAAAAACCATCGGATTGGAGATGATGAAAATTCTTCACTGCAGTTTCTACATCAACTCATTGTCACTTAAGCATCTTGCATATCTTAGATCTTGTGTTTTGTTTATGTTCCATTCCATATATTTATTGGGAATGTCATTGGACCCCAACTGACTTTCATATTTTTCAGAGGGGTAGGGCTCAACCACCAACATCCACCAACCAGATCATGTTCCATCACTGGGTGAATTTCAATGATCCCAATGATCCCAAGATGATTGGATCAGAATATCCAGGTGTGGCGCATCTCCACGTTGCCGCACTATGCCACGGTGCGATGGCTCAGATTGACATTGATCAACATTCAACATATTTCCAACCATATATATATATCATTTAATATAATTTGTATATGTATAAATACTGATTAATTATACTGTATATATATCAAGAAAGGATTTCGTTTTTGACATCATATGAACATTTCTTGTCAAATATGTAGCATGTTGTTGATTTTATGTATGATTTTAGTACAGTAACATCTTCAAAACAATCCAGGTTGGAAAATCCTCAGAAGTCTCCACTCGGCCATGCCGAGGACATCATCGACCTCCGAGAATTTGGCTCGGCGCCAGTGGAGGACTTTGAAGTTCAACTGGTCGCGGCAGTCTGGAAACCCTCCCAATATCGTGGCTATTCGTGGCTTATTTAAGTGATTCAGGGGGCGTTCTTATACCAAAATCCAAATCCAATAGGTATATATACATATATATACATGGCAATCTGGCAAAAAAAAGTCGCGAGAGAGTCGTTGCTGAGAGATACATTTGACTAGAGGCTGGGAAAAAAGCATCTTTCCACCTAGCAAGTTAAGGTCTACTATATACTAATATACTAATATACTAATATAATCTAATATATATGTGTGTGTGTGTTTATTATATTGTAAGTTTAGTCCATGTTTCGGCCTTGCCTTTGGAGAAGCTTTGATTCTCCCCCAAATTCAGCCAAGGGTTCTCCCGTTCTCCCCACTATTGAACCCCTAAAATCCGGGATTTAGGTGCGATGATTTGCCTTAGATTGTCTATGAATCTTTACCCCTAAGGGGCGAACACCCCATCAGTTTTGGTTAATTGTCAGGTTCCAATGTTTACGTGTATTGGTCAAAGAAATAAAATTAAATCCCATCATATTTGGATAAGAAATGAGTTGCATCCCAATTAATTTGTCCTTCCGTTGGTCATCCGTTGGTCACAGTTTTTTCTTGGTCGAACCTCCATTTCTAGGGTAGTATCCCAACGGTTATGATGTTACAGTTACGTTTGTTTGCACTTACTTGTGATCATCTTGCGGTATTTGTCAGATTGTTTGGGCCTCAGTTTCATCCAACAATCGCCCAGCAATTATGCCCCCCAATCATCAGAAAATCATCACGAAAAAAACATCAGGATATGCCCCAAATCCACCAAAGATCACTACAACTTCATCCAAGATCACATGTTTTTTTTTCCCAACACCCATCCGAAGGTCACTGAAACATACTAAAACCAAAAAAATAAGCATCGTTGTGAATCGTCATGGCGCAAGTCCACACATCAATATGTATCCAACATCAGTTCTTTCCTCCACAAATCCTCGCAAGATCACTAACTAACTCATATCATATCCATGCGAAAACATGTTTCAAAAAATCATCCAAAGATCAATCTTAACATCACAACTCAGCCAGAGTCCTACAACGAAATCCTCGAAACTCATGCCCTGGCAGGACTGGATGACGGTCAGTTGGGTTCACAAAGGTCCCAGCTATGGCCAGTTGCCTGCGGAAGTCCGACAACTGAATGAACTGGCGCGGGAATCGGATCGCTTCAGGTCGGAAATGGGGCGGTTTTTATGGCTGATGGAGGTTGGAGATGGGGATTAGCTGGTGGGATTTGTGGGTGTATTTCAGCAACAAAAATGGGGTGGGTGATGATGACATGAGGATTTCTAACAGGATACTCATGGGATCCGACTTCATCTAGCCAACCTGGTTATGAGTAACAGTTTGCCCTGGAACATCACCATTTTTAATAGGTAAACCATCTATAAATGGACCATTTTCCGTGGCTATGTTAAATAACCAGAAGAGGGTAATCTTTTTACATGGTTTTTGAATCGTAAAGTTTTCTTGGTCACAGCCACGAGCCTCGCCGCAGCTTCCTTGCCAGGTTGAAGGCCATGGCCACATCCATGAAAGACTTGGTGGGCGATCCCTTGGATGAGTTTGCCAAGAAGTTCACCGAAGAGTTCATAGAGCTGGGCATCAGGCCGGAGATCTTCAAGAGCGCCAGGTTTTCCAAAGTCACTGGGGTTGTTGCCAGTAGCTGGTTATGCTGGTTGGTTTATAATGGAAACTCCGAACATGAGATGGATGAGTTAAACAGTTAGGGGTACCGCCATTTTAGGAAACAACCATGTGCTGCATATGCTCCATGTATGGTATATCTACCAAGATCTACTGAAAACATGGCCACACTGCCACACTGTTACATACTTCTATACCATGCATGGATCATATGGGACAGGATTCAATAGTGATGTGATGATACGAATCATGGGGTACCTCATTGGGTAACACTGAATGAGGCACCTCCCTGCTGATCACATGCCCCAAAAATTGGGGCAGATCACACGCCAGAATTGCATCAGAAGGGCATGTTCAAATGTATGTTCTGGCAGTCTTCAAAGGCTTCAAAGGTATGGTAATTATAACTGTAGTTCATGCTCCATGAAAGGTTGATGCTTTGCAGCTCTCGTGTCAGCATTGATGTGGGTTTGTTTGCAGAACTAGGGCACTGTGGTGCCCAAGGGTTTCCCTTCAGTTTCCCAAGATCTCCCGTTTCTTCAGTCCCCATTTCTTTTAGGAGGCCCTGCAGCCCAGGACTTCCATGTATGTCCGCACCGACATCATCGATGGCTGCGCTGTGTCGCGTTTGGTGCGCCTGGCACCGGGGGAAAGTCCTCCAGTGTGGGCTGGTGAGGCTTGAGCCGTTGGCGAGGGTGAAGCATGTGGTATCCAATGGATGTACAATACACAATGGTGTACAATACACCATGGTGTAATCAGTGTAATCTATTGAGGGGATTGTTGTTGCAAGATTATATATGGATGTAGCCAAGATGTGTACATCTATTTAGGGGGCTGAACGTGGTCCATAGACAACTAGATCTTGGGCACTTGTTTGCTGTACAAATGGACATGTATTCAACTAACCAGCTGGATATTTGATTAATTACAGTGTATACAAGACTGGCTGTGAACCCTCGTGAGCCTGTGAGTGGAACATACGGAACAAGAAAAATGATGGAACAACGGTTACCGTTTCTATGATGGGAGTTGTGGTCTTGCAAGAAGCATTTTCAGAAGAGTAACCAGCAAAAATGAACCAACATGAGTACAATCACAACTGAGAATGCGCACACATTCCGCTCGCATGTGCTGTACACAGGTGACTTTCATCATCCTATTTAAATGGGGGGATATGACAATCCCGAGAATTAAAGGCATGTGAATCGAAACAAGTCTTAAATCTATTTAAATCTCACCAAAAGCACTTCTAGAAAGACTCAATATAATATATATATATATATAATATAATATATATAGTAGATGATAGACGTACACGCCTGCGTGCCCGTGGATTCATTTTCTGCTCAGAATCACGGTGGGATCGCAGGATCCCCGCGACGAGATCCAGGGCGGCCAGTGGCGCGGCGTGCTGGGCGGAGTCTTCGCCGGCGAGGCGGCAGGCTATGGGGGAAACGTGGCACGGAGTAGTCGCGGAGTTTCGACCATGGCAGAGATATTTCTTGGGAACTAAATGAAACATGATTAAAATACATTTTGAGAGGGATCCTGGAAATGGATGGAAATGGCAGAAATATGCACACATATATTAAAAAAACATTTTAAGAGAGATCCTGGAATATCATGAAATAATGCAAATAGGATAAATAGTTAAGGACTTCTGCATTGATGAATTGTCATTGCAATTTCATGGCGTCAAGGTTGACCAGCTTGTGTGACTTGCCATTTTCCTGGAATATCATTATCGTCATCCTCCTCACCATCATCACCAAGGAATAGCTCCCGGCGGTTGAGACATCCTCGGCAGGAAAAATGCACCTGACGTGTGGGGGCAAGTCCCCTCAAAAAGTGTAATAAGTGTAATATACATCCCTAGTTAGCCCTAGTCATTGGTGAATAAGTCTCTTAGTTAAGTGGCCCATTTATGAGAGGTTATCTAGTTGGTGGTTTGGAACAATTGTTATTTTCCATTTCATATATGGGATGTCATCCTTCCCATTGACTTTCATATTTTTCAGAGGCGTTGAAACCACCAACCAGCTTATCATCAATAAACATCATTAACCACATATAATAACCATATACTAACCATTATGAACAGTACATTAACCACATATTAACCATCATAGAGGTTATAAGGTTGATATACTATTAATAATGCTGTTAATATAACCATATTATTACCATATAATCTGAGGTTACCACATATTTACCATATTCCTTATAGAGGTTATAGAGGTTATACCCCAGACAGTCTGCCTGGGGCCCCATCCTTCGGCCCGGAACCCACAATGGAGGCTTGGTCACTGAGCCATAGGATCCATGGTGCTGCTATATTAATGGCAACATGGATCCCATCAATCTACCCCCTTTAAAAGTTAGCATTAATATACCAGCACCATGGATCCTATGGGTTATATATATACGTATACATAATGAATGTTTGTTTTAAGACATAAACGGATTTGTCTGAAAATATGGATGCCCCCCATTAAAATGGTAGGTTAAAATAGCTACAATATGTTACAATCATGTTTTCTATTGAAATGCTCAGGGGTACACATCATTTTCCGACCAAGCCAGATTATTTCTCTCAGTGGCATCAGCCATGTAGCTTGACGATGTGTTTCTTTGATTTCTAGGCGCACCAATCAGCCCAGAATCGTGGGACGGGTTAGCCAAACGACCCAGGGATGATCTCGGCCCCACTTGCAGAGCGATTTTTGGCTCTGCTAACGTGTTCGTGGGAACGTTGGCGATGCAGACAGTCGCTGTGATGCAAGGTGGAATGGTGGTCGAAAGTGGGGTCAGATCCATGGTTTTGACTCGTCAAATCCCCGCCTTTCAAACAGGAGCCCCGAGTCCATTACATGAAAATGACTGCCAAGCCAAATTTCTTGGCCGCAAATTTCGTAGAAGAGCATAGAAAAACCGTTTATAGCCGACAATATCATTAGTTTACTCAAATGTTGCAACAGTCACTCCACAGTTTGTTGTGGTAAAAATGTCTGCAATTACATTCATAGTATGTTTATACGCTGTATTCCGTTTTCCTGTTGAATAGCCCTTTGAAACCTCCTTGGCTTTGTGAATTAGTACGTATGTAAAGAGTTACGCATACAAAACTCTAGGATCAAGATGGAGGATGGTATGACTGTATGACCTCTATCTATCTCTATCTTACATCCCGATTGAATGTTCAGATCCATCATGATCCATCTATATGTTCATATCTTCATGATTAATGGGTTAGAATGTTTAGATCCATTCATCTTTTTACATCTCCATGCTGGTTATAAAATGGGTTAAGCCATGTTCCTATTAATATACCACATCGAAGTCTAGGGAGGGGCTTCTGATTACCCTCCGACAATCAAACATGGCTTACAGGAAGATCCCAGTTGTGATTTTGCTTTTGAACTCTTGTAATTGGTGTTAATCTGTAAATATAGCTGGTGGTACCATGGTAGGTGCACCCTGAGGGTGGCGGGTACAAACCTCCATGGCTAATTCGGTTATTGCCATCACATCATCCCATGAAGTCCAATGATCATCCCATTCGAATCTTCAAGTCTGACTTGTTTCATCTTTTTTCCATGAGCTATAGATATATATATAGGTGATGATGACTATTAGATTATTAGATTATATATACTTGACAAACTATAGATTCTATAGATGTTGATGATATTTTTGGAGCTTGTAAAGTATATTAATGGCAACTCATATTCTATAGATCATATGTTGCCATCAACATCAGTCCTTCAGTTATATAGATGTTTCCGCAACTCATATTCTAAAGTATATATAGATGTTGATGATATATATATATATGTGTATTACACCCTGGCTATTTAACATAGCCATGGAAAATAAGCCATTTATAGATGAATTATGATGATTTACCTATTAAAAATGATGATTTTCCATGGCTACGTCAGTCATAACCAGAGGGTAGTTGCCATTCAGAGTTCCTTACCCTATGATCCGAGGTCACCCCCCGACGCCTTTCCCCGGTTGCTGGGGATAGCCCTGGAGGCGCCCGTGGGAAGTCGACTGGGAATCTGGAGAAATGCCATGTTCTTTTTTTTCCGGGTGAACTACCCTCTGGTAAACGTTTACATTACTATGGGAAATCACCATGCTATGAAAATGGGGATTCATCAACTAAATTTCGACTGGGCTATGGCTTCAATAGGGAAATGTATGTTAAATTACCAGAGGGTATGGCATAACTATGGTTGACTATGCTGAAAATTCATGATTTGTGGTAGATACAGTATATCTATAATGGGAATAATGGAATATCAGAGGATCAATGGAAGAGATATCATGATACTATATCTATAGCATTCTATAGCTCATGGGATATCAATGGGATACCAAAAAAGGATGGATATGGGATATACCCTCCGGTTTCATCAAAGGTGGCTGGTTGGAAAATTATCGAACGAAGGTTTGCTTTCCGGAGGGTATATATATATGATAGGCACTTAACATGTAAATGAAGACATTAACGAATGCAGGAACATGCAGGAATGAATAAACATGTGTATTTATATATATATACATGTATATATGTGTATATGTATGTGTGTGTGTGTGTTGATTCCATATATGTATTTGTATGCTGTCAAGTTGTCGACTGTCCGACTACTTTCAGAATAGAGAGGCTTATTGTTCATCATGTAGTTACCATTTGGGGGCCAAGGAATCTTGCAATGTTTTCTGTACTCAGCGTTCGGTCAGTTTTCATCATAATGAGCCGAGGGTCCTCACGTTCTGTTGAGCCGCCGCCGTACTTCAAGTGAACCCTGAGTTGCAGCTGGACCAGTGTGACACATTTTGATTTGACTTCAAGAGCCACATTTTTGCCATTTGGACTTGGACATTCTTGTCTTTTCGGTTTCTTTCTTTTGGGAAGGGACCTGGTGAACTTCTTCCGCCAGCGTGTCCATCGCCGCGTGAGAGCCATGTTCTGCTGCTGCGCTGAACCACCAGCAGCTGAGGTGGTTGGGGAAGTGACACCTGGCATGGATGGTTTATGGCTCTGGTTTGAACATGATAACACATACAGGCTCGCACGGGCATTTTGAACATACATGTATCATATATTATCATATTGTATAGTAACGTAACGTATAATTATGCATAAATTATGTCTATTTGTATGGCTATATATATATATATGTATATCTAGAGTGAAGAGAGGCTTCTCAAGCTTCTAAGAACTATGAACACCAAACATGGTAAGGAGAGCACACTCATGTTGACATCCCTGTCACGTCCTGGGGTGTGCCGGGGGCAGCGTCGATCGACATAGCTTGATCAGACATAGCTCCAAGAGTTCGGATCACACACAAAAAATACACACATGTCATTTTATGTCTCATATATGTGCATACACTCGTCTAATCAGTCTAATATTTAAAAGACATCATAAGAATCAAACATCCCCAGATACACATTGTACTTCATTGTACAATATATACTTAGAACATCTTAGAAACAACCACAGCATTGTACATTGCAATACCCTTCCCCCATCCCATCCCAGGGTCGCATCATGCCATCCCCAGGAAGCTGCGTGACCCGGGCCACGAGGAAACCTTTCATGAGGGCGGCTTCGTGAAGACGGAGCGAGCCTCGCAGCCCGAGGCCTGGGAACGGGCCAATTCTGTACCAATAGAAACATGGGTTAACATACATACACAATACATACACAATACATACACAATACATACACATACATATGTGCACATATATGCACATATATGCACATATATACATGTACACATACATATACACATACATATACACACACATATATTATATATAGTCATATGTATATATATATATGAACATTTATATATATATATATACAAACATATATTATTCACACATATATATATACACTTATAACTAAGCCGAAAAAGAGGACATCAACAGATGTCATGGGATATATGACCAAACTTGATGTAGTTGGGTTGTGTCTGAAAATAGGGAATCTACCCTGAATTTACGGCAGTTGGAAAAACGTATGATTAAACATTAAATTTTTGAGGAGCCCATTTTTGCAGTCAAACCCCAGTAGGTGTGTCATGGTGTGCCTTTAAATTGGGGCTCCCCCAAAAACCTAAAAGCGGAAAATTTAATTTTTTCGACTCGAGGACCTAGAGCCGTCGCAAGAGACATCGACTTTTGCTGCTTGGGCCGATTTGGGCATGGCATTGGAGAATGGGCCGAATATCTCAAGTTTTGAGTAGCAAACCTTGAAGTGAACTATCCATTCTGCGGGGTGAATAATGACAATCATCGTGACCCAATTGCCAATACCATCCAATACCCATTCGACAAAACATGTTTTTCCAATAGATTTCTGCTTTGAGAACTACTTCTGTGATTAAACTTAAGCTTCTTCGACCAGTTTTCCCAACCCAGTAGTTCCCACGACATCCACCAATGTGTTGTTTTTTTGTCAGCATGAAGCCAAGAACGGACCCACTAATACAAAAAAACAATTCCTGGGCCCTTTGTGATCACATTCACGGGTCGAAACCCAGAGATGTTGATGCATGTTGTAAGATTTGGTCTTGGTTTAGAGTTGCAGTTTTTGGGTACTTGAGGATGGTCACCAACTACCTAGCCATTTCACATGCATCGTAGCCCCCAAAGAGATCGAAGAAACAAATACCATTAGTTCAACAGTTCAGTGGGGTTCATAGTTTAGTAGGATTCATCATTTACCACTAGGTTAGTAATTGACCATAATTAACCACTACTTTTCATATTTTCTGGGGGTGGTCTATATTTGGTCTTGACCAGACTCAGGAAGTGAAAGTAAACGGCGCCCATGGCATTCAGATCGATGGCTCAGACCCTGAGTGCACAATAGTCAGGACAGCAAAGGGCCTGTTGGTGCAGGACATATTGAAGGGGCAATGGCGGCAATGGACATTTCAAGAGGGGGGTTTTACCCAACACACACACATACATAGGTATATATATATATTTGTACATAGTTACAGGTAATTATCATATTAAATTAACATAATATATACTTGTATATGTATTTGCAGCGAGCGAGGGAACTTGCTTTGATGTAGTAACAACTGTGATTTAAGAAGCGAGTAAACAAACTTACCTAATTTACCTAATATTTTCTAGTTTTTGAGGGTCTCAAGCAGCCCTTCTTAGTGGTTAAGAGTCGACAAGCCCGCGGATAAGGAACCCCGTCAAAAGAGGGCTGATGTCTTGAGAGAAAATGATTCACGATGTGGGTTGCTTCTACCTAATTTCATGTTCATTGCAAGTGATTCGCAGCATGGGGTGATTGTTTTCAGTACTTGCGACTGAAGAGATAGCTGGGCCGCTGGGCCCACCGTGCTGACACAATTGCAGAAAAAACTGTGCATGGAAGGCATCCTGAATCCTGCACCGTTGGTAAATGGTTTATCCATGTTTATCCTATTATAATACCATTATTTACCATGTTTCATAGTTGCCACTAGTTACTTCCCAACAGGTGCAGGACTTTGTTCATCCACAGTATGTTGGAGAGTCGTGGTTGTCAGTATTTCTCCAAGAACCTGAAAAAGAGTATGTCTCTCGATGGAGGTTTCCTAAAATGGGGGTAGCCCTAAATCATCAAGAGACATACTCTTCCATCATCCAATTTTTCATGGAATCCCATCATCAAATCCCATTTGCTGGAAAATCTTGATGGAGGTTTCCCTAAATCATCCATTTTCATTGGATTTTCCAGCAAATAAGCCATCCAGCTATAGGGGATCCATCATTTTGCCGGGATCCGGCCAGGAAAGTGAATGAGGATGGCATGGTTGCGAAATGGAACACCTCCGCTCCGGAGAACAAGATCGTGAAGGATCCAGTATAAATTAACCATGGAATACCAGGTGATGATTGATGATCTTTTCCTGGAGGATATTGCGTCATTCTCATTCTTGCTTTTGATTGTTAAATTGTACCCATGACTCGTTTTGTGGATTAAAACCGAACCTCCCATTTCTTGTATAGGTCCAATCGTATTATTTGGTGCAAATATCCCAGAAGTCCCGATTTTGGGTGAATCTGTCAGTTGAGTTGCATCGCACAAAAGCCCAGCGAAAGGGTTGCTTCTGCAGCTTGTCTCTATCATTAGCCATGGCTATCCTTACCAATCTTACATAATCTTACCATATCTTGATGAGGGAGTTATATAGATGATCTCATCGTAAAAAAAGGCGGTTTTTCAGTGAACCTATGATGGATCACCGAGTTTTCCAACATCTCCCAGTTTCCGTTGGTGGATCCGTTGCGGGGGATCCCGTTGGGCCGGTCCCAACCCCAACGGTGCGTCAGGAGGGCGACCGAGTGTTGGAGGTGAATGGCACCCAGGGCTCGAGCATCGAGATGGCCAAGATCTTACGCCAGGCACCTTTTATCAAAACGCTTCGTGGATCCTTTCTTTGGTGAACAAAGAGCGAAAATCTGCCATATTTGATAGATCCACCTTGACTTTTTTGATGCCTATTTTATTTTTAATACCTATGTTAAATTATTGTTAGATTATCAGAGGGTAGAGTTTGGGCTAACCCACTGATAACATATAATGAACCATCCCAGTATCACCAGAAATGGGTAGCGTAAACCCTTCAAAATTGGAGGTTCAGTATTTATTCGGCCACATTGGGTTTACCACAAGAATATATAATTAGCCCCATATCAAATATATGAACTAACATATATGAACATTAAGACACATAATCTAAACTCTGACGGATTTTCTATTGCTATGCATGTATGAAGTGCCTGCTGGACATTTATGTGCTAATCCCTGGGGCCCAAAGTTCGCAACTTCTGTATCCAAGATAGACTGAAAATTGCAAGACAAGTGGAATCTGGGCATGGCCCACATTGGCCCACCATTAATATTTCTTGAAAGATTTGAAAGTTGGCTACTTGGAGTAGGACAGTAAGTCATCAGTAAATCATCAGCTGGGGCCACCTTCAACTGCTGAATTCCCAATGCCGCCAGGAGGGGCCTTTCACCCTGCTGCTGCAGAAGCCCCAAGAGAAGGCGACTCAGAGCAAAGAAATGTGTGTGTATAAACATGTTTGTATATCTATATAATTCTATATATACATATGACATATGGGTATGGGTCAATACCTATTAATACCATTTTTAGTGGGATGAACATCCATTTACCAGCTATTTTGATGTTCACCAGGGGTACAAGGTTTTGACACACTGCCATATAATAGATTCAGCATTTGGACACACACACACAGATGTATATTTATATGCATATACGTGTATAATACATACATACACACATATATATAATATACACATATACACATATGAATACATATGCGCTTACATATGCCTGTTCATGCATTTGTATACATCATATACTACTGGTGCTTGCCCTAAAGATCGGGGCGGAAGCATGGCATAAAGATGCACACGTCCTGCTGAGCAACTTACCTTCTGGTAATTGAACATAGCTATATGAAAACACCATTTGAAATACTAGTAGGTCAATCATATATAAATTGGCCAGTTCCAATAGCTATGTTAAATTACATTAAATTACCTGATTGTACAAAAAGCATAGAATTTTACCTAGGCCCCCAATGGGGCCCATCATTGGGGTTCCTTATAAATGAATATAGATTATAGTCATAGCAATATGATTTACCAGCAGTCCAGGGATTGCTTTCAGGCGGACGCTTGGTTGTGGTGGCCGTTGTCGTTGTCGTTGTCGTTGTCGTTGCTGTTGTTGTTGTTGTTGTGGTTGTGTTTGCTTTTGTTTGACTGAGGTTGTCGCGCTACGTCGTCCGGGTGAGCTTGGTGTGGTGCTGAACTATCAAAAAGCTGGGGCCAACGTGCCTTGGACATGGATTTTAGGGATGGCAAGCCGCCACAAAATGTTAATGGATGTTAAGCAGTTCTGAGGCCCAGCCATGTAGAAATGTGGGGGATGGCAGTACAGCTGCCAATTTACCCCCAAAGGTATACCCAAATCGGCTAATATCATCAATCAAAAAGTCAATTTAATGAACAATTTATATCACCAACTGGCCAAGCATATACGTTATCTTACTATCTTACTATAAAAAATAGGTGCGAATTGAGCCATGAAGAATATCCACTATCCCCTCTTATTGTACTAGTTGGTTGATAGATTTCCCTACTGTGGATTAGTTCATAATCCAAAAGAATCCCAATTAAACCAGGTAGCAGTAGCAGAGCAGTAACAGTAGCAGCAGTAGTAGTAGCAGTAGCAGTAGCAGCAGTGGTAGTAGCAGTAGCAGTAGCAGTAGCAGCAGCAGCGGCAGTAGGAGTAGTAGTAGTAGCAGCAGCAGTAGCAGTAGCAGTAGCAGCAGTAGTAGCAGCAGCAGCAGCAGTAGTAGGAGTAGTAGTAGTAGCAGTAGCAGTAGCAGTAGCAGCAGCAGCGGCAGTAGGAGTCGTAGTAGTAGTAGCAGCAGCAGCAGCAGCAGTAGCAGTAGCAGTAGCAGCAGCAGCGGCAGTAGGAGTAGTAGTAGTAGCAGCAGCAGTAGCAGTAGCAGCAGTAGTAGTAGCAGCAGCAGCAGTAGTAGTAGTAGCAGTAGCAGTAGCAGCAGCAGCGGCAGTAGGAGTAGTAGTAGTAGCAGCAGCAGCAGTAGCAGTAGCAGCAGTAGTAGTAGCAGCAGCAGCAGTAGTAGTAGTAGTTGTCGTCGTCGTATTGCTAGTACAAGTACTAGTAGTACTGCGTTAAACCAAGTAGTATAAGTAGAAGTTAATAAACTTCAATAAACCCATGAAAAGCCTATATTCCCCATCAGCGAGAGGGTCGTAACTTCATGGCAGGCCCAAGGCTCCATCTCTCCGTGGATCGTCTCTTGGAAAATTCAGCGGAAAAAATGGATGTTCAATGGGATTTTCATGGGATTTAACTGAGATTATATATATATATATACACATGACTGATGGTATCTAAGTGGGCTATCTTAGTGGGATGAGAAAAATGAGCGGGATGAAAAATATAACTGTATGTTGAGGAAAATGTGATTTGGATGGGATTTTTTGTGGCAAAGCGTGACAGTGGGCTATGATAAATCATCCTAAATATGGGTAGACCCAATAATAAACCTCTAATTACTTTTTTGTGTTGTTGGGGGGCTTTACCATATTAATGGGATGTAAATGGGATCTTAAATGGGGTCGTATATGGGATATGTTGATGATAATGGGGAAACCAACATAAACCAGGCAATATTAAGAACTCAATGGATTGGTGTAAGGGAAAAATCACCATCTCAAACAATGGTTTCTACCATCAAAAATCAAGCAGATGGGAGTATCAGCTCTCCCTATGGATCCAAACACTGTCTGAGAAAGTACTTAACCCATCTTAACCCCCTAAATCATAGCCCAGTCGTACTTCCTGAGAAGGTACGGCTGGATCCATAGGTCTAATTACCATCTGGTTATTTAACATAGCCATGGAAAATCACCATTTTAATAGGTAAACCATCTATAGATGGGCCATTTTCCATGGCTATGTTAAATAACCAGAGGGTATATCCGCATGAAATGATGATATCCCCATGGCCCCATCGGCCGAGGCCAAGATCAATGGTGGACTGCTCGGTAGCTGGAACATCCAGAATCCCGAAGAGGCGAGTGAATTTGCCGACATAAAATCATGGATGAATTTGGTGAACAACATGTCAATATGGAAACTGGAAATATGTTATGAAAAAAAAACAGTTATATATCTTGACCAAAATCTTGGACATATCTACCTTGGATGCATTTGGTGAACATATTAACTTCTGATATGGTTCTGATCCTTTAAACATGTTTAAAGTTTAAAGACACATGTTGTTTTTCCGGAAGAAATTGAAGGTCTCGTGATAAGCATGCAGCTGAGGGTATAGTATAGTGGGCAATTCCACGGACGGCCTTCCTGAAACTGTGCCGTAGTCGTCTTTGAAAAAGTTTGAAGAAAACAAAAGCCCTTTGCAGATACATAAATGCATTCTTGAGAGCTCAAAAAAGCAGTAATTACACTATAGTACCACTATCAAAACCGTTTTGTCATTTCAGCAATGACTTTACCATAGTTAAAGATAAACAAGATGATCATGGTCTATGATAGTGCTATTCAATATTGATGCAAACCTGAACTCATTAAATCACACCTCAAATACTTCCTAAGAAGGCATGGTTTCAAAGATTTTCAAAGGGTTTATTATCATTACATTACATGTAGCCACCCCCACAAGATGCAGAGAAGGTTAAATTTACTAGCATCTGACTAGGATTTGACCAACTTATCTGTTGTTAGGTCGCTAAAAGCATTTATAAGATCGACCATTTCTTACTCAATATGGGGATCATTCTGAGGATTATATACATGTTATTATTGTCATTATCACTCCATAGGGATTGTAACATTACTATGATTCATAGGGATTTATAAAACGGGATGATACATCATTACTATTACATTACTATAAATATTTTAGTTTTATCCATAGGGAATTGCTCTTATTTCATATTAGTGTATATGTTTTTCCCCTATTTAATGTACTGTAATATGCAATGCTTAAGTATTTCCCCACCTGCCAGGTGAGGGTTGTTAGATTTTATCTAAGTTGCCTGGTCCTCCTCCTCCTCCTCCTGCCGCCTCCTCCTCCTCTCCTCCTCCTCTCGTTGTCCTCCTCCTCTCGTTGTCCTCCTCGTCCTCCTGCTCAACTGCGACTCGCGATCCACAGTGTTCGCTGTCGGCCCTCAACCACGACCATCCACGCCCAGTGTTCCCTGCCGGACCTCAACCACGACCATCCACGCCCAGTGTTCCCTGCCGGACCTCAACCACGACCATCCCCGCCCAGTGTGTTCCCTGCCGGACGTCAACCGCGAGTATCCCCGCCCAGTGTTCCCTGCCGGACCTCAACCACGACCATCCACGCCCAGTGTTCCCTGCCGGACCTCAACCGCGAGTATCCACGCCAAAAGATATGCCACATAGAGTGCCAGAAGATGTGCCAGATAGAATGTTAGAAGATATGCCAGATAGAATGCCAGAAGGTATGCCAGATAGAATGCCAGATAGAATGTCAGCTAGAATGCAAGAAGATATGCCAGATAAAGTGCCAGAATGTTTGCCAGATAGAATGCCAGCAGATTTGCCAGATAATATGCCAGAAGATATGCTAGATAGAATGCCAGATGGAATGCCACGAGATTTGCCAGATAATATGCCAGAAGATATGCCAGATAGAATGCCAGATGGAATGCCAGAAGATATGCCAGAACATATGCCAGAAGATATGCCAGAAGATATGCCAGAACATCTGCCAGAAGATATGCCAGACCATCTGCCAGAAGATATGCCAGGTAGAATGCCAGAAGATATGCCAGATAGAATGCCAGATCGAATGCCAGAAAATATGTCAGATAGAATGCCAGAAGATTTGCCAGTAACAAAATGTATAAATGTCATGGTGGGGATCACACGAAGTAAAGTAATTTTTTAATACAGGTTTATGCTATTTATTACTATGATCACATTAAGAAATATGATGCTGGTCAATATCCTATCACTACGTATTTACTCTGTATCCTACTAAATGCATCTATAAAATCTACAAAGTCGCAATTGAATCCATTTTCATCTATGATAGTTATAATCTTTTAATCATCCATCTATAGTAGATCATATCGATTCTATAGTATAAAGATTAAGATCATCATCTCTGGATTAAGATCATCATCTCTGGATGATTTTCATCAGACATCTGGAAAAAAATCATCCGCCAGGCCGTGTCTGTTCACGATCGCATCCGCGCGGTGAATGGCATCAGCGGAACTCCCGAGGAGATCATGGCAGCGATTCGAGACTCCAAGGACCTGGCCCCTCGGAGGGACGCATGGGACGGGGGTGAGGAACGACCCTGCCGTGGGCCATTGATGTTTCCAAGTGTGTTTTAATGGGAAAACCATAGGAAAACCATGGGAAAATGGAGGTTTGCCCTCTGGTAAACATACAAAAAGCTATTGAAAATGGCCATTGAAATTTCGTTGATTTCCCCATATGCTAATGGCGATTTTTCCATAGTTATGTCAACGTCTTCCAGAGGGTACCAGTAAATTCACATGACGACCCTGCTATGGAAAGGGGGGTTGGAAATTGGTTGGTTTCCACTAAGAAATGGGCTATGTTCAGGGTCGAAGTGTGAATTTATCAGAGGGTGACTATATTGTAACTATAATGAATGGATTCTAAGCCAGTTACTCACATTTACTGGTTGGCAACTGAATCATGGAAACAAATATCAAATAACCCAGTTACTAACCACTTAACTAATCCTAGAGACCATCTATGTGTTGTGCTGTGCCCTGTGGTGCTGTATTTCGCCTGTGACATTGGTTAGACATGGTGAGGGCTGATGATGATGATGATGGTGATGATGACGATGACGGTGACGGTGACGGTGACGGTGATGGTGATGGTGATGGTGATGTGATGCTGCTGCTGCTGCTGATGCTGCTGCTGATGATGATGACGACGACGACGATGATGATGATTTCCCAGATCATTTACCCATCGCTTTAACCGTGGGGTTTTCATCTGGACTATGAATGTGCTGTTTTTTTTAGCCGCAGAAATGGTGGAAGAAGTGGGGATACAATGGGATGTTGATAACATATTTGCTTCATGCATGCAGCACAACATGCCAACCACAATGGGGATTAATGGGTCGACCGGTTTGAAAAATAAGCAATAAACATATATAAACATCAAATCTTTCCAAACTGCGTTTTTACCAACAATCATGCGGATGTTAAGCATCAAACACAATTATGGGAAGAGATTGATCTTCGGCGTAAATCCTGAGGAATCCGACGGGGAATCCTGAGGAATCTCCAAAATGGCGGTGTTTCCAATGCTTTGTGAATTGGAGGAGGCAAACCCAATGGGCTGATAGGAGTATATGTTGTTATATGTTGCTTGGTGACTTCAATGATTTTCGTTTTCTTCACCTGATTTGGTATGATGATCCAAAAAAAGACTCACGTTGTTCAGGGGAACGAAAAGACCACGCAGACTAACATGGCAAGGAAAACTAAAGCAGTCATCCATTGCCATGGCTGACATTCGGAAGGTATTGATTTTCTATAGTAGTCTGATCACCACGGTCAGTGAAAAATCCCAACTCAGGTTACCTCATGTTTGGACTATAAGCCAGCTACTGCATTCATCTTAGGAAGTAGTTGGAGCCCGACCCATAGACAGCCGTGGTGTTTTAAGCATTTTTTGGCAATTTTTTCGTTTTTTGATGGTCTTGCATGTCAACTAGCACACAGACGTCATGCTACGTTATGGTTATCTTGGGGTGGGGTTGGGTGGGGTGGGGTGGGGCAATGACGTTCATGTCAACTTGCCCACACACGTCATGCTACATTATTGTTATGTTCTCTTGCACTTGCACACACACACACACACGTCATGCTACGTTATGGTGATCTTCTCTTGCACTTGCTCACACACGTCATTCTACGTTATGGTGATCTTGTCTTGCACTTGCTCACACACGTCATGCTACGCTATGGTGGTCTTCTCTTGCACTTGCACACACACGTCATGCCACGTTATGGTTGTCTTGGGGTGGGGTTGGGTAGGGTGGGGTGGGGCAATGACGTTCATGTCAACTTGCACAAACACACGTCATGCTACGTTATTGTTATGTTCTCCTGCACTTGCACACACACACACGTCATGCTACGTTATGGTGATCTTCTCTTGCACTTGCTCACACACGTCATGCTACGTTATGGTGATCTTGTCTTGCACTTGCTCACACACGTCATGCTACGCTATGGTGATCTTCTCTTGCACTTGCACACACACGTCATGCGCACCATTGTTTTTGCAGATGGAAACCGTGCTTGGGAGTCACATGCCAAAAGTTTGAAAATCAAACATGCCAAAGTGTCTCATCAAAACAAAGAATGGACCAAACAAATGCGAAGAACCTCCTTTTTTTTCCTGTCCACTGTGGCAGGGACGCAAATCGCTGACAGATGGTGGAAAGGCCTTTCCAAGACGGTTGTATGATGGAGTCAACACAAAAGAACACCCTGAATTGGAAAAAGTTTCTGTTGGCGAAAATCTTTGGGACCATTGACACCTCACCGGTTTCTCGAAGAACTTTGCAAGGCCGTCAAAGCAATGAAGCGCTTCTGAGAAGAAGGAAAAAAGTGCTGCATCCCAAAAAAACACGAACTTATGTCAAAAAACGAAGTAGTTTTGGAGATTTTCAAAACCCTATTTTTCACGTCAACATGAGAAAAAATGACGTTTCGCTGTAGCGAAAACGACATTTTTGTTGATGAAAAACTCCTAAAACCATACGGCCGTCTATGGGTCGGGAACCAAGTAGTTAGATAAGTTAGATACTTTAGAGAGATCTGGGCATAGCTATTAGATACAAAAGGAGGCCCGCTTCCAGATACACCCAGGTCAAGATGCGCGTTCATCATTATGGATTTCTGTAGCATCTGGATGTTCTGTGAGCCGTGCCCTGGAGAACACGGTCTGACTGCCGCACCGCATGTCACGAAGGTGACCGCAAGTGTTGGTTGAACTGATTGGACTTGGCACCAGAAAAAAGGACTCCTTAATGGAAACCGGAAGCAGCTGGGTGGTGTCATGTTTGTTGTTTTTGATTTGATCTGGACATTAATAGACTAACTACTATTAAAGTAGCTCTGGATTTGATTGAATCCCTCCACCACCGGCAAAGGTCAACGGGATATCTTGTTGGTGCTTGTTTCAGTTGTTTCACATCCGTCGTATCCCTCGATCATGGCAAGCATTATCCTTTGTCAGGAACAAGTTCGAAGAATCAGAGGTTTATGATGGATTTCTGATGATTTCTTATGTTCATCATGTTTCCTTGAGATCCCCGTGTCGTATGGTTCAACATCCCATACTTTTACCGCAGAATCGAACACACCTTACGCCTTACGCCATGGCAGCACAGGCTCCGCCGACTGGACTGAGTCATCGTCCCCGACCGAGGTGCCAAACATCTGTTCAGATTTCAAGACAGGCCATTATTTGTTGGATGATTTTCCCAATGTGTTTTTCCCATATGATTCCCATCTATATAGATGATTTTCCCATGATTTTTCCCATTTAAAAAGCTGATTTTCCCATGATTTTTCCCATTTATAGCTGATATTCCCATGATTTTTCCCATTTATAGCTGATTTTCCCATGATTTTTCCCATTTATAGCTGATATTCCCATGATTTTTCCCATTTATAGCTGATTTTCCCATGATTTTTCCCAATTTATAGCTGATTTTCCCATGATTTTTCCCATTTATAGCTGATTTTCCCATGATTTTTCCCATTTATAGCTGATTTTCCCATGATTTTTCCATTTAAAGCTGATTTTCCCATGATTTTTCCCATTTATAGCTGATTTTCCCATGATTTTTCCCATTTAAAGCTGATTTTCCCATGATTTTTCCCATTTATAGCTGATTTTCCCATGATTTTTCCCATTTATAGCTGATTTTCCCATGATTTTTCCCATTTATAGCTGATTTTCCCATGATTTTTCCCATTTATAGCTGATTTTCCCATGATTTTTCCCATTTAAAGCTGATTTTTCCCATGATTTTTCCCATTTAAAGCTGATTTTCCCATGATTTTTCCCATTTATAGCTGATTTTCCCATGATTTTTCCCATTTATAGCTGATTTTCCCATGATTTTTCCCATTGAGACCTCTTGGTTCGGTGATTTCCCAGCCCTTCGCTCCGCTGATCAGGTCTTTGACATCGGCCACGACTCGGAGGATGATGTGGGACACATCTCCTCGGCCGTGCGCGCGTTGAATGTGGATTCCGTGGATGGTCGGTGGGCTCAGGGGGTTCCAGTTAGCTATAGTTAGCTGGGCCCCAGCTGGATGGTTTATGCAAGGGGGTACTCCCATAGGAAACCTCTATATGGATCGATATATGGATTTTATAGTATATATATATGTATATTAATATAAAATTATATAATATGGATTAAGTATACAGTATATGGTTTATTATTATGTCATTATTTATGTAGATTAACTATGACGAGCTTCGGTAAGTATCAGACTTTTTCTTGGGATTTAGTGGGCGTATGGCGTATGTTCCATGTTTTTGATGGGATATAGAACCAACCAGACCATGGTTGGATGGTGGATGTGGGGACAGCGAAAAGCCTTTGATACCTTTTTCTTGAATTATCGTCACATATCGTCACCTACCAGAAGCTAGATCATAAATATGGCAAATTTTCGATCATTTGCAGATGAATTTGCTAGGAAAAGCGATGATATCTATTTGCTAGGAAAAGCTAGGAAAAGCGGTTTTGCTCCGTCGCCACGCGGTGAAACCACGGCAGACTTCAAACTGGGAGGTGAAAACAAATGTGCCATAGTCCGGATGGGCTGAGCTGTACTTCTATAATCTTCTAGGTATATAACTTATATCTACCTCAACTGCAAGGGTGCACTGGTCACTGGTCACTGGAAGCTATTGAAACATCGTGGGTTGGTCAGCGGTTCTTCGTGTCCCAGCCACTCCCGACCAGCACGTCTCAGGTGTCCTTGCACCAACTGAGAAGTTTTGGGCTCAGGGACAAACAGGGAGCTGGACATGGGGAATCTAGATGAATCTAGTTGGAGTTTGGTGAAGGATAGGTATCAGTGGGATTCACTGGGTTTATTTTTGGCTTCAAAAAATGTGGAGGATATGGGAGAATTATGCGCAGCTTAAGATGGAAGTTGTTTTCACGGAATCATGCAGGATCACCATGAAACACGCTATGGAAGCGATTTCAAAGGATTGGCAGATAAGGATGGCAGCAAAGTTTTTTTTGTTTGGTATCGGCCGAGGAGTGAAATCACCTTGAAGGAAGGAAGTTTAGAAGTCAAACTTCCGACAATATGGACAGATGAAAAGCAGAGATGGGGAGAGTCAGAGAAGAGAAGAGAAGAAGAAAGAAGATCACAAAAGGTGCGCGAAAAGGTAGGAAAGTCACATTTCTGGCTCCGCAGGGTCGAAAAGTAGGCTCGCTAAAGCTAAAGCGACGGGTGCGGAGCCATCTGGCCAGATGAGAGATGAAAAATTGCACGCCGTTGTGGCGCGAAGCAAATTTCGAAGTCAAAATGTACAAAGCACGTCAGCTTCGGAGCACTTTTAGGAATTGAGATGTCGAAAAAGTGCACGCTGTTATGGCGCGAAGCACATTTCGAAGTCAAAATGTACAAAGCACGTCAGCTTCGGAGCACTTTTACCTAGCGAACCTAGAACCCTGGAATTTGTAGGTCCCAACATGAAAACCTGGTTTTGGAGGAGATTTACAAAAAAGGCAGGTTAAAAAAAAATAAATGTTTTTTAAAGAACCATCGCTTTTTGTCCAGTTAGATGATGTTTACAAATATCTTCGCAAGGGAAAACGTCTACAAATTCCCATTGAGTGGCGCCACTTAATTCCGAAACCATGAACTCAATAGGAGTGAGGTTTCTATTTAATTGCCTGGGATGAGGGACCAGAGCTACACATTCTAACATTTTCTCTTGGTGTTTGAATTTTGGGGAACAACAACATATTTTTTTTTTGGCACTGGCGCACGAAAAGATAGGTTCCTTATGGTTCTTTTAAAGACCCCGTATTTATATGTATTTATCCTGTAGCGAACCCGTCATTATCCCGTAGCGGACCCGTATTTTGTTCAAACTGGGCAGAACCTATGTTTTCAGAACCCATATTTAAACCATACTGAACCCGTCTTTAACCCGTAGGAAGCCGTAGTAAGAATATGGGTTCTGGGCTCTGGTTCCTGGGTGCCCTGTGACGGGTGTTCAGGCCCGATTTGCAGGACAAGCTTGCCCCAAAAAGTTGGATCCATGACTTGCGGCCTCAAAGCTGACGCCTTCAGGGTTCTTTTCTCAAATTACAGGGATGTCAGGACTGATAAATGGCTTCTTGTGGATTCCAGTGGATATGATGGGGCAGGTGCAAACGATGATGAAATATCAGGTAGATAAAAAAAACAGGTTCTTTTTAAGAACCTTGTTTTTGTTGTAAAACCCCGGCTGTTTTCACTGGCCCGGCAGTTTTTCAGGTCCCCGGCTCTCTTGGTAGGAATTGAGATGTCGAAAAAGTGCACGTCGTTGTGGCGCGAAGCAGATTTTGAAGTCAAAATGCATACAGCACCTCAGTGTCGGACCGCTTTTCGAAGTTGACCTGTCAAAAAAGTGCACGCCGTTGTGGCGCAAAGCACATTTCCAAGTCAAATTTTTAAGAACACTAAATGCCCGGACCACTTTTGAAGGTTCAGATGCGGTTTTGCATGGCAGGCGCAAGGGTTTCTGCACCTTGCCAAAAGTGAGCAAAACGTGAAGGTCTTGTGCATTTCCAAAACCGATGCCAGGCGTGGGACATTTGAAGAGGATCTGCAAAAATGCAATGCGCGTGGCAGACGCAGTACAAGAGACATGTCCATCAGAGATGTCAGGAGGTCAGGGCGCTGATTTCCTGAGAAGTCGATACAAGGCCGTCAGCTCTACACTCAACTTTCCATTTTTGAGGGAAATCTTCGCAGAATTGCTGCATTTTTGATGTTGTCAAATTAGAGCATTCAGGAAATCTCGCAGATTTGCTGCGTTTTCGATGCTGCCAAGTTAAAACATAGAGGAAGTCTCGCAGGATAGCTTCGCTTTCAAGCTTGCAGATAAACAGATAAATTGATAGACAGCTACAACTACAACTTCAACTATAACTACTGTACATTACACAACACAAGATAACACAACCACAACTACAACTACACCTACGCCTACAACTACACTACATTACACTACACTACCCTAGTTACACTCGACTATGCTACACTACAATTACAACTAAAAATTTCACTACAACTACACCTACAAGTACACTACATTAAGCTACACTACATTTACCTACAGCTACAACTACAAGCACAACCACAACTACAACTACAACTACATTTCATTACAGTACGCTACACTAATTACACTACATTACCCTGCAACTAATTGCACCTGCAACTAATTGCACCTGCAGCTAATTGCAACTACAACTACACTACTTGACACTACACTACACTAGACTACACTGACACTACGCTATACCACACTACAGCGCACAACACTACAGACACTACACCAATTAAACCACACCAGAACTGCAACTGCACTGCAACTACAACTACACTACACTAATTGCACTACACCACAACTACAACTCCACTACAACTACAACTACAACTACAACTACAACTGCGCTACACCACGCTACATCCAGCAGTTGTGGGTGAAATACCATTGCAGCCACTCCAAAAAACACAACTCCGACCTTTCGGTCCATCAATGGGTTCGCTCTGCCATCCATGCATCACAACAACTCAGCCCTCCTATAGCGTCCTATCTTTGAAACTTCCGCCGCCTCCTTGCGCGGTACTACTGGTAGATTGTGATTACAGTTGACTCAGTAGACGAAGTGGGAAGTAGTGCCGTAGAAAAAAAACGGTTTCGGCTCAGGGCTGGGTTTGTCCATCTGTTATTGGGATGTCACCTTTTTTGGGCTGGGGGATGT